GAGAACAATAAAAAAAGGAAAAAGACAATATTAAATACGGAAGCAAGTGGACATGAATTTCTTCGCTTGTTTCTTTCTCTTTAGATTTCTGCAGAAGCATGCAATTTGTCAGTTCTAATTCAGAAAAATAAATAATAGTATTAAAAAAAAACTAAAATCACTCTTTTGTAGCTAGTCAAACGAAAAAGTAGGAAATAATTTTCTGGAACTTCAAAAAGAAAAATCATTCTAAAGTAAAATAATTTTTATTTATTTCGTTTCATCGTAAATCATTTTATCGTAAAACCCCACGATTTTTTAGAATAAAATGATTTTTCTTTTTGAACTTAGAAAACATTGTTCCCACTTTTACTTTAGAAAATTGTTTCAGAAATTTAAGAATTTTCTCTTTAATACTAAAGTCCATCTAAAGCATTGTGTGTTTGAATGAGATTCAAGATAATTTTGATTCACAATTGGGTCCGACGAGGGGCGTTGAAACTGGGTTCTAGAATTCTTTTCCACTTTAAAAAAATTGTGCAAGTGTGAGCGCGTGTGTATGTGTAGGTGTGAGACCGTATCAAACGAATTTCTTATTTTTTACCAAAATGTTTCAGTTACTTTTATCACACAAAATCACTTATGAGACTCTGTCCTCAAGTATTTTTTTAAGTCTTGCATTGGGTTAATAGATGTCATTTTTGCGTAAACGTTAATTGTCACACACATCGGCTTGCTTAGTAAATATTTTTCCATGCAGCGTAAACAGTTGCAATAGGCATCCAAATTCAAAACAAGCAACTGACTCAACATCACAATGTATTTAACTGCAATATTAATTTCTTGGTTAAAATAATCATAAGTCTCTTTGGAAAATTACCCCAATAGGGTCAAAAACGGAGGGGGGTTGCAAACATGTTCGTTTGGTGTATGGTTCTGACTGTTTAAAGACATCAGAAAGGTTAAATGTTTCTTTAGCAACTTAATAGATGTAGAAAAAAAATGTTTATGACTATGTTAGCGTTTAAATAATTGAAGTTCTTAAATTCATATTTACAATGCAAAAACGTTTCTGCCGATATCTTAACATAAGACAACTTTATCTGATGGGTTAAAAGTGCATCTGCCTTTATATAACAGTTAAAACAAATACCTTGACTTGTTTAATATTTTAGGTCAATAAACAGCATAGATGCAATGCTTAAAACTACAACTTCTTTCAGATAAATTATTGATTTAAACGTAACCAAATAACTATTTAGTTATTTAAATAACAAAAATTCAAATAACGTCATAAAACCTAACTGCGTTGAAATCACAATTTAAAGCTGGAAAGAAAAACTATTTATAAAAATACGTGCAAAAACTGACTTCGCCTAGTAATATAAAGACTAGAGATTACCTGACGCTAGAAATAAACCTGTTGATTTTATTGAGGAATCTTGCTGTATAAAGCCTGTAGGTATTATTATTATTGAGGAGTATAATTTAATCTGTCCTTAGTATAGACTTTTATACCATAAGAAGCCAAAATATGTATTGAAGTATTATTCTTTATCTAGCCGTTTTTAAATGATTTTACTTTATATTATATATTGTAGTCAGAAATTTAAATTTACGACCATCCTAAAATAATAAAACATTCAAATAATTTGCATAAAAGTACACTTCTATCCGTGTGCGTTTTGCTCAAAATATTTGTACATAGAATTCTTCTCACGTATGTCTCCATGTATAGTTTTTTTTTTACAATACTTTAATTTAATTTGACAGCAACAGCAATGACCTTTGAAATAAGAAAATAGGTCTTTACAGTCTTGTTAAACACGAATCAATTTAGCATTACAAGGTAACTATGCTAATTGTGTGAATTATAAAGTAATGTCTAAAACAGTCTTTGTTGCTAAGTACACTTTTTTTTTAAAGGTCTACTAGCAACCGAAATTACTAGTATTCCCGTTAACCCCTTTTTTTTTTTTTTTTTTTTGTTGACGGAGTGGAAAATCCCTTCGGATCTCCGGCTCCTTGTTGATATAGGAGCCAGGAGTATGTGGTGATTCCACTAAAAACCACTCCGACGGCCAGCCTTAGGCGCCCTGCTCTGGGGAGAACCCGGGCCATGTGATTTCAGGTCCCCCAGATCGACGCCGCACCTAGCTAGGTCCCATCTCAGGGAAAGCCAGTGGCTTCTCCCTGCCTCTCAGCCTATCCAGATGTTGCAGCCCGATCACATTTTCAGTGCGATCAGGCTGCCATCCTTTCCCCTACCGCAGCAATTAATCTGCCACCAGAGGTCCCCACTCTCTGGCGGCCCGCGGTCCCGTCGGCTGCTCATTACGTCGTCGACGTCTTCTTCGCTCGGGATCGGCCCTCTCCCGATCCCGTTCAGCGGTCTCTTTCTGGAGCATTACAGCTTCACAGAAAGAGACCACTGCGCCCCAGCCCTCCTCACCCGCCAGCATGGCAGTAATGATTGCTGGCGGGGACAAGTCTCGTCCGATTTCATCGACCAGGACTTCGCGTTCAGATGCCCACGCGGGGCAGTCTTCCAGCGTGTGCTGGGCGGAGTCCCAGTCGGCTGCGCGGTGCTGGCATTGTGCCGTCTCCTCGCGTCCAATCCGAATTCCCGTTAACCCCTAGCGCTAAGCTAAATTGCTTGTGTTAGGAGTGGGTTCACGTCGGTAGTGTACTGGTCCGGATTTGAACCCACAACCTATTGATCGCAAGTCCAACGAAATATTAACTTATAATACGAAAAATACTTATAATACGAATAATTATGGCCGTACCAAGCGTGCAAATTTATATTTGGTTCAAGTGTGTAAGAAGCGTCATCTTTTAGCCACGTTCCTTTACATTCTTTATTATTATTATTCTTTATTATTATTTTAGACTCTCATAAATTTTGTTATTCATTCGTCGATGTGCGTATAAGTTTTTTTTTATTTGTGTCAATTCATCCATCCATTGTAATCCACTGCTGGATTTAGGCCTCTCCTAATATGCGTCATAGCACTTGGTCTTCCGCTTTCCGCATCCAATCTATCCCAGCAACCTTGCTCTGATTCTCAGTTTATCAAGCTGGAGTTAAATGTGAAAGATGTGTAAATGTGAATTTGTTTGTTTATGACTTATTTGTGCATAAATTATTTAATTTAATTTATTATCTGGGACACGTAAAAGTATATAAAAATATAAGTGGATAGGAATGGAGACTAGATAGTAATAATGGGGAGGCTATTCTAGATAGAAAATAGTATAATAGTAAAATAGTGTAATAGTAATTCAAGAGTAGATGGATAATGACAACACTAACATAAAAATAATATATCAAATTTATTAAAATTTTATTTTCTGTTTTTTAGTTTGGTTTTCTATAAAAAGCGTGTTTTTAGTTTTTTTTAACCATTTTTATATTTAATTTTTTTGAAATTAGTGTATTGTCATCGGTCTTCGATATATCTACAAAGTTTGAATGAATTCTGACCGTTTAAAGTCAGTCAAAATCACGCCCAAAGGAGTTGGTTACAAACAAACATACAAACAACAAGTGAAGCTAATATAAAGCGTGTAAAAAGGTGGTTTGGAATAAGGTCGTGTCATAATAAATATGAGTCCACACTGGTGATGACAAATAAAAAGCTAAAATAGTGATGGTCTGGAATGCATATTTGTCACGTAATGTCATTACATTACGTGACAAATTACGTGAGCAATTTATCAATAAAAGACATTTCTTTTATTGATAAATTACTCATCACTGCTATGAATAATGTTCAAACGGTATTGACCCAATCAACCTGTAGTGTACAAATAAATATGAACACCTATATTTCATTATAAAAGATTATGTCATTCAAATATATGTATTACGAGTACTATATATATATCATAAATTCACTGTTGTGTGTGTAAACAATCATAAAGTTTATTTTAAAATCTAGAGTACGCTTGTGTGTCAGTATGTTCTTGGTCGAATTTCAAGGTCATTTCTATTTCATATTATATTTGTATTTTTTTTCCTTTCTAAATTTATTTTTACAGCAATAGTACTTCCAACGCATATATATATATGACTCGCACCTGTAGTCTTGTAAGGGGTTGGCAGAGGTATTAAACACAAAGCAAGTATTTTACCGTTAATAGTCAGAATATGATATAAAGATTGGAAAATTGCGATAATGGCAAAAATAAAAATTTATATAGAAAATAAGAAGACAAAAAGAAGAAATATAGATAAAAAGGTAAGAAGAAGAAACAATAGAGAGCAAAGAAATTTTTAAATGAATCAGATGGAGAATGTTGACAATAGCTCGAAAAGGTCAGGATTGCATACCTATAACCATTGATATAATACTTACATTTAACGTTGTTAATAACGTTTAATGTTGTTTTAACTCAATGCCTATAACTCGAGCTGTCTGTTAAAGGGAAATTTGTACCTTATAACAAGATCAACGTACATTATAAGCCTGATTTTCTATTTATTTTTACTCGTTAAATCACGTAATATGTTTGTTTATTAATCTAGTATTTACTAACATCGCTCTTGTGTTTACGAAGGCCAAGCATAGACGAAGTTCATAACATTTTAATTAGTCATTGATAGCGTCATCTCATAGACATTACACATTTAGGTTAAATGTATTTTTAAATGGTCACCTTGCCACTGGCCGTCATGGCTAGAAATGTAGGTTTAAAAAATAGGACTTCTTAGAATGAGTTACTCATGAATAGTCTGTATCTGATGTAGGCACTTATTTTAAGTTTGCAAAGTTCAAACGTGGACAAAAATACATATGAACTTAACTAAAATTAATGCTTAATTTGAGATAACCCAATTCAAAAATGGGAAAAGAAGAAAAGAGTAGCAATTTAAAATAAAGTATTGTTTGAAAAAAAATCGAAGAAGAACTTAATGTATTGTTAAAGTCTATTTATGTATGAAGAATATTAAAAAAATGAGCATTCCAATAAAAAAAAATTGAATAATAAAATATATTTTTTATTCATGTACTTACTTGTAATCTTTACTCTGCTCATCATAATATTTGACCAAAAATATACCGTTGCCGTCTTCTTTTACTAATTTCCTATAAGAAATTTGAATGGAGTAGTACTGTTTATTACTGGCATGATACATTTTTAATGGCTCCTGCAAATATATATACAATTTTCCATGAACACTGTTGAATTCCATAGGCCGTGAACTGCTTATAATATCGCGGTTGCCATCTAATACTTTTATGTAATTGATATTCAAGTCCTTTGCATCTAATTCGATCACTCTCACATTAGGTGCGTTTGCTATTACAGTTATTCTAATTTCACAATCAAAATAGGATTGGCCTTCGTTCACATAGGGGTAAATATTCAGCTCGTATTGTAGTGGATATACCGTGTAGTTCAAACATTCTTCTTCCATCACAAGATCGATAGCATTTGTAAACGAAAACAAACATAAAACTAAAACAGAATAAAGCAATGTACACGCCATTTTTTTATCATCCGTCAGCACTTTTTTAAATTCTTTAACACTAAAATTTTCGGAATTCGAATTCGGTTTTTAAATTTCGCGCCAATTTCTGTTCGAGAGCGTCTGAACACATCGCGCGCGTAAACACGTCTAATCGCAATGTTTGTTGCTCTCCATAGGTTGAAACTTGGCGCCAGACTTATAATTCAGTACCTTGATCCACGGTTTGTCTCGTATACTACGTATTTGAAAGAATTAGAGACCAATATAACTAACATTACAGGTCAGTATGAATTGGACATACTTATATTTTGGGTTGTGAACATCATTCTATTATTATAAGTTTAACAATATCATTTAAATTACAATTACTTTTTGTTACTGTCCATTCCATTTCTGTAAAGTATAATTTTTTTATGTGCCTATATCGAAAATGTAGAAAGTTTCTATACCAAGCAGTCGGGCATTACTTTACAAGCAAAACTATTAAAAAGTTATTTCTTTAACCTATTTCACTAATTTACATCCCACGCAGTAATAACATAACATGTATATTACACGTAACAATGCTTTAGTAACGGTAACGCACGGGACAATTGTTACAATGGAAGCGTGGGAAGGAACGTCCACTTATACTGTTTGTCACCCACAACAGATTGTAAACGCATCAATCACACTGACTATCAGTAATGCATTCACTAGATAAATAACATACATGTGCAATTATAGTTTTAAAATACCACAGTCAATCTTAAAAATATTTCGAATAAATGTATAATTAAATAGAGACGTTTCATAATTATTATAATCGTATAGATACCGAGACCAATGAGATACAGTCGTGTGAAAAACAAAGTTTACATAAAAGAACTAGGTATCGTATCAATGAAATCAAAATCTACAATAAATTTTTCTAAGGATTCAAATCCAAATATTTCAAAATATTCCATGTAATTTAATTTTTATGGTTATTTCGCATAATCTCTATTTGGTCTAATTTTTAAATAATTAGCAACATTATGTGAGGCACGAAGCATACATTTCCTTATTTTGTTACTAGGCTACTTATTTTATGAATATTAAAATATCAGTGTATTCGTATTTCGTTATAACCAGCCGGGGGGGGGGGGGGGGAGTCTCCTCGAAGGGCCTAGTCGTACCCTATGTTCCACAGGAGGGCCCAAGACCAGAGCCCTGTTCAACACCACATCACAGGGGCCGACGTCTCAAAATTGAAGGAGGAAATCCTTTCTAAGGAGAAGCCCATATCCAGCAATTGACTGTTGAGGATGATGATAAATACCATAAACTAGATAACCTAAAACAACCCAAGGGGCCCTTGGTAGAATTTGCTACAGGCCCCGCGCTGTCTTAATCCGGCACTGGGTCACAAAAGTAATTTCTGAACTAACCAATAATAGTGTTAGTAAAAAACTTTTGACAACTTCGTGACTATAATGTTTGTAATGAACGCAGTTTTGTTTTCGAAAATCTTCATTTCATATTCGGATAATTCGAAAAAATACAAGTTAATAATAACATGGCAGTGGCGTAAATTCGATATTTTTAACCGAATGGTAGCTGCTGTCCCAAACGCAGTTAATACTAAACTATTCCATTTAGTAGCATTCTGGATCAAAAATGTATCATGTCGCTTTAAAGACGTGATGACACTTTTGTGCCCCTTTTAAAATTTATGATTCGGTTTGAATATTTCTTGGATTTCTCACCGTGTAAAAGCCATAGTTTGGCACAAATGGGCCGCTTTGGCCAGAATATTACTACGACCTTACAGAAAATCGTTGCTAAGCAGTTGTTTCACTGAGTGAGTGAGGTCACCGGAACTCAATCCTCCTCTTCCCCTGATTCTGGTGCGGAGGGACTCAAACGCACTTGTGACTCTGGAGTTGCAAATGTCTATGAGCAGCGGTAGTCACTTACCATCAGGCATCTTGTCTGCTCGTTTGCCCATTATGGCATAAAAAAAAAAATTAAGTGATTTAATAATGACATAGAAATACACTTTAATATTTTTATTACGACGACCGGATGGCGTACTGGTTTGTGTAACGGACTGCTATTCCAAAGGTCGCGAGTTCGATTCCCGCTCAAGTCAAGCAAACATTTGTGCGCATGAACATTTAATGTTTGATTTGGTCTGGGTGTTTCTATGTATAATATGTATGTATTTATAAAAAAAAAGTAGATATGTATTTATATCAGTTGTATCCGTAGTACAAGCTCTGCTCAGTTTGGGACTAGATGGCGTTGTGTGAATGTGGTAGAGTATTATTATTATTATTATTCATTGTAATTCTGAACATAATTTTAATTAGGACTCATTTTCATTGATCAGTGAGGCTTTAATTTTTAGGACTTAGCGTGAACTAAATTAAAAAATGTTGGCATCACAAATTTAAAATCGAATTCAATATATTTATTTTTTAAATTGCTCAACAAATATTTAAAATCGTCAATTAAAATGTAGGTATTATAAAAATAATAGATCTACATAGAATCATCGCAGGGATCGCATCGCTTTATCAAATAGGAAATTGCTAAAACCAAAAAAAAACATATGAACTGATTGAACACTTATTTTTTTACTTTATGGAAAAGGGGAAAAAGAGCAGACGGGTCACCTGATGGAAAGCGAAAGCCCATCAACGCCTGCAACTCAGGAGTCACAAGCGCGTTGCCAGCCTTTGAGGAAGAAGTACTCTTTTCGACACCAAATCATTAGATACTATACATCAGATCCCTGTTTATGAAAAAATAAATGTCATCGTTGGTCAATAATATAATTTCCATAACAATAAATAAATACATATCTTTTATTACAAATTTTATGAACATATCGTTAAATAACAAACGTACATAATGTTTATGTAATAAACTGGTGCCAATTAATTCACAACCGACTTTGGAAGCGAACAAGGACAAAATAATTATTCTGTGCAAAAATTAATGATTAAATTGTCTTGGTGTACTTGTTGTCACAAAAATTCAGTTAATGCTGTGCTAGCTATGCAATAAAACTCAAAACATCGTTACAGAAATTATATGGATTTATATGGTACAACTTGACTTATTTAAAACTTGTCAAAAACCAAAACCTCCTTTCTAGGGAGAGGCCTATGTCCAGCAGTAGACTATCAAAGGCAGTTGATGTGATGATGTGATATGATACAGTACTAAAAGTTGGCCGCAACTTCATGCGAAATATCTAAATTATTTTTACCCCTAAAGGGGTCCTACCATAGGGTCAAACGAGCAGAAGGGTCATCTGACAATACTTGACGGGCTCGTTGGTCTAGTGGTTAGTGACCCTGATTGCTAAGCCGGAGGTCATGGGTTCGATTCCCACCCAGGACGAATAATTGTATGATGTTGTCTCAACCCAAACTAGGCTGAGCCTATACTAGTATAACCGGCCTGCTGATAAGCAGACCTAGATATTTCTAAATATATACATAATACGACATTTATTTTATGTCCTAGTTTTCCACTAGGACATAAAATAAATGATCGTGCTCATTACACATTTACTTGTCCTGGGTAGGAATCGAAACCACGACCTATGTATTAGCAGTCAGGATCACTATCCACTAAATCAACAGGCTCGTCGTATCAAATTTTTATTTTAGAATTCAAATTAAGAATTCTTTTAAATGATGTAAAAGTAGTAGCGGAGCCCTAGAAGGGATTTCAGGAATTGTTTGAGCGAGTCAGATTAACATAGGAGGAATACCATACAAGAGCCCTACATATAGGTGGGATCGTCTAGAGCAGCACATCTGATCAGTTAAAAAAAAAGCAATGGCCAAAAATACTCTAGCGTGTAAGATTAAGTTGAGTCAATTGCATTCCAAAAATAAACACACACACCTTTAAATGTCTACATCATTTTTCGTGCTGATATTTGTCACATTTTATAAAAAATAAAAAAAGACAAATATTTTAAACCGTCAGATTCAAAATACTCTGCAAAATTATCGTCAGATTTTTGGCTAGTATGACAGGAACATCAAGCTAAACCGTCTGTATAAAATCTAACACGCTCGGGTATTTCGAAAGGGCGATTTTTCGAATTTGCAGTTTGCATTTTCAAAAATTCGCTACCAGCTTGTGTCACTTTAAAAGCGTCAATCCTTTCAATGGGAGCATTTTAGGCATCCGAATAACATATCCCCAAAATATCTGATGCGCCCGAATATTTTTTTGCGATTTCGTCTCCTTACATATTTGAAAATCTGTAGAAGTTTTTCCACCGATGAAAGTGGAACCATTATATAGCTTTTATTCATTCTATTACCTAATCTTTCAAATGCAATAGGTTCCCATGACGCTCGAGTAAATTCCCATTTAGCATCAAGTGCTCCCCTACTAATAGTCTCTTTTATCATTTGCATGACTTGCTTTTACTTTTTTTATTGCTTTGACTTGACCTTCAAACACATTACCCAAACAATAATTTTGTCATTTTTTTTTGGCTGGATGCGAAATAGATTCATTAGTTCGTTTGAAATTTCCTTAGCTATAATCATAATGCGATTGTATGTGTCTTCTTCCTACTTTTTAATACTGTCTGCTTTTGCCAAAATATTGTTTTGTCATGTGGAAACCACGTCAGAGCTAGCGTTGCAGTAGCATATTGGAATCGAATCGATTACAACCAAACAATGTTCTGACCAAACAATCCCTAGCCAGGAAATCCGCAAGGCAGACATGATCATATGTATACATATTATCATTATTATTTCTTTGTTTTGTGTGGTGCCAATCTTGAGTGAATCCATTAAAATAATAGTTTTTTTTTTTACTTTCGTCCACTGCTTTATTATTATTATTATTTAAACAACGCTTTAATTATGACCTACAACTATTGTGTACAAAAATATATAAGTATTGATTAGTGAGATAGAGTTCTTTATGAACTACAAAAACCAGTAAAAATGGCAACTCGCCATCAACATTGTAGCGCTTGGCAAAATATACACTAACCTTTTACTCTGCCCTTAATTGAGGCTTCGGTGACCCAAATGAGTGTTTAGCAAACACTGTACTCGATGGGCCTACACATTACAAAGAGACAATGTTGACAGGCTTGTGTCAACTGGGATTTGCTAATGACGGTAAACTCATGTAGGTTAGATTGTACGGAAAGTTGAAAGGGTAACTTTTTAGGAACATATTTCTGGATATATTGGAGTTTAGTATTATTAGAGGGGCTCGTCGCTTTGTGGTAACCAAGTAGGTTAACACGTTGCAAAGCTTAGCAATCCAAGCCAGGTCAGTCTATAGATGGGTGACCATTGCTTAACACATTGCGACCCCTTGGTGCCACAGAAAGCACGTTAAGCCGCCGGTCCCAGTTGCCATGCAAACATTTATAGCAATCGTTACGGGTAGTTGGAGCCCTACAAAGTCCGACAATAGACTTCGACATAGTCTACTTGGGTTGTGGTTGAGGTCTGATGGCAGTCACTCCGCGTAAAAAATCGAAGTTAGTCGAGCCGAGATTGGAGTTTAGTATTCATAAAAAAGACCGTCCCACAATTTCTACTGTTGCAGTCGGAGGGTTCTAATCAAAGGGCTCAAGCTTCTTTTACCCAACCTTATTAAGAGATATGATACTTGACTGGACTGGTTCCACGCCTTTACAGAATACCGATATTAAGCTATTCTTAACACCGTTGAATGATATTTATTTAATTGTAAAACTTTTTACACAAGTACATGCATCATCGGACTTGATGCTTAAGGCATTCTCTACCAGTCGACACATTGGACGATGATGAGAAAGAATGAGTTAGGTGCATTTATGGGGGGGTAACAAATGATAGAGGTTTTCTTAAAAATGCTTCAGCACGAATGGGCCGGCTCGACCGGAGTGATACCACGGCCTCACAGAAAACCGGTATATTAAGCAATTCTTTCACTGAGTGAGTGAGGTAACCGGAGCCCAAATCCCCCCTTCCGCTGACTCGAGCGGGAGGGACTCCAAGAGCGGTAACGCACTTGTGACTTTTTAAGTTGCATGTGAGCGGCGGTAGTTGCTTACCATCAGGTGACCCGTCTGCTCGTTTGCCCCCTTATACCATAAAAAAAAACATACTCGTACATATATTGCCGGAGTACAACACTCCCCTTCCCCATATTTCTGGTTCTGACTTGGGCGGTAACGTAATTTGTGAATTTTAAGTCGAAGTTGTCCTTGAGCGTCAGGAGTAGATAGTAAGTAGGTTAAGGTTAATATTAATTGTTATCAAATCTCGTCTCGTCTTTGTTTCATTTCCGACAACAACAATTTCAAACAACAAATGCATGGATAACATCCAGACATAGGCCTCTCCTATTGCACGCCACTTAGATTGATTTTGGGCTTCTCGCATCCAGCATATATTGCCGAAGCACAATATTCCCCTTCCCCGGTTAGGACTTGGGCGGTCACGTAATTGTGAATTTTAAAGTCGTAGTTGTCCTTGGGCGACAGGAGTAGGTAGGATAAGCTAATATTAATTGTTATCCAATCTTGTCTCGTCTTTGTTTCATTTCCGACAACAACAAATGCATGGATAACACCCACATAAATACTTCAGGAGTTATGATCTTGTACGTTGTAAAACTTTATATCGAATCTAAGTCCATTATAAATGAATGCAGTGACCCAAATGTTTAACGCGAGAGAAATCGATTATAGTGAGGAAGTTTTGATGAAACTAATCCATTCATTTGGCAGTTGGCCAATAAAGAAATTGTGAAATGTTATTGTTGTTTAGGTAATGTGGTTAATGGTCACGTTAATATAACGAGCAGAACATTATAGATAGTACACTCGAGAGCATTGAATTCGGATCATATGAAAATCTCGGCGATTAACAATGTTGGATTAACGGAACAAAGTGTATTTCATATGCAATTAAATATAAATGAACTGAAAGTGCCTTCAAAAATTTTAAAATAAAAAAGAATGAGACCCAATATCGTATATCACCATTATGACGGTTATGTAGAATCGCATAACCGTCATAATGGCAGTACGTGGAGGTGACAGAGAGTACCTACTAAAATTTGAGAAACAAAAAAGTTGTAGAAAAATATTTGGGATTTTACTGCATGATGAGATTAGTTTTTTGTGTTTAAATAAAGTTTTATGAGGATGATACAAAGTGAAAAATGCTGTCTCCTTTTGAAAAATAAATGTTACTTAAATTTTAGAAGTAATCATTGGACTAATTAACACAAACTATTTTTCTAATTTAACTTTCTTAGTTTTTACGATTGTCAGGTATCTTTATCTGACCTGGATTCATATCTTTACGTGACCCGGATGCATTGCTTTTGAGGGAATTACCATAAATTATAAATTACTTTGCAGACTAAGACTTAAATATAATACAAGAACTTTATTTCTTAATATTTCAAGCTTTTTTTCGTGTTATAGCAGCTAAAGTAAGTACGACAATAATTTTATACAGCCGTTACAGAGTTAACGTTAACGTCCGTTAACGTCCAGTAATTTTAACCTAATTTCTCTATTAAGACGATTTAATGGGACTTTACAAAATATTGATATAACTTCAACTGTTATTTCGATATAAGAGATTGGATATTTTGAGATATTTAAATTCTTGAAGTCGGTTGATGAAGTCGGTCGGAAAGATATACAGCAGACAGGGCCACTAACCATGAGACCAACAGACGTCGTCGTCAATTACTACCGCATATGCTTTAATCTACCTCTGGCATATACATGATGATGATATATTAGTGTATATCTGACATAATTATGTCATATATATACTAACTTTTACTCGCGGCATCCCAATTTTTTTGGATTATCATCCAAACTATATTCTATTTATATGAAAAATTCATCCAGGTCCGTTAAGCCTATCTGGTGTAGTTGATGATTTGATTTTCTAGGAATTGTGATGATTTATTGCAATAATTACCACAAAACTTTTAATGTAAATTTTCTATAGACAAAATTATACCATAGACAAATATAATATTTTTATTGAATTAAAACATAATGTATTATATAACGCGTCCTCCATACAGACAGTAATACAAAACTTATGATCTGAAGTTTTAACGTGATACAAAAAGTTAAATATAAAAATGTATATAAATAATACTGTTTTAAGAATAAATATTAACATTAAACGTATAATACACATTTAAGTAAATAAATATTATACGTTTACAACCAATCCATACTGAATACATGTAACATAAATTCGAAATATATTATAAAAATACATGAAACATATTTAATAAAATAAACATAAACTTATGGTAATAATTAAGTAACTGTGTATATTAGAAATTATTGAAATCACAGTGGAGTTGAATCTCTTCTTGGGCTCTTATAATATATTTTTTAATTCATAAAATGAATGAAATAAAAGATTTAAAAATGCTAATAAAATGACTTAAAATTATGACATAATATTCGTAAGGTTTCATAGTTGTAGCGGCAAATATTGAACTATTTATGTTTATTAATAGAATTTAGAATTGATATGGAAATGAGTTAATTAACCAACAAAACACTAATATCTTATGAAGAAGATCGCTAAACTAATAATCAGCATTAAAACAGAAGGGATTGCTGTGTTGGAGTTGTTTTTAAATGTTGACAATATAGCTGCTTCGTGACTGTCGGCCCAAACCTTCGATGCCCTGGCGACTTGTAATGAGTTCCTTGCAGCAGTCTTAGCCGCATCTGTACATTCTGTGCAACTTGACAAGAAAGCTTCGAACTGTGAAAGAAAAATATATAAGATTATTCGCAAAAAGTTTTGATTGATATATTACATTGCATGCTTGTGAACGAAACCTTAATTTAAACTTAAATAATTATTATCAAGGAGGAGGAGAGTGGCTCGTGACAGAAACCAGTGGAAGGAGCTAGAGGAGGCCTTTGCCAAGAGGCACAGTGAATTGAGGGACATATGATAAAAACATTTGTTATTGAGAAACATAAACAATTCAGAATAAAAGGGCAAATAAATAAATTCTTATCAATAGTAGTAGTAGGCACTTACAAATAACAGTAGTATACAAATAATAATCGTACTAAAAAAAGAGATACACTAAAACAACAGAAATTAGATGGTCATCAGAGGATCACATAAGTAAAGAATTGTAATGACCGCGCTGTCTCAATACAGAATATTATAAAAAAAAACTTTACTGTAAGCTTACGGAACATCCGTGTGTCCGGTATTAAGAATAGGGAGTGTTACTACCCCTATTTATCAGGTGGGTGTCGTAAGACGAGACTAAGGAAACTACCTACGCAGGGCAATAACACTGCAAGGAGAAGGAAAACTTGATACAAACCCTACACAAATCCGTCTGGCCAGCGTGGTATAGTAAGCAAAAATCTTCTTTCTAATGATAGGCCTATGTCAAACAGTGGCCTATTAAAGGCTGTTGATGTGATGTGTGATGACGCCAACAGAATTTTTACATAGAATAGCATCTAGTACATGTGTTTAAAGAGTAGTTTTATCGCTAACAGAAATTTCTTACAGACAAACTTAGAATGGACCAAGACGACTAGTCTTAAATGATAGAAATGATTAGATAGTTTTATTTTGTTAAAGAATCATGGCGTATATATGAATCATACAGCGTACATTACTACTTGCACCTTATTATTAGATGAGATATGATGGATGTCAAAAGATGAGTGTGATTTCGTGCACATGGATAGTTGTATTTATTAATCGTATAATCCTGATACAAGTTGGTTAAAAACTACATTTAATATTTTTTTAATATTTTTGAAATAACAATAACCATTTGATTAACTGCTATTTATTGTTTTGCAATGATTGCAGTACTTTACTTTCGACTGGCTTCTTGGTTAATGATCCTGACTACTAAGCTAGAGTTCGTGGGTTCAATTCCGACCCACGTCAAATAGTTATATAATTAGCATGATCATAATTTGTTCTATATCTGGGTGTAAATTATCTATAACATGTATGTTTTTATGAGTGGGTAAATAAGTATGTTTATCAGCAGTCTGTTTACCAGAACACAGGCACTGTCTCATTTGGAATCAAGACCGCGTCGGAAGGAAGGTTGTGTATGAGATGTGTCAAATTACTATTAATAATTTTTGCCTTAAGGAGCTCACCTACCATAATTCCTTTCGTATTGTTCCTTTGCTTTACAGCGAATTGTATTAGTATTAAAACTCTTATCTAACATAAGACTCATTTAGAAAAATATATTATCTAACAAATACCAAAACTTAATTTATGTAGCTATATTTAATTATGAATCTTTAATTATCTCACGCCAGTGTTGTTGTAGCATAAGTTACGAAGGCCAATGGAATTATTTTGTGCTAAAACAACGCTGTACAATAAAATATTATTGCACACATACTCGTAAAATCATTCTCGATGAAGTAAATGTTTGACTCAAGGTTAATTTATTTATATTTCAGGTAAATTGTTAGATTTTTGCATTAACTCTTTACACTCTATGGCTCGCTTGTCTCATGTCAAAAGAAAGACTAGATCTTTTTTTTTTCTTTTTTTTTTTTTTTTAAAGACAACTCCCGCATTAGGAATAAATCCTGTGTCGCGGGGGACTTTACAAACATACATGAAACGGACACAAAGAACACCCAGACTCAGAACAACAATTTGTGGATCACACAAAGTGTCGTCCCATGTGGGGTTTGAACCCACAACACTCGGCGTAGTAGGAAGCGGCGTGGCGACCGCTTAAACCACTACGCCATCCGTGCAGTCATCTGTCTTGGGTTTTCCCCAAGTCACTGTAGTAGTTTCACTAGTGACATAATTCGATGTGAATATTGTCGGTGTTATCGACGTTGAACCCGGTCAATTAATAATGACAATAGACTCACACATCCCAAACACGAACGTCTAATCTTATACTAGGCTGATACTGTACTGTGGTAACTAGGCAGCTGTTAAATATATTTACTTTTAACTCTATATACATACTTTTATCAACAGCCTTTAATAGTCCACTGCTGGACATAGGCCTCTCCTTAGGATGGAGGCTTTGGTCTACTATACTACGCTGGCCAGACAGTTTGGTGTCAAGTTTTCTTTCCTTTTTTTTACATACTTACTATAGATAAATTATATCTAGTCATAGAACAACAAAAATATTTGTCCTGGATAGTAATCGAACCATCGATCTCTGGTTTAGCAGTTAATATCACTAACTAGAACTAACCGCCATACCAACAAGACCGTCATCAATCATATCTTGATATTTAAGTTTATCAAATTCTTTAAAATTAGTGTTTCATATTTTAAATTTCATTTAGAGGAATTATTTATTAAATTTTAAAAAATATTATAACACCAGTCACTTTAAATGTACGTTTTATCTGTGTGGAACAGATAGCGTTGATTCATATAAAGTACCGTTTCAAGTCATATAGAAATAAAATCTTAAATAATTATTTACTCTCATTTTAGATTAACTTGATTTTGTAAAATACTGAATTTTCCAAAATCAAGACAAATAACTTTTAAAGAGGTAAGAAAGGTTGTATATAATATTCATAAAAGTACGTTAAAACAAATGGATAAATCACTTACTTCGCTAAAATCGCTTTCAGTACGGAGATTAGACGCAACAGTACTTAAGACCGAATCCATAGTTGTATATCTAGAAATAAAGAAAAAATTAGCAAGGTCTTTAATGTAATCAGTTTCAACAAACTATTTTTATATATTGCCCATACTAACATGGAAGCCCATGAAGCATAGTCCGTTTTCAGTAGATCCATGACGAGAGGTAAATTACTATAGTTACTGAGCACACTAGACAACGGTGTTGTTAAATCTTGGGTCCTAACAGGGCTGTTGTCTTCCGTCATTGATACTAGGTACCTGAAAATGTTATAAAGCATGATAGTCTATGCAAGAATATGAACAATCACTATCATATTATAAAAGTTACTAAAGGCAATTTGAGTGAGTGATTGAGTTCAGAATTAGTGGACTGGCGAATATTATAGCAAACCTCTTCAGTTTTTCCTCATTTGTAGTATGACCCAAAACATCCAAAATTATCCAAATTTCATTTGCTAGATTTGTGCTCTTTGCGCGGTTCCATAAAAAGTCGTAGTCTTCACCAGTACCATAGCGTAGTCCAGTTGAGTAGACTACTGAACGTAGACTAGGGGAGACCCTAAAACGTATTTTAAAATAAGCATAGTTTTTTATGGCTCCATATTATGTCATTGACATGGTTTATGGATAAAGAAAAACAGTTTGCTTTAATGATACACTTAATTATATACATGATATACTTAATTATATGTGTCTGTGTCTCTATTTTTTTAATTAACAATTTTAGAATTAATTATTAAAATAAACTAAAAATTACTTACTCTGTACCATTTTCTCTCAGCGCTTTGAACATAGCTTTAGCTTGGGATACACATCCACTGTGACCTAACTTGCAAGCAAACTCCAGGATTTGTTGACGATTTCTCATATCTTCGAAAGAATCAGTTTGTCTCTCAACATAACCAAATCTATTAATATAGCTGCTCATAAAACTGAGAATGTAACTCTGAAAGGAAAAATAATCTTACCATCTACTTTATTACCCTCCCTGTATATATTATCTAGAATTGTATAAATGCTTACCTCAATTTGAGGTAACACATCATTGTTACCCAAGAAACTATTCCTTAATTTCGTAAAACCTCTTAAAGCGGCTAGCCACACTGAATATTCGTCCTCTTGGGACAAAAATTCTAGTACATTGTGAAGATCTGAGAAATTTACTTCATCACCGTATAGAAAAGCGAAAAGGTCGTTTACAATCTGAAAGTAATATTGAGCAAGTTCGTTATCAGTCCATCTGTAAATAAGGATAAGAGACTAGTGTAATGATAACAAAAATAAGCACCTTAGCTCGATTTAAATGGTGTATATTAGTGCGTTCCTGTCCTTTTAAGAGTGATGCAATTAGTTCCCAAGAGCGCTGGTCATAATTCACTTTATAAAATCCTAAAAATATAAAATTCATTAATTTATTTATTAGGCCTCCAAATACGAGTACACTATCAAAATGTATTTACAAACAATATTAGAACTAATCATCTCGCTACTTACAGCTCAATTATGCTATAACTAGAAAACCTTCCGTCTGTGTAAGTTGCTAAAAAAATATTACTTTTTAATGGTCGTTTAATGGCTCACCTGACTCCTGTACGTTGAATATCACCCAAGTCTGACTAACATTAGCAATAGTAAACTCATATGACTGATCATTCATTATGAACATAGGCTTAGTGTTATTAAAGTTAGGCGATAATCCGGTTGTGTAGGTAATAGGAATTTTATAAATTTCATTTGATGAGTATGAGGCATTTATGTAAAACCGTTTCTGAAATAAGTGCAAAGATTAGTAAAGTTAAAACAGATGAAGAAATAGAAATTGATTTAAACAACTATAAATTTAACGAGTCCTTACCTGAGTTAAAGTTACCGTATCGGTGTTATAGTTAATATTGACATGAATTATAGGGTGACCGGCTTGAGAAACCCAAGAACCCATTACGTCAGCTACAGTGGTGTTAGGGTATGAGCTAAGTGAATTTTGTGTGGTCACTGCGTAATCTAAAGCAGCGTAGAGTAGATTTGGGTATCCGGATCCTAAAGCACTGTAGTAAATATAATTTTATTTTATTTACATTAAAATTAAGACAAAAAATAAAATAAAAAGTTTATATAAGACAGAGATATTTATGTAGACTTGAAAGTTATGCATCTCTCACCATTAGACACTTAGCAATCTTCATTAATACAGAATGAAAATTTAAATGTTTCCCACTGAACAAGATTTTTATAAGTTCTTTATTCCTATTTTTTTTTTTATTAAAAACATCTTAAATATTTTAAAATATCTTACTTGTTTGTTAAGTAAGTGCGGAGACCAAGTCTGAAAGCGTCATCTCCGATGAGATAGTGAATCATTCTAATGATAGAGCCACCTTTTTGATATGTAATACTTCCAAAATGGCCACTGATTTCAGCAGGAGAATTGACTTCATCGTTAGTAAGTGGTGCTGCAGTGGGAGTATCGTCTGCAGCATAAGCAACGTACGCAGAGCTGGTAACCAGTAGGTTGGCGGAACCAATTTCCGGTTCAATCTGTAGATTTTATGAATATCAGCGAATCAAATTTACATACATTTATTACAGTTGTACAAAGTTAAAACCATAATATGCGATGGGGTAAATCAAGCCATCATGAAACACAATATGCTACATATAAGAAATTAAATTAATTAATTAAATTAAAAAATTAAAATATTTCTTCACTCACCAAAGAGGTTATATAGTCCTGGAAATAATTGGCAAACCCTTCATTTAGCCATGTATTACTCCACCAATGGCAGGTAACGAGATTTCCAAACCACATATGAGTTGTTTCGTGAGCCAAAATCTGAGCAATTCTGTATCTAAAGTAGGGCGCTGTCTGATCTGAATCAGTGAGAAGCAAGGCTTCTCTGAAAACGAACAGATTATGAGAAGGATTTAGTGAGAGTAACAAGTATTTTATAATTTCAAGCGGTTAATTAGAGCCATTCAGAAGGAAATAATAAATAAAAATATAAAAGAGATAGACATATAGTTACAGCTAAGTAAAATAGTCAACGAAAAATATACAGAAAAAAATTAAATAACATCAGAGAATTATGAAATTAGAGGTATTAGGTAATTTTATTAAACTACACACAGTAGGTACATTGAATATAAATATGATATAATATCCTGCACATGTCTTGTAGATGCAAGCACTTGTTTGTTTTTAATTGTATATAAATTTAATTGTTTGAAATTACCTGTATTTAACGAGACCCCAATTTTCCATAGCACCTGCTCTAAAATCAGGGATAGCCACATGATCCAATTTTATATTCTCATTTGTAGAGTAGTAGTCAATGCCAAAATAGCTTCCAAGTTCTTCCACGACTTTTATGCCAAAATCGAAAGCATATAAAGTCTGATTCTTAGCTTCAGGCCTTGAGAAGATACCAAATTCTTGGGTACCATTTCTGTATTGACCGGCTTCGAATTCTGAGACTAGGAAAGCGACCAAATATGTAGACATCCTCGGTGTAGGGTGAAATGTTTCCCTGACGTAACCATTGCCTCTGAAAATCAAATAAAAAATGAAAGATGGTAAAATTGCCCTTTTAATAAATAATAAATATAATTTCAAAAAGTTGAATGTTTTATTTAAACTTACAAATCCCTAGATGATTGCATTTTCATATTTGAAAGTGAGTTTTTGTAGGTCGAAGGTCGATCAATCGAAATAGTAAATGTAGCTTTTAGTTGGGGCTCATCAAAGCATGGGAACGCTTTTCTCGCATGTGTAGGCTCCATTTGTGTAGCTCCTAACCATCTGAAAGTAATAGAATGTGATATAAATACGAAAAAGTCTGATAACATCAGTCATTGAAAATATTGTAAATGTTCGCCTATCACATCACATCATCACATCAACAGCTTTTAACAGTCCACTGCTGGACATAAGCCTCTCCTTAGAAATGAGGTTTTGGCTTACTATACCACGCTGGCCAGACGGGTTGGTATGTTCGCCTATGCTTGAGAGTAAATTAAAACCTTGGGTCTTAGGAACTCCCTAAGAAATTTATATTATACTTTTATTTATTACCACTCGTCGATTGCAAAGTTAACAAGTCTAAATTATGTTACAGACTTGACTACTAACAATGATGACTGCCTACTAATTGAAATAATTGTCTAATTTCATAATTTAGGCAGTATTAAAAATATATGAATCTATAAGAGTTTTGGGATAGGATCCAAATGTACTATGATTTAACTTATGTTTACAAAAAAGCATAGCTTAAAATGTTTTTTTCCATGCTATTATTTCGACCGAGAGATCAAGCCGGCTCACTTGTGCTTAAAGCCATGCGCTCTACGACGGTAAAAAATAAATTGTTAATGTTCTTCAAAAACTGGTTAATTGGAGCTAACACAAAAACAGTTTTACTTCAGAATAAGGTCATGCAATATTTTGCAATAACATAAAAAAATAGAGAAAAAAAAAAGAATAAGTGTAACGGTAAAAAGATAAAGACAATTACAACATGAAAGATATTGTCAGAATTTTGATATTTATTAAAATATATTATCTTGTGTTTGTTGGGTAATTTCTTTGTACGCTTGCAAACTGGCTTACAGTTATCGCTACTTGACACCCGTCTATCATCATAGAGGTTTTGGTAGATATTAAGATAAAAGATCTCATCTTTATCTATTTTATGTCTATAAAATTAAGTAATAAACTATGTACATCTGAAACAACGACTTTGAGATTGTTTAAATATTTGATTATATAAGATTTTGAGTTTATTGTCATTTGTCTCCTAAGTTCTATTGGTTTTCTGTGTAATAATTATTTCACAGTATTTACTAAATTACCTCATAGTAATAAGCGAGAAAATACTTTAATATATTTTATGCAGCTACTAACCCTTACTAACCCTACTAAACTTATAAAATGGCCATGCTGCTTACGCATACTCGAAAAGTTGTGGAAGTCGCTTAAGATGCTTGTTCTTAATGCATCCCACAGGCTTAATGCTATACGCTACTTATGGAAGACGTTCATTTGTTTTCTTTTAAAAAAAACGAATTGGAATTATTCAATCATGAATTAGATTTGTATGACACTATTCAACTATCGCTCTCATGGAATTTGTAGACTGGCTATCTTGAGGTTTTAAATTTCAGTATATATTACATTATCCAACAGATTTTTAACCCATCAGATATCCTTTAAATCTCAATAAGCCCTGGATATGCTTTATCATTTCTTGTCGTGCCCTATTCTACCTTGTCTAGTCATGTCGTCTTTGTCGGCTATCGAATCGGTATGATAACATTTATGAAGCTTAGCCTTCTAATTTATCTACTGCTTTTATTTTTTCTGCTCCTCTTTAGTATTTAAATTTGTTAAAATCTTTACAATTATTCTTCTTCTCAGGAGAAAGACGTTCACTGTTGGACATAGGCCACAACAATCGGTCCTGTGCAACCCGCATTAACGGTTTCCCACAGCCTTCACCAGGTCGTCGGACCAACTTGCGGTCACTATTCTTAACCACTGGTTTACCCATATATGTTTCACGGTAGCATATTGTTTTAATTTAGGAATTTAAATATAAATTTTGGACAAATTAATCTAGGTTTACTATAATTTTGAGGTTTCAAAGATTATATGGTTCATTTATTAAATGTGCAATAAACCTTTCAAGTTAAATTTAAAGTTTTTCAGATTTTAACAACAATAATATTTTTAAAAGCATAAAGTATAAAAATATAAATATTTTATACTTTATTGAATAAAAAATTTGTTTGAACTTAGTTCAACTTAGTAGATCAAACTATGAAAGCAGTAATACGTGTATTCCTTATCATGTGTTAAATAAATCTACACCTAAAACCTATAGTAAATACTAGTAAAATCCTTAAGTAATAAGACTTACGATAAAACAGTTACTTACTTCTTTACTCCATTCTCCAAGTAATAATTCCTGTAGAATCCATTCAAGTCAGTTCTAAGTGGTCCTTTATAAGTAATTGTAACTTCATACTGATTATTAGGAACTAATTCAGTCATTAAATTGATATAAGCAAAAGAATATTGAGTATTAAACTCTAAAGGATTGGAATTATTGAGTTGAATAGTGTTTGAATTCATTCTGACAGTAATATTGGCAGCTGTAAAATTCAGATCTTGTGAATGGAGCTTAATTTGATTTGTGTTCGCAGTTGTTGTAAATTCAATAGTGACTTCTCCATCAAAAGTGAATGCATTTTCGTCATTGGTATCGAAGTATGGAGTAATGAGTAACTGGTAGGCCGATGGCACGATAGGTATATTCAGCCGATGGTTAGGATCCGTTTCGGTATATACTACCGGCAGTAAGCATATTACTGCTATAGCTAGCAGTCGGTAATACATTTCTGTAATAATAAAAAGACAAATTTTAACAGTTTTGAATATTTATTCGAAAACTCGTTTATAGTTAAAAGAAAAAAAACACTAATTCTCATGATTTCTCCTTCTTTTAGATTACTATATGAATTACCTTTATATTTTGTGTTTCAGACCAGGCAACTTTAAACATTTTTTTAACAATCTTTGCATTTCCACGAATAACCGAATAACCCACCTGTGCCCTCAACGTAGTGACTAGTGCATTCAAAAATTCTATATACTCGTATACATATGTATACTGTATTAAATGTTGCATTAATTGGTTATAGCTATTATTCCTTTTTTTAAGTAATTGGATTTTATACGAAGACTGCAGTTTCAGAGTTTTTTTTTCTTAGGGTATTCTTTGAGAGCTCGAATGTAAAAAACATATATTTCAAAATGTGTTGTATAAATAAATATGATAATATACTTCTTAATAAAAACTTCAAATATAAAATATTATCTGAAAAACAGCAGTCTCACATTTAATTATTTTTACTATAGTTTCATCATTACTATTGATATTGTTATCTCGACTCTAAACTTGTAGACAAAAATATAAGAATACACCAAAATAAACAAATGAATTAAATGAAAATACAACGATCAAATTGAATTGACAGCATATTGTCTAAAAAAGGCTGAACTAGAAAAAAATAAAAAAATAAAAAAAATAAATCAACAAACCTTGTGCTCACTACCACGACCTATTGTCTAAACTCAAACTGCAACTAGTGCCGTGACTGTATGACTGATAAGGAGCATCTTTAAGAGTTTAGTTATCACTGATAATGTGACACTTGGCTTATGTACTAGTTCTGTCATTTAGCTTTGTTTTTTTTAAAATATAAAATAGTAATAATAACTTTATTGATATAGCCATTGTTATAATACATTGGGACCCTGCCTCCTGTGGTTGGTGTCAAGCTGTATTACAGGAGACAGTCTCTTCACCCATTTTGTTGTATGAACTATACAAATAAAAATACAGTTAAAAGTGTGTAAGTGTGTGTATCAGTGTGTGTGTGTATGTATATGTATGTTTGTGAGTGTGTATTTGTGTGTGTGTATTTGTGTGTGTGTATGTATGTGCGTGTTTGAGTGCGTGCTCATTGCATGAGATATTCCCTACAAATCAAAGTAGTTAGTTGAGAACAGTTCTGCAAACATGGAGTTCAGCTTGTAAAGTATACAATTATGATATTATTGCTCATTTTAGTATTATAATAACCAAGGCAAAATTGTAATCTCTATATTAATTTATAGTAAGCAACGTGATCATGACACAACTAAATTTTTGAATACGAAAATGTTTGTAAGACATCAAAAATACGTAAAAAGATTATAAGTTTATATATTTTGGATAAGAAAATTGTACGATTCTCAAGATATAGTAGAATGAAGAGAAATCACAGGAGATCCTCTTAGGATTTGTAAATAGCTTAAACAAAAAATTTGAGTTTATTTCTTTAAAACGTGTGAATGCTAAATATACGTATTTCTTTTCGTTTGTTACCCGCTCTGGTTCAGTTTTATTAAGGATAGAACTATATTATTTTCCTAACTGACAACTTCGCTAACTTGATAAAAAGGTAAACGAGAGACCCATGAGATGACTTGGAATTTGTAACTGGTTGCTCTAAACAATATGACCAGTATGCTACGTAATGTGTTTCCTTTGGTGTGTTTAACGCTTGGATCCAGTTTTATCACGAAAACTGTTACGTTTTGGAACTGCAAATGTTAATACAAACATACTTTTGCTATACAGATAGTGGTACTTCAAAATTTAGTCTTACAGTTATTGACATAGAATACAATACGAGATAACGATACGAGTGATGTATCATACTTAAGAGCGATAATGAAATTGTAGTTGTTTCTATTTAAACACGAAAAGTAATGAAAATGGTCTAAGGTTTCATACAATGCAACATTTACATTAGTACTATCAAAACTATTATTTTTCTTATAACATGTATTAAATATTAGTTCTATATTATTTAAGCCGGCATCAGTTGGTAATTTGCCATGAGCGGTATATAATCTATATATTAAAAGGAAATAATACAATTCTTACTGTAATACTTCTGATATCTTTACTTTAGAATTGAAGATAGAAAAAAGAGTATTGAGATAAGCATATTTGGTACAATTTAACTCTTTGCTTAACTTTCTAGAAGGCTGCGAAAAACTTATTCCCAGGAATAGTTTACTTTATCTGCTAATAAGTTTTTTGAAATATATTTGTGTAATACATAATACGAGTATTTAGCCAAGAATTATTAATCAGTCGATATTAATCGCATTCTTACATACTTTCATTTTAAATCTTTTTATTACAAAACTTGCTCTTGTTTTGTAAAAAAATTATTATTGATCTGAAATTTCTTATAACAAAAGCTAAGTAGGTAGTTTAATCAATATTTAATTATCATTATAATCAGTTAATATCATTTTATAAAAAAGGACGATGAATAATTAAGGAGAAAACATTCTGCAATTTGTTTTCCAAAATCTTCGAAGTTTTGTCACAATTATCTTAAAAGACTTATTTAAGACGTGCCTTCTATATATTTAATATAGCTGCTAAAAAAATTGTACGGGGGGCAATTTTCTTGTTTGCCATCATCATTAAGATACATCAATTTCTTAAAGAAAATATCTTTTTCTTTCGTTCAAAGGTACAGCAATCACATGCAAGAAATAATTACTTAAATGTTTAGACACCAGTATCCCATGCTAAAATATACTATTCCTGATTCATGCATACCATGTCGACCATGCTCATAATTGACTTCCATATACAGTGTGGAGTGTACAATAAATAAATATAGGCCGGTTTGAAACAGCCTACCACCCCTGACTGCCCTGTGTCTCTACCAGCTGGTTTGTTTATTATAAACACTTGTACTTTAAGAACCGGCAGATATCCTTGCTGAATTCTGGGCAATTTGTACAATCAATCTGTGGAATAAAATATCGCCTCCAAACCGACCTTCAAACTTCCAAAAAAAGATCGTACTCCTACCCCAAACCGGCAACGTACTTGTGATTCCTGAGTTGCAGGCGTTCATGTTACAATAATAAATAAATAAATAATAAATAAATGTTCAGTAACCCGTCTGCTCGTTGTCCCCCTCTATCTTAAGAAATTGGGAATCTAATAGATTACTTTTAAAATCATATCTCTCTCTCTCTCACTTTGTTTATGCCATCTTTCTCGGTCTTGGGCAGTTTCCATCGACTTTGTTCCTACCAGCCTTTTGATATCATCACTCTATCGCATTTGTGGTCTTCTTCGACGGCATTTCTCACCCTACGGCCTGCACTCCAACACTGTCTTTTGCACCAAGAGCCTTATTAGGAATAAAAACATAAGACATGCTTATGAAACGTAGAATAGTAAAATTCAAAACCATTTGATCATATTAATCATGATTTGCACTCATTATAATGCCAATTAAGTGCTCTCATAGATAACAATAGTAGGTACACGTCTATTCTAATAATTATGCCATTGGCCTATATCTTATTATTCTTATAATAAGTGTTACCTTTACACAAGCGTTGCTTAAGAGGAAGGAAAATGAGATCAGCTTGCTTGTGCTTCTTCGAAATTATTTGACTCATCCAGGCGTATTTTTCTATATTTCATATGCAAGTATTAAGTCTCTTAGGATGGTCTAGTAACCCGCGGGGCCCAGCCGCGAAGAGGACGACAAATCAAAAGATGGGAGGATGATTTGTCGAAAGGATGGAGAAGGATAGCTCGAGATAGAGATAAGTGAAAGGAACTAGGGAAGACCTATGTCAAAAGACAACCTGACTAAGTGGTTGCTAGAGAAAATATTTTATCAAAAATTTGAGAAAATTGTTTTGTAAGTAGTATATAAGTTATAATGTGTAATATGTTTTTTCAGTGAATAGAGGCTTTTATTATTATTATTATTATTGAGTCTCTTACTTATTCTATACTACTACTTATACTTATATTATAAATGTGAAAGTGAGTTTGTTTGTATGTTACACTTTCACGCCTCAACGATATAAACTTTTTCGCCAATGGAAAGCTACATTATTAGTGAGTAACATAGCTGATTTTTAATATAACCAAAATCGACATACACGAGAGGGTAAATGAAAAAATATGTTCTATTTCTTCTCGAAAAAGAATATTAAATTACGTTCATGTAACCCTCACAGAAAACCAGTGTTATGTGTTTCTTTTGCTGCAACCCCCTTAATTCTAGCGGATACATGCCAAGAGTCGATAACGCATTTGTGACTGTTAAATTGCAGATATTTATGGGTGACAGTATATTATACATATACAACATTACTCGTAACAAAATAAAAGATTTATTCTAAACAGCTTCAAGCCTTTGATCCAGTGAAATTCTTGGGTAGTATTTCTTTTTCTGTTTTTTTATTGTTGTTTCCCTTGTCATAGGTATGGAAATTCCAATTTACAAATAATATTCAGGTGCCAATAATACCAAAGTCCGTGTGGTGACGGATTAAGAATACAGAGTGTCGTAAGAGCCGACTAAGGGAGAAAACTACGCAGAACAACAACACTGCAGAGAGAAGGAAAACTTGACACAAACCCTATACCCAGACGTCTGGCCCGCGTGGTATAGTAGGCCGAAACCTCCTTTCTAAGGAGAGGCCTATGTCCAGCAGTGGACTATTAAAGGCTGTTGATGTGATGTGTGAAAACAGCACTTTGATTGTTATTGGATAAATCCAATAACAATCAAAGTGCTGTTTTCACATAGTGGCATTTAATTTATATTTATATATTTAATACTACACTATTTAAGTTTTGTCTAGCTTGGAAACTTGGAAATAGAACGTGAGATACTGATTCTCCATTTTCTCTGTAGACCTCGCTGGTTAATTTTCCAACATGTTTTTCACAAAATGTTGAAATGTCTCAAACCCCGACGGAAAACAAGGGGTGTTGTCTGTCTGTCTGTCTGTGGATCATAGAACCCGAACGGATTGACCAATTTCGATGCGGTTTTTTTTTTCAAAAGCCGATTCTTCAAGATGGTTCTTAGCTATAAATTTTGAATATCATCAGGATTGAGGATCATCATTTTGAAGATCATCACTTCCTAGGTGATGAAGTTATCTCACTAAAATCCACAAGTTGGTATACTGTTACTTTGATGGTATTTCCACGACATGTTAACGTGTAACTTGCAGCTGCATCAAGTAGTCTGCGGAAAAGAGAACTTCTCAGAAAATCACAGCATATATACCATGTTTGGGCTTTATACTGTTTTTTTGTGTCGGGGATTTTTTAATATTGTATTATTTCTTTTCCTTTTCTTTACAACTTATTGACAAAAAAAGTGTCTACACATATTCAATTATTTCAGCATCATCTAGTAAAAAGAAACTGAACTTTTAATAACTAGTTCCAAAACCAAGGTTACTATTTTCGAAGTACAATTACACTTAACCTTGAGCAGTCAAGCTAGATTGGAGGACCATCTCTTTGAGTTGGTGTAATACAAGTAGCTCCAACGCCATATCCAACATGCGCATAACCAAGCAAAGATTTATTTAAAACTAATGATGAAAAAAATTAGAAATTACAAATTAGGCATTTATTTTTCAATAAATATTTATAAATTAAAAATTTATCTTATATTACGCATAAATTAAACTATATTATTTCAATAGCATTGAAAGTAAAGCGGTCATGATGACCATAGTAGTTGGTAGAAGGATGGCAGCGGAACCTCTAGCTGCTTCTAAAACGATTTGTGCATTTTCGTCGCCCCACTGCATATTGGCTCTGACTGAATTAATAGCGTTCAGACCTACGTTGTACTCAGGAACTAATGCCGTGTTTGCGTTCAACCAGGTCTCCATCTGAAAAAGTAAAAATTGTGTCCGTGAGCAAAGGTTTTCTGAAGATAATCTCGTATCGATTTTAGCTTGTTGATAAATTTAATAATTTAAACAGTTATTGAATCTTGATAATTTTTGAGTTACACATACATTTCATGAACAATGACATTCTGATACAAAGCTGACAAATGCTGTAGATATCGTCAATTAGCTTGGTCGTAGAAATGAGCAGCAGGGACGATAAACTGCTATTACCATATAAATACAAACTTTATAACTTAGTAATAAATTTCATTACATTTACTCTGATTGTAGATATATTTTTAATCGTTTTTAATTAAGAAAGATGAGATAGATATATTGTGTGACTTGAATGGAAGTAAAGCAATGAAGACAATAGTAATTATTGAAATGTGATGCAGAGGGATGATCGAGATATTGCAATCACAAATATGAATAAAAGTTGACGGGGATAAGGATATTGGACGTCTAAAGAAAAGTAGGATTGCCTTCATGAAAGAAAATATGTTTGGAAAGAGAGTAAGCTGTGAAATTACGAATGTAAAAAAAAACAAGAAAGGACTGTGATCTATTTCCAAGGAATGCAAAAATAATGATCTTTGCTATTTAGCCTTTTTTTACTCAGATATTCAGAACTCAGACATGTCATTTATATCATACGAAGTGAAATTACTTACATTTTGCAGACCTTCCTCGTCTAAGTAACTAATGAGAGTACTAAGGAAAGTGCTGAACGACAAAGGCGGTGTAAGGCTGTAAATTTAAAAATATAGTCATAAAATAAAACATTTAAGCTAACCTGTTTTTAGATCATATGTAATTATTAGTTCGGAAATTAATAAGGAGTTGATGTAATTTCTGATCAATAGAATCAATCGGGACTAACCCGCCTATGAACACGCCATCGTAAATTGGTCTAAACTTCAGGCAATTCATAGCGATGCAAATAACATTGGTCGCGTTAATTCCCGAACTAATAATTATTAGTTTATAAAAAGAAATATGTATTATTTAATAAATTATATATGAAAAAACAAAAAAAATTTTTTTTTTTTTGCAGTAATGATATATTATTTGAGATCGGTTTCGTTTACATATCAATCATTAGTAATGGACATGATAATAACTAAGAAATAGTTTCAGGTCTATTAGCTATTTTTTCACAAAAAAAAGTGTTTTTGACGTGACAACGTCTTATAAATTGGTTTGCCGGGTGACACTTCAAGAAACTGCGTTACGCTCCGCTCACGTTATGCGCTCACAATGAGAGCGAGTGAGAGGCACGCGTCCCTTCCACTCGGGCATGGTTAGCCCGCCTAAGAGCGAGAGAGACAGACATAAAACATCCTTCTTCCTACTATACGAATGAATATTCACATTAAAATTATTTTACCACTCAAAGTCGTTGTCACGTAAAACTTTCGCCCGTATACCGACTTTACAGGCAACCAATTTTTTTTTAATGTGACTATTAGAGGTTGGTTAAATTAACTTCCAAGATTGATTTACATAGTAGTGACTAAACTACCTTAGTCACAAGTAAAATTAAGAAAAAAAAAAAAAAAAAAAAACTCACTTTGTTCTGACAGCTACTATGTTGCTTTTCAACCATTCCAAAGCATTCTTAGCGTTGTCTCTATGGCCTATATAGTAGAACGAGAAGGCGTTCATTTTGTCTTGAGCTTTAATTTGTGTTGACAGAATCAAATCCAAATATCTGTAAAATTTAAAAAAAAATAAGAGTTTTTGTACACATGTATTTTAATGTATCAAGGCATATTTTTGTCTAAATTAATGAGAACAATTAAAAAAAAATATTTTCAATAAGTATTTTAAATTTACATTTCAATTATTGACATTGTATAAAATATTTATGCATTCGTAGATACCATATTATATTAATATAAATAAGATACATCTTATCAAAGAGAGAGTAGAAACTTTTTCATAAGAGAAATTATTTTTAAAACCATAAACAATTTACACATATTCATAGTTTAAACAAATATAAGACTTACTGTACTCCAGCCTGCTGATTCGTGGTACATCCCAAAGCTCTCAGCAAGACTAATTCAGCAGCCTGGTTATTCGACCTTCGATATAAGTTAAGTATGGAGTTAAAGTCTCCCATATCACCGGAACGGAGACCAATGCAATATACGTGACGCCTCAAGTTGGGGTTTACACTGAAAGAAATGAAACTATTGTTTAACACTGTCGAAATTTTTTTTTTAGTGAATTTTTTGATTAGATTAAAAATACCCATACATTTTAATCAAATCAAAATAATTTTATTTATTTATTTCTTGTGATAGAGGTATACTAGTAACCGAAATTACTGGTATTCCCGTTAACCCCTCCCGCTAAGCTAAATTGCTTGTGTTAGGAGTGTACTGGCCAGGATTTGAACCCACGATCTGTTGATCGCCAGTCCAACGCCTTAACCACTAGGCTATCGCCGCTTCTTATTCTCTATTATTTTTAATAATTTCTAAGAAAAATAATCAAAATAAAATTTAATCGAATCAAAATACCTTTTTGAATTTCGTTTTTAATCGTAGTATGAGTTCATTTTCGCAAAGTAATCTTTAAGTACATTACATATTTGGTACAAAAAACACACACAGGTGGTGCACAGGCGAGGCCAATTTCCCCTTTAATTTATTAGATTGTTACTCTACAAGATTAAGCTTTTATTATGACATACAGTGGTTATATACACTCTTAATAGTTGTAAGTCACGCAAACTTTAAGTTCGAAAACTACTTACATGTGATTTTAACTAAAAACAGTGTAGGATTAAATTACCCTGTTTTTATTACTAGTAGCATGGATAATTATAAAATTAAACGCTTTTTAGTTGTTACGGTATGTCAGTATATCGAAGGAAAATGAAACAAGTGGCAAATTAAGATGAAATAGTAATTAGTCTTATAAATGTAATGGTCCACTGCTGGACTTAGGCCTCTCCTTGGAAAGCCTACTATACCACGATGGCCAGACGGGTTGGTGTAGGATTTATGTCAAGTTTTCCTTCGTTTTGCAGTGCTGTTGACCTGCATAGTCTGTTTCCTTAGTCGGCTCTTACGACACCCAGGGGATGAACAGAAGTAGTGACAATCCGTCACAATACAGACGAGTAGTTAGTAATTTTAGTAAGTAAACATGGTATTATATTCACATGTATATAATACATAGAAAGTTATTTATCCTTCATCATCATCAGCCTATCGTAGTCCACTGCTGGACATAGGCCTCTCCCATTGCACTCCTTAAGAATCGATATTCGTATAAGGCGCCTGACGAAAAAATATGAAGAGTAAAATTTAGTGATCGAATGACCTCGTTACGTTCTTTGTGCGAAACTTTTCGTATACCTTTCTCATGTGTTTGTATAACTTGTATACTTGTGTGAAGTCGAATCGTTCTTAACGAGTATACTCCAGTCGTACGTCGGAGCTGACAAACACTCATTTTTTTCTTTGTTTGTTTGTTTGCTTGTTACGCTTTCACGCCTAAACCGAATTTAAAAATTCTTTCACTAATAGAAAGCTATCTTATCAGCAAGTAATGTAGGCTGTTTTTACCGCGATAACCAATATAATATTGTAAAAAATTATAAAAATAATGAAATTAAACTTACGGTGTACCATTAGTGACTAAAGCTCTGAATTTCGTTTGAGAATCGCTGATGCAGCCTTCGTGGCCAACGTTGCAAGCAAATGTAAGAAGGTAGAATCTGTTGAGTGTGGTGCTCAGATTTTCTGTTTCATCTACATCATAACCAAGGTGCTCAACGGTATTGTCCATGAAGTCAAGGATAATTTTCTAGGAAAACAAAATGTTTGTAAATAACTTAATTTCCTAAAACTTAGAATTATTATTATTTGGTATAATAGGGCAAACGAGCACACGGGTCACTCGATGGCTAGCAACTGCCGCCACCCGTGGGGACCTGCAACTCAAAAGTCACAAGTGCGTTGGCGCCCTTGGAATCCCTTCCGTTTGAGCCACCGGGAGGGGGGATTTGGACTCCGGTAAACTCAATCACTCAGTGAAAGGCAACGAAAAAATTGCTTAACACCAGGTATTTAAAGTAGAGTTATGTAATTTTACCATTCAATTTTACCATTGACACATGTCCGACTCATCTGATTCAAAGCTAGACAAAACCTGTAATCCTTACTGTGGTAACATATTTCTAGATACACACATGATATACATAAAATAATATCTTCACATCGAACAAATAATTGTGCTGATCGCTTAATTATTTAATCGCTTAATTACCTCAGGGTCAGCAGTCAGCACACACTAGAGCTACAGGCAAGCCATAATCGCAGTACTTGTATTCTTGTAATTTTTGAGTACAAAGACAGTCTTAATTTCATATAAATATTAAAAATATCACAAACCTTTTATCTTAAATCCTTTATTATTCTTCTCAACGAGCAAGAAAAAATATAACCAATTAATAATATTTTATCATTATTACTCGTATACTTAAAACTTCATACAGTACTTACATCAAACTCAGCTGAAACTTCAGGCAGATGCAGGAATCGATTCCTCAACCAGTTAAAACCAGTGATAGCAGGATACCACGAATAGAAGCTCGTATCCCTCTTCAAAAATTGAAGCACTTGGAATCCGAGCTCATATGTCATTCTGCGGGAACGCATCAGAGCGAACACGTCATCGACAATCTAAATTAAAATAACACATTAAATTTGTATGTAAACTTCTAACAAAAAAACTACTAAATGCCTGTAAATTCATCATTAACAGTCTTTAGTAGCACACTGCTTTACATAGGCATAGGCAACTTAGAAAGGAGGTTTTTGGGAGGAGACCAGACGGGTTGGTATACGGTTTGTTTCAAGTTTTCCTTCTCTTTGCAGTGTTGTTGTTCTGCGTAGTTTGCTCCCTTAGTCGGCTCTGACGACCCCCATGGGATAAACAAGAGTGATGACCGTATTCTTAATCCTTTACCACACGGATTCAGACGGGTCACCTGATAACTGACTACTAGAAATAGAAATTATTGCTACTTTTAAATCATATTCATTTAATAAAATACTGCTTTGATCACTGTGATTTCAGCTGTGATAAATCACTACTTAGATTTGGTTATAAACAACGCTTAATAAAAATTAATCAAATTGAGCTTTTTTTATATTTAGACCTTTCGCCTGTCTTGCGCTAGCGTAATAATAATAACAATAAGTCGCAGTGATGTTGTAAATAAATCACAGTTGTGATGAAATGATTAATCAATCATTCCTAGAGAATCACATCATTCCTAGTGACTACCGTCGCTAATCGACAGCTGCAACTCAATGGATATAAGTTCATTACCGCCCTTTGAGTGCTAAACCAAACAACAGTGAGAAGGCTTGGGGAACGGTAATCTCACACAGCAATGAAAAAAATAATTAACACTGGTTTTCTATGAAGTCATGGTATTATCCTGGTCTGGACTCTCCTGTGATTAAAAGCATTCAACAATAAATTGTTACCTGAGCTCGATTCAAATGGTGAATACTGCTGAAGTTTTCGCTCAACGCATTCGCAATCAGTTGCCAGTTATGCGAGTCGTAGTTGACACGGTACATATCTTAAAGGAAATGAAACTGATTACAGCATGTATAAGTAAATATATTACTAGATTTAGCCGGCGACTTCGTCCGAGTGGATGTCGAAATCAGTCATCGTAGAGGATACAATGAATGAAGACTATAGGGTATAACTCTTCATACACACTTGCACTCCTTTTTAGGCTCTCCTTTTTGGAAAAAACAGTAACAACGTTTTTTATTGCTTTCAATAAAGAGTATTTACTGTGAGTTTAAAAAGGCTAAGCCCCAAAAATGACGAAGTTTCATATAAATTTACAACCCCCACTTTAAACCCATTAGGGGTAGAATTTTTAAACAATCCTTTCTTAGTGCACACCTACGTCACCGAAGGAACATTCGAGAAAAGTTGCATGTTTCTAGACCCAGCGGTTTCAGCTGTTCAGCTGTGCGTTGATCGATCAGTCAGTGAATTAGTCTGTCAATTTCTTCTTTTATTCATATACATAGATTGGTATTTATTATTATTTTAAGCGACTTCATAAATGGAATGAAGCACTGGTTATATTTTTTTTTTATGTTTATTGTTGTTTGAACGTCTTCATTCATTGATTTGAAACATTCTTTATTTTTGAGGCCAGTTTAGTCTCAATTAAATTTCAAGAAAAATACCAACCCTGAGGATGGAAATTTAAGAAACAAGCTACAAGCTAGTATTCTACACAGAGCTTTAAACTAATCAACCATAATTTTCACTTTAATTATTAAATTCGAGTCTGCAACAACTACCCAGAGATATCTCTTAAGATATTTTAGGAGTAACGTGCACGTAATAAACGTAAGGAATCATATTATGTGCATTTTTAAAATCAGAGTTAGAATAAACATATTGTAATAATAATAATAACACATTTCACACAAGACAGTCTGATCTTAAACTAGGCAGAGCCCGTACTAACCGAACTGCTGATAAACATCATCATCATCATCATCTCCGCTGCATCATCCCAGGCTGCCTCCGATGTAGTTCGTGCGTCGTCGTCGTCGCCCATGGAGGAGGTTGTAGAGACGATCCAGTAATGGATCAAGTCTCCAACCTCCTGGTCCAGACGAACCTGAACCACTGTGCCGCGGCGCAGGATCTCTTCCTGCAAACCATGGCACAGTGGTCGATAGGTGTTGCCGTAGTCGCGGAGCCCTATTCTGTCCCTCCCCGTCCAAACTGGATGGGTGACTGGGACGGCTCCGTGGCAGTCGTCGGTTCCACGACGGCTCATTCCCCGCCCTTGTCGCTAAGAGACAAGGGCACTGGATATGTTGCCGTCGAGTGGGGGGGGATCACCATATATGGTGTCTATTTCTCCCCCAACCGGAGTTTGAACGACTTCGAGGTTTTCCTAACCAGCTTGGAGACCTCGATACGGCGACTAGCGTCTGGGCACGTCCTTGTGCTGGGGGACTTCAACGCAAAGTCCATTGCGTGGGGTTCCCCCAGGACGGACGCCAGGGGCGAGGCCGTAGAGGAGTGGGCGGCCTCGGTGGGCCTCTGTCTTCTAAACAGAGGCTCCAACAACACGTGCGTGCGACAGCAGGGGGGGTCGATAGTGGACCTCTCGTTCGCTACCCCTGCCCTTGCCGCACGAGTAAGGAACTGGCGTGTCCTGGAAGAGGTTGAGACGCTCTCGGATCACCTGTACATCCGATTTGAGCTCTCCCGGACCCAGGACTCCAGTAGGGGTCACGTGGCGCGGCGTTTATCCCGCTTTCCGCGGTGGGCTGTTGCCAGGCTGAACCGGGACCTACTAGAGGAGGCAGCCATAATTCACTCGTGGCTGTCTCCTCAGGCTCCGACCGAGGAGGTCGACGTGGGGGCTGGCCGCTTTCGCGATGCGATTACGCATGTATGCGATGCGGCCATGCCCCGCGTTCGAGGTCGTCGGCCTCCAAGGAAGGAGGTCTACTGGTGGTCCCAGGAGCTGGGGGACCTCCGTGCGGCCTGTACACGTGCCCGGAGGTCCTACACGCGCAGTCGGCGGCGTCACCGTGGAGACGGTGAGGAGGACCGGCTTCATGAGGAGTACCGACGGGCGCGGAAAACTCTGAAGCTGGCCATTAGCCGCGCCAAAGAAGAAAAAAGACAGGAGATGCTGGAGGGTCTTAATCGTGACCCCTGGGGCCGCCCTTACCGCGCGGTGCGACAAAAGCTCCGCGCGTCGGGCCCCCCCCTTATGGAGACTCTCCAGCCCAGCTTCCTGCGAGAAGTGGTTGAGGGCCTTTTCCCACAACGGGCGGAACACACTCCCCCGTCGATGGCCTCCTTGGCCGGAGACGACGGGGAGCACGGGGAGGATAATGTTCCGCCCGTCCGGGAATCGGAGGTAGGGGCGGCTGTTCTACGGATCCGTTCCAAGAACACCGCCCCTGGGCCAGACGGGGTACCGGCCCGAGTGCTGGCCCTGGCCCTCAACCACATGGCAGACCGCCTCGGGGAGGTGTTCGACGCTAGCTTGGCGTCGGGACGCTTCCCTGAGTGCTGGAAGTGCGGGAAGCTTGTCCTATTGAGGAAGCCGGGACGGCCTGCCGATTCAGTCGCGGCCTATAGGCCCATCGTGCTGCTGGACGAGGCGGGCAAATTGTTTGAGAGGGTTCTTTCTGCCCGCATCGTCCGGCACCTCTGCGAGGTGGGCCCCGATCTGTCGGACGCCCAATTTGGTTTTCGGGCGGGGCGTTCGACAGTCGACGCCGTGTTGCGCCTGAGGGCCGTGACCGAAGAGGCCGTGAGCTGTGGCGGCGTGCTGTTGGCGGTGTCACTGGACATCGCCAACGCTCTCCACTATCATGGGGTGCCATGGGAAGCACTCCACTATCATGGGGTGCCAAAGTACCTGAGGCGGCTGGTGGCAGACTATTTAGAGGAGCGTACCGTCGTGTACGAGGACCGAGAAGGTAATTTGAGGTGTCGGCCCATGTCGTGCGGTGTTCCACAGGGGTCTGTTCTTGGACCCCTCTTGTGGAACATAGGGTACGACTGGGCCCTTCGCGCCGATTTCCCCCCCGGGCTGGGTGTAATCTGTTACGCAGACGATACCCTCGTGACAGCCCGGGGGGCAAACTTCCAAGAGGCGGCGGGCCTGGCCACAGGGGGAGTCTCCCTGGTGGTCGGGCGCATTGAGGCGCTGGGCTTACGGGTGGCCCTAGATAAGACGGAGGCCCCGTCGTGGTCCACCCCCTGGCGCCTCAATCGTGGTCAACTCGGTCCTCGTACCGGTTCGGGCCCAGATGAAATATCTGGGCCTGATCCTCGACGGGAGGTGGCTCTTCGACGAGCACTTCCAACAGCTTGCTCCAAAGCTGGTCGGCGCTGCGTCCGCCCTAGGGCGACTTCTGCCCAATATGGGTGGACCCAGCGTCGCGACAAGACGGCTGTACACGGGGGTTGTGCGGTCAATGGCACTGTACGGTGCACCGGTGTGGGCGGCGGCTCTGACCGCCCAGAATAGGGTACGCCTCTGGCGCCCTCAGAGGGTAATGGCGGTCAGAGCCATACGCGGTTACCGCACCGTTTCTACGGAGGTGGCATGCGCGTTGGCCGGAACTCCCCCGTGGGATTTGGAGGCGGAAGTGCTCGCCGAAGTTTATCGGCGAGTGGCTGACTCCCGGGCGGAGAGCGGATTTCGCCCTCCGCCCGAGGATGTGCGCGAGTGGCGCGAAGCCGCTCGCCGAGCCACGATGGCTCGTTGGTCGTTCCGGCTGGAGACTCCACGCGCTGGCTTCGCCGCCGTGGAGGCTCTCCAGCCGGTCATCGCCGAGTGGGCAGGGCGGCAGCACGGGACCCTTTCCTTCCGGCTGACGCAGGTGCTTTCCGGGCATGGTTGCTTCGGAAAGTACCTGCACACGGTCGCTAGGAGGGAACTGAGTCCCGCCTGCCACCACTGCGACTGCAGTGAGGACTCGGCCCAGCACACGCTGGCGGTCTGCCCCGCATGGGCGGCGCAGCGCCGGGCCCTCACTGCAGTCATCGGAGTGGATCTCTCGCTACCGGCCGTAGTACGCTCCATGGCCGGTAGCGACAGTTGTTTTACCGCGGTCGCAACCTTCTGCGAGGTAGTAATCTCGCGGAAGGAGGCGGCGGAGAGGGCCCGGGAGGACGACCTCCACTCGGACCCGATCCCGCCTACCACAGCCTCATGCCGCCCTGAGTGTGGCCGCGGGTGGACGGGGTGGGTTTCCCCTCCACCCGCATTAGTTGGCCAGCCGCGAGGGGGCGGCGTCCGCGTGTGCCGGACGTCGCCTAAAGAGAGGAACATCCACATTGAGACGGAGCCCGCACCAGGAGCGGGCTGGCGCTAGGAGGGGTCCGGATGTCTTAACAACAGCTGTTCCCGGATCCCTCCTGTTACAGGCGCAGAGTGGCACACCGTGTGGTTTTAGTCGGTCCGAGTCCTACACACCACCCCGCCGCAAACCCCGGAGGGGTGACGGTCCGAGGGGATTTCCACACGTTAAAAAAAAAAAAAAAAAAAGGGTTTAGTTCAAGTTTTTCTTCTCTTTGCAGTGTGGTTGTTCTTCGTTGTTTACTCCCTTAGTCGGCTCTTACATGAACATGCTTGCATGTTTCTTTAATACTACACATTTTAGATATTATATACCAATAACAGAGAACAAATGATCGTGCACATCACACAAGCATTTGTCCTGGGTTGAAATTGAACCTTTAGTTGAAGAGTCAGGGTCACTATCTACAGGCCTATCTATAGACCGACAGGCCAGTCGAGTTTCTACTTTTTTTTATATTTACACAGTTATTTAAGTTTTAAATAAATTTGTCGGTTATATAATGAACTAACTTTTTTGCTGCAAATTAAATATAACCCATTCTTCTCCTGAGGTTTTAGTGAGTGTGGTAGATCTTGTGCCCATCACCTGAGACGCCTGCAAATTATCCCAGTTGGGGGAACTGCCAGTTGTGTAGGTAAGGGGCAACGGCCATATTTGTTGTGTTGTGTTTACTGATGCGCTGATGAAGAATCGTTCCTAATAGAATGAAAACCGAACTGTTAAATGGTTGCTACATTCAAAATAATTCATTCTATACTCACCCTATGATCTTACTACGATATTTGTTTGTTACTAAATCACACCAGAACGGCTGTCCGAATCTGGTTGAAATTTTACACAAAGAAAGATCATAGTCTAGAATAGCACACAGATTACTCTTTCTTTTGTGAAATTACTATCAAAATCAAGCAGTTTATTATAAGTTTTGAAGAGGTGACATACTTTAAATATCATAAAACGTACAACAATTAACAACTACTTACGAGTAGGTAAGTTTTATTTTTAATTCTTCGTTTTACATAGTGAAGAAAGTAGGTAGTTACAAAAACTAAACCAAAAGAAATTCTACCTGAAAATATTATTACAGAGGAATTTATATTAATTACTTCAAAAATTTTAACAATTTCTCGTGAAACGATAAAAATAAACCTTTCAAGATGTATTATTCTCATCTAATCATGAACAATTGATCATTTTTTTGACCGCATGTTATAGTCATATTAACAACCAAAGGGTATTGTGATAACATTTTTCTTATATTACCTGTGTCAGGGTCATATCGCCGGTTTCCATGTTAGTATTTACGGTCAGCACGGGATATCCAACCTCATCAACCCAGGTTTGCATAAAAGTGCCGATTTCAACGTTAGTTAAGCCGTCTTCACTGACTGCTCTCCTAAAGGCGTTGTAAAGATCTACTGGGAACGCCTCTCTGTATGCTCTGAAAACAAAACCAGTTTAGTTAATAGGGTTCTGACTGCAGAACAAATAATTGTGTGATGAGAACGATAATTAGTTCGGTGTCTCGGTGTAATTCGTTAAAAATATATTAGATGTAATCTGCCATGCTTCGCCGGAGCACATTGTGGTTGCAAAATATAGATAAAAACCATTTTTGAAGCGTGTTGTCTAACCTGTCAAAATTTGAGCTCAATCGGTGCAGAATTTTTAGAGTTTTTGAAGCGTACACAAACTAACTTAACATTTTTACATATATATATATATATATATATATATATATATATATATATATATGTATTTAGAAGTATACAATTATGTTTATCAGCAGTCTGGTTGCCACAGTGCTGGCTCTGCCTTGTTTGGGAACAAACTGCCCTGGGTAAAATGTGTAAGGTAATTCTTTTTCTTAGTGGAACAAAAAATATTTTTCTGCATGTTGATATAATAACTCATACCTGTCAAGTAAAAAATAGTTCAAGGCCTTCTTAAAGGTATCTTCGCTAACTAGGTGCTTCAGCATGAGAAGCAAGGAAGCTCCCTTAGTGTAACTGATGCCCGTGAAATGGCCGGTGACCTGCGTGGGACTGTTGACAGTGTGTTGCAAAGCCCTGGTCGATGTTGTTTGATCAGACGATAATGCACTTTGCAGGTACATGATGTTAAATTGATCTTCGAGCTCCAAAGATTTATCAACCTATGATAAAAAAGTAATTATTAGATCAATACTAAATCATTTATTCATACATACTCTCACTGCATATATCAATATATACCCGAAAGGTTTAGCAAGAGGTATATTGAAGGCCCACACCATCACATCACATCAACAGCCTTTAATAATTCACTGCTGGACATAGGTCTTTCCTTAGAGAGGAGGTTTTCGCCTACTATACTACGCTAGCTAGATGGATTGGTATAGGGTTTGCTTTAACTTTTCTTCTCTTTGCAGTGATGTAGTCCTGCGTAATTTGCTTCGATAATCGGCTCTTACAACACCCATGGAATAAATAGGGGTGGTGACACTCCGTATTCTTAATCTGATACCATACGGACTTTGCTGTGGCAACGCCCACATTTTGCGTAATATTATTTCCACTTATGTAAAAGAGGGCAAGTCTATTACCATCAACATTGGGGCATTGAGAGATTAAGATAAGAAAATAAGGAGTTAATTGCAAAGAAACATACTCGTAGATAGGAAGAGAAGACAAGATAAGAAGGGGAATATTGCTCACATAGACGGATAAAATGGAGCGTTTAAGCAGTAAACTGAAGAGATCAGAGTCGCATATCTGTGACACTAATTGGCTGCTGCTTAAAAGTTTTATTTCTAAAGCAAATATTAATTTAGAAAATATAACTTACACCATCCATTGCAAAATATTCGAAGTAGCTGGCGAATCCTTCGTTAATCCAGACATTGTCCCACCATCTGCAGGTGATGAGGTTACCAAACCATTTGTGAGCTAATTCGTGAGCAGTGATAGTTCCGATGCTCAATTTATCCACAGCATTCGTTTCACCTTCTTCGTACAGGAGACGTAGTTCCCTTAAAAAGTAGAGATCGTACTGTTATTAAAACGACGTATGAACCTTCTTCGATTAAATCGGAAATGTTCCATATTTTTTTATTAAGCAACACTTTTTTAAACCTAATAGCGCGTGATGGTAGTCTGACAAATGTTTTGCTGAAAGGAATAAACAACCACTGTTTTAATTTGATCTTTGGCTACAGTAAAAAAAAACAGAAAATGGGTGAAAATTTTAGTAACTCGATAAATATATTTTTAAATTTAAATATAAACTGCTATGTTCCTCATTTGTTGTAATGTGTTTGGGGTAGTAAATGCGTAAATTGTAGAATAAATTACAGCAATATATAACTAATTGGAGACGAAAACAGAACGATACGTCCTACATATATTGTTTAACTATCCGTAATATTGTGAAAAATAAACCTGTATTTAAATCAAAACATCCTTTCATAGAAAAGCTAGTCAAGTAAAATACACGGGGAATACAATATTTTTCTGACATATGACGTAATGTCTGTTTGAATGTTTAGCATTACATACATAGAGTACAATACCTTATTTTTATACCACTGGGTAGAGCCCTGTTTTTATTATGACAAAAAAATTATGAAAGGTTTTACCTGTAAGTGACAAGACCCCAATTTTCAGTAGCGCCAGAGGCCCAGTAAGGTGAGGCAATTTGATCATTTTTTATATTTGGCTCCATGTTGTAGTAATCAATATTGAAATAATTGCTTAACCACGTAGTAAGAGGGGGTCCAACTTCCAAAGCATATTCGCCCTGTCCTCTAGCGTTTGGCCTGCCCAGGATCCTGTAGGGCCTGACTATATCTTTGTTGTCAGCAAGGACAGTAAAGTCTTCGCTGATGTGGAAACTTATTAAATAAGCTGACATTCGAGGAGTTCTTTGAAAGACTTCTCTCACGCGGTTGCCGTTTCTGAAATTCATAAAATATAATGTAATGTATCCGTGTGGTGACGAATTAAGAAAACGCATTGTCACCACCCCTATTCATACAGTGGGTGTTTTAAGAGCCGACTAAGAGAGCAAATAACGCAGGACAACAGCACTGCAAAGAGGAGGAAAACTTGAAACAAAGCTTATACCAAAGGGCCAAAACCTCCTTTAAAGAGAGGCCTATGTCCAGCCAGTGGACTATTAAAAGCTGTTCATGTGATGTGAGATGACACTTATTCAATATTCCTTTCGATAAACTGACGTACCATAACAAGTAAAAAGCGATTATTTTTTACAATTATCCATGCTAGTAATAAAGACAGCTCATTCAGTATGATGAAGGTAACTAAAGTTTTTATGACAGATTTGTTACTGTGTTTGTCATTCAATATTTTGATACGAATACGAAATTCTGTTTGATACGAATTTGCGGCTACGAGCTAGTATTTATAAAGAGCTAATTAAAATATGCACAAGACATATCTATATCTAGTGGCAGGTAGAGGTTTAGAACTCTCCCGGCCCGCCAGGCCCGGGAACGGGCCAGGTACCGCTGGCGACTCAGGCGCCGGAGGTTGCAGAACGACCTCCGTCCTCCATAAGCGAAGGCCTGGGGGTGACAGGTGAGGCCATCAGTCACCCTTTTTTTTTTTTTTTTTTTTTTTTTTCTTGCGGAAATCCCCTCGGATACCACCTATCGGTGGCATGTCGGACCATCTGTCACCCTAGCAGAAGCAGGCCGGGGCCGGGGGCAAAAAAAAGGTACACTCATGTACAAAAATATGTTATACCATATACCATGCCTAATACCACAAAAAAAAAATGTCTGTTATTTATTTTTTAAATGGAGTGTGGATTGTGCCTAATGTGTTTTTGTTTTTTTTAAAGACAACTCCCCCATTCGGAATAATTATATCCTGTTTCGCGGGGGACTTTACAAACATACATGAAACGGACACAAAGATCACCTAGACTCAGAACAACAATTTGTGGATCACACAAAGTGTAGTCCCATGTGGGGATCGGACCCACAACACTCAGCGTAGTAGTAAGCGGCGCCATCCGTGCAGTCAAATCTATACTAATATTATAAAGCTCTTCAGCTAGTTTGTTTGTTTGAACGCGCTAATCTCAGGAACTACTGGTCCGATTTAAAAAATTCTTTCAGTGTTAGATAGCCCATTTATCGAGGAAGGCTATAGGCTATATATCATCACGCTAAGACCAATAGGAGCGGAGCACCAATGAAGAACGGAGAAAATTTATTACTATTCAGAGACACAGACGAAGTTGCGCGGGTCAGCTAGTCGTTTATAATGATTGGCCAACGGCTGATTAAATGACCGTTTTTCAATTAGAAGATATTGTCAAATTCTTATTCTCTCCAGTTGACCTTAAAGGGATAGTGAAAATAGTGGATTTAACAAGGTGTCATGAAGTGACGTGAGTCAGCAGATTCCCCAGCCATACGGTTTTAGGCTGAACTGTCATACATTCAAACTGCAATGTTTCTTATTTTGTGAATTGTGATATATTAAAATCAACTTACGGTGTGCTAGATACAAGGTGCATGTTTGCGTAGGTCTCGCCGTAATTGGCTGGCCTGTTAATAATGATGTCGAAAGTTGACTTGAAACCGGGCTCATCTAAGCTCGGGAATGCCTGCCTAGAGTGGGTTGGCTGCAAATGCGTGGCTGCATACCAGCTGTAAACAAATGGAATAATTGTATGTTAAATAACTTTATTTTGATTTAGCACTTTGAGGAATGGGTGTTATGTAGTTCCAACATAAAGAGAGGATCCTCTGAAATAGTGAGTTCAAAATGCTATGCGGCCCTCGGACCAACGGTTGTAGTCTGGAAGTTTTTGAAATTTCTTATTTTGACGGATTGAGTCGGAGTGTCACCACCCACATCCATCCCGTGGGTGTTGTAACAGCCGGCTAAAAGAGAAAACAGCAGAGCCAACCTGACAGCACTGTAAAGAGAAGGAAAACTTGAAACAAACCCTATACCAATCCGTCTAGCCATGGGCCAAAAGCTTATTTCTAAGGAGCAGCCAATGTCCAAGAAGGCTGTTGATGAAATATACTAATCAGGGTGAGGATTTTCATTGCGCGGTTCAGTATGTGCGCATGTATTCTTCCTTAGACATATGTATGTTTTTATGTGATAAAGAAGTTTCTGTTTTAAAGATGATAATAATAAAAATAATAAGGACACAACATTAATTACCAATGAAGATTTTATGTCTTTTATTTGTTTTTATAATAATTCAAGACTACTTCTTATCAGTCAGTCTATTTTTCAGGATGACTTAGAAATTTCAATTAGAAATTCAAAAGAATGATTTTTATAACACAATTCTCAAAAGGCTTGTCAGTAAATAAAATATCGACTGCTTAATTTTAAACTTTTGTCATATAATTCTCATAGTTGCGATTAAGTGGTTATTGGTTCCAAAATTCCAAAACTCCAGAGACGTGAATATACTTCTTTTTTTTTGAACACGTGGTAACCTATTCGGCCCGCCACCCGAATGTAATTTGCGATTACCTGGTGTGAAGGAATCGAACCAACTAAGAACACCCAGTGTGCCACACTTACGCCTTAAATAGGAGGAATCCGGGAACAGCAGTTTTTATTAAGATAGCCGATCAGCTCCTAGCGCTCACCTTTGGGTAAAACACTCATTTAAGCGATGTCAAAGAATACGCCGATGCTGCCACTTAGCAGGTGGCAACAACTACCATATATAAAACTACTGCCTTATGTGAATACTCTCAAAAGTATACTTACTGTACTCTCCCATCATCTCCTATGTAGTTTCCTCTGAACACACCTCTTGAGAGAGGAGTCTCATTAATATTGCCTACATACACCACAGTCAGTTGGTACGATGCTCCATTGACTAGAGTATTTCCTGCGGCAAGGTTCACTCGAAGGAAATGATACTCCCTGATTCGGTCATACGAAGCTACAGTTACAGGTACACCGCTTGCAGTAGTCAGACTCACGGAAACTATCTCTCTGACATTCTCTTGAATAACGAACGAGTTTAAGTTGCTTTGTGTAGCCTGAAACAATATAATAAAAACTCAAGAGTTAATCTGCTCCTATTTCCAGTTTGTGTTTTTATTAGATTTTTGAAGTGAAAACTTCTTTAGGGCATTTTTGAACAACAAACAAAAGAATGTATTTTTTTTAAATTGCAAAAAAAATGTACTCTGGACACCGTTACCGTTAACGACACCTCTGTATATACTCGTAAGTATCTACATATATTGGCCCCCTTTACACGAGAGTTGAGTTTGGAATACATCGATAATATAACTATATAAAATATAAACATATGTTGTGTATCTACGTACAACATATTATTATATACATATATATTCATATCAGCAGTTTTCGAATCAAAGAAATCAATTTTTTTTTATGCATAACTATGGGTAATAATCACAAACGTAAATTTAGTTCTCAGTAAATAAATATTAAACATATAATATAACTTAATCATTAATTTTTCCTACCGTAAATGTAAGTGTGACAATTCCGTCGAAGGTGAAGGCCTCCTTGTTGCCCTCCGCTTCAAAGTAAGGAGTGATTTCGACCACGTAATGAATAGGGTCGATATCTTCAGGTACACGGTAGACCGCGTCGTCGTTGCGGACGTTGGCGACGGGAGCTTTGACGTCCACAGGGAAGTCAGCTCTTGCAAGAGCGACGAGCGCTAAACATGTGAGGCTGATGATATGCATGGCGCTAAAATTGAGACAATATTTGTTAATAATAATTTGCTGATAATAATTTGTGTAAAAATGTATTTTAAAGTTTAGCATAAACAAAAGAGGCTAATTATGAACTGAAGCGTCATTTAAATTGTTATTTTGTCAATCACCTAAATATAGAAAAATCATTCGGACCTTTGCACGTGGATTCTGTGCATGTGTGAATGCTAAGGACAGATATGTGTATGTCTGACCCTAGCATTCACACATGCAAACATATTCACAAAATTATTATTTTTCACGACATAAATAGTAGCCTATATCCTATTCCAGACTGTTATCTATCTTCCAAGTTCCATCTCACTCTGTTCACCCGTTTTTGAGTAACAAAAACCCGTCCATTAATTCCCATTTATAATGTTGGTCTAGTAATTACATTAGTAATATCTTGTAAAATGAACAGTTAATTCATACCTCATGATATTCTTTGTATTAGTTAATATATCGGCTCCACTTACAAATAATATTTATTATAAATAGGCTATGTAGCTTATTTATTTGTATCGTAAACATCATCAGTATTCTATCTTATCATTTAAACAATAGATGTTATAAAAATTATTGTTTAAGCATTCATTAATGTGTCATTGAAAAAAATGTGATGTATTTATATTACATGCAATCTAATGCTGCGATTATGAAATGGTGCCTATCTGAGAGCTTTCATATACCATTTTAATTTGATCAAAATGAAATAATGTACTGGCAAATATTTTAACTTATTTACTGAATATGCTTCCACGGTCTGCAAACAGCGTATACAATTAATTAGTCGACTTTGGTATGAACCCTGTGGTGACGGATTAAGAATACGGAATGTCGCCACCCCTATTCATCAAGTGGGTGTCGTTGATGATGAGGATGGTATGAACCAACGAGCAAAAACTGTTTTAAACAAATATAATTAAGAGTAATAGACAACCTTAATTCCAAACAATAAGAGTTTAGTTTAGCACCGTAAACTTAAAAGTGATTTCTCTGGCGAATAAAGAATAAAATACCGATCCCTATCAGAAACAGGACAAGCCGGATAAAAAAGAAGCCAACCTGGAAAGGTTAGCATGTGATGAAATTAGTTAGACTCAACTGTTTTAGTTTAATGTCTTTTTAGGCGTACTATCGTGCTTATTATCGATATAAATACTACTAGTAGTTTAATGCAGTTGGTCTAAACACAGATCCAACATATACCTAAGAAACCTCCTCGAAAACATACATATACGAGTATATAAGAAACCCCTTTTTGGCCCCATCTGCCATCTTTTCTGCGAGCAATGTGCCCCGTCTGCGGATTGCCTCATTCCTGATTCGATCACGAAAAGAAACTCCAAGCATTGTCCTCTGCATTAATCTTTTGGTGGCGTAGAGCCTTTTTATAAGGTCCATTGTGAGCGATCACGTATATGTAACATAAGTCGTCACTGGCCACATACACTGGTCATAGACTTTTATCTTAAGACACTGCTTTATTTTGGGTACGAGAAAATGTCACGCAGCTTCCCGAACGCTGCCCAACCTAGTTGGATTCCACGTTTGACCTCTTTTTCGACCTACCTAACTGGATAGTTTGTACTTGGTAAACATAGTCGTCAACAACTTTGAGCGTAGTCTCCAATTTTCACTGGAGTGGGAGCGACATGGGCGTTCGACATAATTTTCGTCTTATCCATGTTCGTTTTAAGACTAACTCAAATAGAGATAGGGTCTCTAAGGTCATCGAGCATTATGGTAAGGTCTTGCATGGTTTCAGCCTTGACAACTATAATATAAGCAAATCGAAGGTGGGTGCTATACTAACCATTGACGTTGATGCATAGTCCATGTCAGTCCAGAAGCTTGCCGCCTCGGTGAACAGTTTCGGAGATATTACATCTCCCTGCCTTACACCTCGCCGTAGATGGACTGACATAGTAAGTAGCGTTCTCCTTCAAACACTTTAACACTTCGATGTACCGAAAGTCGATTTGGCACCGCTGAAGAAACTGTAGCATAGCCCAAATTTCAATCGAAGCAACATCTGTCTCATAGTCCACAAACGCCAAGCATAATGGAAGGTAATCTCTCTTCGGACTTCTGTAAAACCTTGTTTTAGGCAGCCTGTCGACTGGCTAGGCCCCGGCGTTTGCAGAGAATCTCAGGGACGTTTGCAGCATCTCTGCCCCGTCTGGTGATTGGCGCCCGCCCGTCTGGTGATTGACCCGCCGCACACGCTGGGCAATGAGGGGCGGCAAAGTCCGCTGCAGTCAAAACAATTTTCACACTTGACGCGTATGTGTCTCGTCGCTAGGCATTTAAAACACCTCAACGGTCATGCCGCCAGGACGGTGATCCTAGCGTTAACTATAGCGACAAAGAGCAAACCAGCGTCGCCCAGAACTTTGGCTACGGGATAGCTGACACACACAGCGCCAAGTCCTCCTGAACCGGGGCGGATGGTGCCAAACCTGATGTTGCAGTTCGTGAGTAGATATAGTGTGGCCACAGGTGCGGATGCCGACGCCGCCGCAGCATACGTCACTTACGTCACAACAGAAAGCGGCCGTGCCGTTGTGTATGTATGTGATAAATGGTACTAAAGCTTTTTCGGAAAGCGGCTCGTTCTGGAGGCTGGAAGTTATCAAATCTGTTTTCAAATAAAAGCATCACCACACCTTTGAAAAATGCCTGACGTGTCTTCCCAATCGAGAATGGAGGCGATATTTCTTTTGAAGGATTTTCAATAACGGCTTTCCGTTCTTTTCCGTTCTTTTTCGTTCTGAAGGCACGTCTTCAGGAGTTCAGACTTAATTTCATCTTCACCAGGTGCCTTGTTGTTTTTAAGCTATTTTAGAGCCATTCTTATCTCATACAGACTGATATACGGTAAGACTTCGGTATAGTGTCGCTCTTATGAAATATATTTGCAGGTAAAAAGGTTGAAATTTTCATAATATTGTGACTGGATGTGTTTAGTGTAATGATTCGATATCTCAGTGTACGCCAAGGATGCGACTATTATTTGTTGTGTATGTGTTTAAACTTTCTCATGTAAGTAAATTATTATTTAAATTCTTATGAGAAATAAAGATATCAAACCTCAAACTTTAGGTAAGAATAAATAAATGAAAAATCTAGTATCATTTCTTTGTGTAATTATTTTTGCGCACGATATGACAGTATTAAATAAGTAAATGCTATAAAATCATTTGTTTAACTATAATAAATAAATGTATGTATGTTTAAGGAAGGTAGACACAGTCAGTTCATTCTAGTTTTTTTTGTTTTTTTTTTAGCTACTCAAAGTAGTTTTTTGGTCTCTTCGATCGACGGAGTCCAGAGCTCGCAACGTAGGTGACATTGGTAGTATTTAACTCAGCTATCCTAAATGTGACTGCAATACTCCATGTAAGATCACTATTGGACTAAACAAACATTAAGAAAATACGAGTATTTATAACAGAAAACCGGACCGGACCTTTCAATACATTTTCAATTTTTTGAAAGCTATGTGCCTATGTATAGTGTTGACTTCATTTGTTTTTCAAATTTAAATTTGGCAGTTTGACACAATGACTAGCCGCAATTATTTAGTAATCTTTATTTAAAAAGTTCAATTTCTGTTCCATTTTTTTTTAAATTCTTCTAATGGGGTTTATGAGTAAAGTAATATTGAGTAAAATATATAATTATGTAAATAACAATACGTACCTGTTCTTCAATTACGCCATGCAAAATGAACGGTATCAATACTATATTATACTGGCTGTATATGATAGTTTTGATTAGATAACGTCATCATATTACTGCAATATTTAAATAAAAAGATTATGATAATCCGGTTACAGATTAGACCAAATACATATTTATGTTTTTCTTTATCTGTAATGTTAACTTATAATAGGCAAGATAATAACCAAGGGTTTGTCGTTTTTTTGGTTGACCACTATCATTTTACAAGAATGCTTTTCTTGGTAGCTTATCTTTTGAGGAACTAGCATCACGCAATGTAGGTAAAACTGCTCGGCAATGTCTGTCTTTAATAAATATAAGTACTACTCTCAGAAGTTTTGATTCTTATATTTTCTTATGAATGTTATCGTTTTTTAAACCAAATACCGCTATAAATAATGTAAAATGTCATATCATTATTAAGCATTTCCCTTAATGATTTGAAAAACCCACGCTATATAGATATATACGGATATAAATTTATTTCAATATATGGATATCAATGTATCAATGGATTTTCCCTAACACCTGTTTTTTTTTCTAACTTGTATGTCCGCTTAGGTATATCATTCAGAGGGCAATGTAATCGCGTTAAAATGGCACCAAAAGTAAGATACTTAAGCTGGTCAGGACGGCATCCTGTAAACTCAAATAATTGTAACTACAAAAACTCGTACCGGATAGTGCGAGCCTAGGTCAGTTGTTTTTTGTCGTAGTCAGTTTATTTTAAATGGTTAAGGTTCCATGAAGGGCTTGGGTACCTCAAGAGAGTTTGTACTGATTCTATTTGATAGCATTGTCATTTTTCAGTAAAATAGTAAAAAATCTGGATTTACTGTATTACAGTGGACAGTAAATTTTCTTGGGCTGAATAAATCGTCGGTTAGACAGAGCGGCAGCACGGGACCCTTTCCTTCCGACTGACACAGGTTCTTTCCAGGCACGGCTGCTTCGGAAAGTACCTGCACTCGGTTGCTAGGAGGGAATTGAGTCCCGCCTGTCACCACTGCGACTGCAGTGAGGACTCGACTCAGCACACGCTGGCCCTTTGCTCCGCTTGCACAGGGTCGGCGTCATCTGCAGTCTTCGGAGAAGATATCTCACTACCAGCCGTCATACGCTCCATGGTCGGTAGTGGCAGAAGGGTTATCGCAGTGCAACCCAGGACGTAAGTAAAGGAGACGTCGGATAGGACCCGGGATAGCAATGGGTCATGCCACCTAAATAGAGAGTTTTATAAGAAGGTGGTAACCACTCTATTGCGTGCGGAAAGCGGTAGAAGGAGGCAGGAGATCTTAAAAACAGCTTTTCCCTGACTCATTTTCCAAGCAAAATAGGATATAAAAAAGGAATTTATGACGTTGTGGTATAAAAAGTCTTCAAAATGTGGGTATGTTGATATATCTTGATAAGCAGAGTCAATTGAAGCAAAATACTTTGTAGGCTAATTACTTTTGTACTCCATATTTCTAAACTTAGTGTATAGGTTACAGTCAGAACTCTTAACCGGTCAAAAGTGTTTTGGATAATAGTACTGATGACTGCATGCTGTATCTACTATTTTTGAATCATTTGACTGGCCTGTTGGTCTAGTGGTTAGTGACCCTGACTGCTAAGCCAGAGGTCGTAGGTTCGATTCCCACCCAGGACAAATAATTGTGTGATGAGCAAGGTCATTTGTTCTGTGTCTGGGTGTACTTTATCTATAATATGTATGTATTTAGAAATATATAAGTATGTTCATCAGCAGTCTTGTTCCCAGTGTGTGTGCAGTGTTATTATTATTTGGGTTTTTACCGGTTGAGAGTTCAGACTGTTACACATACACTTATTTCGTACAGAATATTATATTAAACGTATAATATCAAATGTTGAAGAGAAAGACGATATAATACGCTTTGTTAAATGAGAAACACATGTGCTGAAAATAAAATGAAGACATTCTTTTTAATATTAACTTTTATTTACAATAAATTCTTGATTAATATTTTTGAGTAAGTTAGTAATTGTTTTCATTTAAAAAAGTCGCCCGCCAGATTTTGCTCTTAATTTTCAAATGTGAAAATTACACATATTTAGTGAGTTCATAGGGATATTAACACACAAAAGCACAATAACAACAAATTAATAAGTTAAATATCTTTATGGGTACAATAGTTACTGTGTGCTATTCAAAATTATCCTCTATAAAATATTGTAGATACAAGGGCCATAGTGATTAGAACAAGTGAAGAAACAGCCGTAGATGCAGAACTTCCTTCTGTAGCAGATATAATCATATCTGCGTTTTGTGTACCCCAGTTCATATTACTACGAGCTGAGTTAATAGCACTTATAGCTGAGGCGAACTGAGGAATGTTGGATTGTGACGAGCGGAGCCAGTTTTCGTACTGCAAAACATAAAAAAAAACAATAGAATCTAGAAAATATGTATAACACAGAAAAAAAAAACAATTCTCATTATTGCTGTTGTAACAAATGTAAAAATAATGAATATAAAGATAACTACATTTCAAAGAATTACTTTATGTGTTTGATTATTGTCATGCGCGTGTAAAAATCGAACGACCAACACTTGCGTTTTAATCATTGTAACATCTGAACAGTCATATTATACTCGTAGGTTACGATTTGTAATTTAAAATACTTTATTCTTATGTAAAAAGCTATACCACCCTCTCTAAGCTACTTAAGTAGACAACAAAACCAGGAACGCTAAATATACGCATACATTCACAACTTTATGTAATGTACCTATTTTACTATTTTTCTTCCAAAATTTAGTGTAATATTTTGAGAGCTACGTCGAGCACTATTTATTGGATTCCTATAAATTTATTAAAACCGTAAAATTCTGTTACTCGCTACCAAAAATAGATTTGTTAGCTTGTAATTATTATCAAATATCTTCTAACACCGGCGTTTTTAGTTTTACTTTATCGCTGGATTATATATAATGCATGTATTAAAAATGATTTGATAATATTTTGCTCAGAATTTAGTAGGATTATAAATCAGTTGTATATGGAAAATTTGCTTTGTCCAAGAAAAATAAAATTATTACTAAATACGTGTATACTGTGCTTAACTAAAATAAATAAATACTTACGTCAACTAGTTCTGGTTCATCAAGGTATGAGGCGAGATTTGAAAGAGCGCTGTGCACCGGTGAAGGCGGAGAATTCTCGACGTAACTGTTTATAATGAATTAAGTATATTAAAATAAGGAATATAACGTACAAACAGCCTAAAAGGGGAGACATTAAAGCTAAAATCATTTTAGATGAACTATTTCCCATCATTTTTAAATTTGCTGGTCTTTAATTTGATATATCTCACACACGGACGTCTGATACCAAATTAGACTGTGCCTAGTTGCCAAACGGCACTTATAGCAACTAGCACTCTATATCCAATGAGTAAAGTCAAGAGATTTTTAAAGAATCTGAAGAAATACATCTCAAAAATGATGATTTGATGATACACTATCAGGAGAGTACGTAGTTGGATATTTTGAGATTGGATAGGTGATATTGATATACGTATTATGATAGGATTAATGGCGTCATTAAGGTTACAAATTTTAAATTGTCTTTAACTTGTAGGTAATGACTATCTCGGACTATAGGTTGGTAATTAAAGTAAATACTTACGCAGTTCTGATCTGATTTATATTGTTCTTGACAAATTGTAACACGGTGCGAGCGTTATCTCGGTGACCAAGAAGAGCAAAGTTGAATGAGTTCAGCTTGTCATGGGATCTTACGCTCTGAGTCAATGTAAGAGACAAGTATCTAAAATAGAGAAGAAGAAATATCTTCATTTATTTTTAAATAAACGCTCTACTATCTTTGATATAATAATAATTATATTCTACCACATTCACACAACGCCATCTAGTCCCAAACTAAGCAGAGCTTGTACTATGGGTACTAGACATCTGATATAAATACATATATACTTCTTTTTTTTTGTTAATACATACATATTATACATAGAAACACCCAGACCAAATCAAACATTAAAAGTTCATGCACACAAATGTTTGACTTGATCGGGAATCGAGCCCGCGACCTGTGGAATAGCAGTCCGTTACATAAACCACTACGCCATCCGGTCGTCAAATGATTATTCATTACATACAGAGAAATAATATTAAACGGCTAACATTAAGTTTTACTGTTCAAGTAAATACACGTAAAAGTGATGTAAGATAAGATATTTTTTATCTTAATACAACCATAAGGAACTTTAAGGAAAAAAAAATAAGGAAAAAAATATTTAATTACCGGTTTAACAGCTCAGGTTGTCTGATTGCACCCAATCCTCTCAAGATTTCAAGATATTCATTTGCGAAGTTGGTCTGGTTTAAGGCATTTAGTAGATACTCAAAGTCTCTTGAATCACCTTGCCTCATGGCCGTGGTATAGACGTTGCGGCGAACACGAGAATTGACACTACATAACAAAAGTAAAAGATATTACAACATTGGTATGACTAAGTGTTTTTTTTATGGAATAGGGGGTAAACGATCAGATGGGTCAACTGATGGAAAGCGATTACTGCCACCCATGAATGCCTGCAACTTAGAAGTCATAAGCACGTTGCTGGCCTTTGAGAAATGAGTATGCTCTTTTCTTGAAAGTTCGAAGGTCGTATTGGTCCGGAAATACCGCAGGCGATAACTTTTTTTTTTTTAATGTAGGTAGCATAAGGCACGATGGGGTTGACGTAGCCATGTGAATAAAAACCCCAAGTCAAAAAAATTACTTATCAGTCCATAGCGGTCATGTTGATTTAAAATTGTTTAAAATTGAAGTGTATATTTGTAATGTCAAAATAATAGGTTTTTTTCATGCTCACACGGTTATTTGCCCATACCTATCTTTGTCATCACACAATTATTTGTCCTCGGTGGGAATCGAACCCACCACTTCCGGCTTAGCAGTCAGGGCCACTTACCACTAGACCAACAGGCCCAAGAATATAAAGCAAAATCCCAGACTGGAGAAAATGTCTTAGGGACATCCATTGAGTTGAACCTTAAATAACTAAATATTAATGAAACCTCTAAAATAATGCAACTTTACCCAATTGAAGAAATGTAATTTATTTTCATTTTATCAAAGAAATCTCAAGACTACTCGTATATATAAATATTTAAAGATTTCTGATATTTTTCGCTTCGTCCTAACAGTGTTAGTTATCTAACTAAGAAAATAATCTTACGCGACATTGTTATCTCTCCAGTTTACCCATTGCCTCCAAGACTCTTCAGTACATCTGATGTGACCAATAGTGCATGCGAAATGCAGGATGCTTTGTCTCGCCATAGTTGTGGTAGGAGTTTCGCCAGCCGCAGGTTCAGGTCCCAAGGTCCTTACAGCGTAATCCATTTGATTTAAAAGATATACCTGTAAGTATAGTCTAAGTGCATAAAAGGCTACGAAACATGTCAACCGTGAACAATGACTGAAGAACTCTGTAGGTAGATACAAAATATTGACCTAAGGTGGACTTTTAGAGGGAGATGTGTTATTATTCTCTTTATTTATTTTATATACATATTAGTTATATTTTTAAACGTGCACTTTATAAAAATAAATAAAATAATACATATTTAAAAATTTGTATTTAAATATTTATTTTATTAATTTTTATTTGTAAAAAGGCAACTCCCGCACTATGAATATATCCTGTGTCGCGAGAAACTTTACAAACATACGTGAAACGGACACTAAGAACACCCAGACTCAGAACAACAATTTGTAGATCACACAGTGTCGTCTCAGGTCGGACCCACAACATTTAGCGTAGTAGGAAGCGGCGTGGCGACCGCTTAAACCAGCGGTCAGTGCAGTGCAGTCGAATTGTAATTGTTATTATTTTCATTACAATATTAATGAAAGTGACTTAAACGTTGGTCAAAGTACTTTTCAAATTTATGTAGGTACACACTATTGTCAATACTTACATCAAATTCAGCTATATGTTCAGGGAGGTGTCTGAGTCTATTTCTCAACCAAGTATAACCACTTATAGCGGGATCCCAAACATGGAAGTTAATTTCGGAAGCCAGGAATCTCAATATCTTGAATCCAGCATTATAAGTCATTCTAGTGGACCTCATCAAGGCAAAGACGTCGTCAACGATCTTAAAATTATTTAAATAAAATTAAAGTTTGCTTAAACTTAATTAAATGTTGTTCAAAGTTTTGTTTAAACATTAAAAATTAGTTCTAAACAAATATTTTCTTATTAAAAATTATTTCAAAACACATCAACAGCCTTTACTAGTCCACTGCAGGACATAGGCCTCTCCTTAGAAAGGAGGTTTTGGCCTACTATACCACGCTGGCCAGACGGGTCGGTATAGGGTTTGTGTCGAGTTTTCCTTCTCTCTGCAGTGCTGTTGGTCTGCGTAATTTACTCCCTAAGTCGGCTCTTATGACACCCACGGGATGAATAGGGGTGGTGACACTCTGGATTCTTAATCCGTCACCACATGGACCTTTTGTTGCACACCTAACATATAAGTTACCTGAGCTCTGTTTAAGTAGTGAATTTCTTCCGGTGTGTTATATAATGTATCCGCTATTATATCCCAGGTTTTATTATCATAGTTAACCCTGTAGTGACCTAAGACAAAATTAAATTTACATGTTAACAAAAAGTTATAAGATTTCAAACATCTAACACACAACGCCATCTAGTTTCAAACTATGTTAAGCAGAATTTGTACTATGAAAGCTAGATTGACTGATAGAATACTTATATACTTTTTTTATAAATACATACGTCATGTTATACATAGAAAACACCCAAACTCCGAAACAAATATTTGCAGCGCATACAAATATTTGATCCATCCAGGGAATCCAACTTCACAACAGCAGTCGCATACGCTACCACTGCACCACCGAAGTATATCTGAGTTAAATAACTTAATATAACTTTCGTTGACAAAGTAAGTTAAATTGAATGTGTGAATTAATAGACACATACATAGAGACACACAAACACAGATATATTAATATACAATATGCTTTATGTTTCATTTTTATGAAACTTTACGAACTAAACAATGACTGTCTACTTATAAGTTCAAGTATGATACTGTAATAAAATTTATTTGCCAGAATATTTTATCAATACATCACATTATCTATCTCATCATATACATATCATATACATCACATTATTTCACTGAACTCTGGTACCCAAGGTAGGATTAAACTTGTGGTATGGGTAACCAGGGCTCTCGCATAAACATATAAAAAACCAGCAAAATACTATCTTAGCTACTTGTTGTTATAATTTTAGTACATTTTAAACTAAAATATTTCACAATCACAAAATAGGTTGGGATGTGTGCGCGTGAGTGTGTGTGTGACTATACCCATATCAACAATCACCAGCACTTACCTTGTTGCAAATTGTTGAATATTACCCACTCTTCACCCTGATCTTTGCGTAATGTGTAACTTGCCGTAGTCATCATGTGACTGGGCGTTAAATTATTAAAGTTAGCATTTCTTCTGGTTGAAAAAGTAATCGGAATAGGATAGACCTGCCCAGTTGCTGCAGCTGATGTACTTAAAAAGAAGCGCTCCTAAAGAACAACAAAAAATAATATGAAAAAAAATCACATGATGAAAATATAAACAGTTATAACAAATTTATAAATAAAATACCTGATTCAAAGTTATTTCTCCTGTGGAATGATTGACGTCAACGTTCAATAACGGATATCCGGGCTCATTCACCCAAATCCTATAATACTCAGTAAAATTAAAATTCGGATACGCAGTTAAACTATTGTCTTCCTGAATAGCTTCTGTGAATGCTCTTAGGAGGTCGTATTGGTCAGTAGCACGCAACGGGTTAAAAATAATTTTCAGAATTATCAATAAACAACATAATAATAAAACAAATTAAATCAAATATATAATTGGTATTAAATGTGTTGTAATACTAACTTGTTTAACAAAAAGATTCGGCAGGATTTCCTAAATGTTTCTAGAGAAATAATGTTCGCGGTCATCCTAACAAAAGCGGCTGCCTTCGAGTAGCTGATAGTGCCAAAGTGCCCAGTGACCTGCGCTGGTGTATTCACATCGTGGTTAAGAGGAACGGTACCAGTACCAGAGTCAAAAGCCAGTGATGTCTGAAGGTAGCGGGAATTGAAGTGATCGTGCAATTCGTATTCGGGAAATACCTGATAATAAAGGTAGACGAGTAAATTAACAACCATATATTTGAACATATTATTCTATATTTTTGAATTCAGTTAATACTTACCTGATGAGTAGCAATGTAACCGAAGTAACTGGCATAACCTTCGTTAATCCATGTGTTACTCCACCAGTAACAAGTGATGTAATTTCCAAACCACTTATGGGCAAGCTCGTGGGAAACCAAAGTCGCTGAATAATGCTCTACAGACATGAGAGCTACGTTGGGGTCAACAATCATATGCAATTCTCTGGAAAATGTATGTATAATATTAAAAAAGAATTCCTGAATCCTTAGAATGAGTAAAGTAATGGTAATTTCTTACCTATAACTGACCATACCCCAGTTCTCAGTACCAGCGGATGCCCAATCCGGAGAGGAAACGTGATCATTGAGCAAATTGGGATGTAGGGTTGAATAAGGTATACCAAAATATTCATCAAAAAAGTCCGTCAGTTTGACTGCTAAGTTCAAGGCGTGACCACCAAGTCCAACGGTATTAGATCTGCCAATGATCCTAATGGGAGGGTTACGAGAAAGGTCTTGGGCAATTGGTTGGAAGGTTTCACTCACAAGGAATGTCACAAGGTAGGATGACATCTTCGGAGTCTCGAGGTAATCATCTCTAACTCTGCCATTTGCTAACCTAAAAAAATAACGTGACTATAGCAAACTAGTAAAAAAATTGTTTTTTTTATCTTTGCGTTTATTACGTACATACATACGTTACTGATCTTTCAAGTCGTGTGTTGGTAAAAGTGCCTGAGAATGATGCAGGTTTGGACAGGTGGAGTTTAAAGATAGCCTTGAAAAGAGGCTCGTCCCAGCAAGGAAACGCCTGTCTTGCATTATAAGGCTGAAAATGCGTAGTAGCGTAAACTCTGAAAAAACGTCAATAAATATTTTACATATTATATATTAGTCATAGCTCAGTGACTCTTATTGACACAATTTTTATTATTAATAACCGCTTTATAATTTGTTTATAGATTATGGGTATTAAAAAATCTGGAATCACGGCAGTTTGTTTTTGTTGTATTAGCTGGAACACAGAAACGTAAACTGCTGAAATGTCGATGTGTATATAATAATTTTTCTCTTAAACAATAATTCAAATTGTTTTTTTTTTTTAAGTGGAAGCTTTTTCGTTTAACTTTCAATCAAAAATTTGAAAGTTTTTAACTCTGTCAAATTGAGTTCTAGTTACATTTTACCTAATTACCTTTCTACTCCACCACTATCCTTATACCATCCTCTCCAAATGCCTCTGTTCATGGGACCTTCATTCATAGTGCTGGTATAGCTAATATACAAGGTATAGTTCGTCCCTGTTCTTAATGTTTCTACTGGGTTAATCTTCAGGAAATGATACAAGGGTTCTATTTCAAATCGATTCAATGGATTCAAAGCAACTTCAACGTTATCCTCATTTAGTAATGTTACACTATTAATTGTATCCACATTTGCATGTAGGACGATCTGTGTAACATTGCTTTGAACGGCCTAAAAGGAATAATAATAACAATAATATCGTTAAAGTAAATATAACCATACTATGATAAAAAAACTTACAAAAAAACTTGTTACAATTTTGTACATGTACGGGAATTAACCCGATCACCTCATAGGCATGCAGTTGCATACTTTTGCATTACATAGTTGCATACTTTAGATCACACAGCTCTGGCTAGAGTTACGAAAAATGCAAATAATTAAAAAATTAAACGTGGTCAAGCACATACCTGTATTAAGATATACTCCTGACCATCGTAACTGAACGGTCTATCGGTCCTCTCGTTGAAGTAAAGATCAATGAAGATGTCGTATTTTAGAGGAATCACATTTTCTGGTAATCTGTAAACGCTGTTATCGTTTCTCGCATCTGGGATTTCGTTGATAATTTCATCGTCTATTTCATTAAACCAAGATAAACGTTGGTTACCCATAGCTGGAGCCAAGAGCATCAAGCTCAAGGCAGCAGTGAATATTTTGAACATTTCTGTAATGCAAGCAAAAAAAGTGCACACACTGATATCAGGGCCCTTGGAGAAGATATTTTGGAACTAGAAATGGGAGAGCCATGCTTCTTTACAAATAGGCCGGCTCGATAGTAAAACTGATGTTAAGTAATTCTTTTGTTACTTTTCACCGAATGAATGAGGGTCGAAAGAAAGAGCTGGATGCGAGCTCAAAATCGATCTAAGTGGCGTGCAATGGTAGGGGCCTATGTCCAGCAGTAGACTGCGATATGCTGATGATCATGATGGTGATGAGTTCTCTCGAATCACAAACCCCTTCCGTAAATCTGAAGGGAGGGCTCAAAGGGCAGTAACGTACTTGTGACTCTTGAAGTGGAGGTTCCCATGGGCGAAGATAATCACTTACTATCAGGTTACCCGTCTACTCGCTTGCCTTCCTATGCTATAAAAAAATATTTGGAGACATCTAACACACAACTCGATCTAAACTCGGTTCCAAAAATAACGGGTCAGTCACATAAACCCGAATATCTACCGAACTACGTATGCCATCCTAATGAAACGAAGACTGTTCAATTGAGAATTTAATTATACAGATAAAAAATAAAATAAAACTTAAATCTAAACTCTCTAACTCTTAACTTTTCTCTAAATTAAAAAAAAAAAACAAAAGTAGTCATATTTTTCTTAAGATTACATTTTTTTATTCTTCATCACTTTTTTTATTTTTCATCACTTTCTTCATTTAATACTTTGTATTGCCTCCACGAGCTCTTCTGACAGCTTCCAGGCGATTAGGCATGCTGTACACCAAATTTCGGAGCCGGTGCTGAGGAATACCTTCCCATTCCTCCACCAGTGCTTGTTTGAGCTCGGGAAGCGTGATTGGTGGGGGGTTTCGACCTTTCACGCATCTCTGAAGCTCGTCCCAGGCGTGCTCGATGGGGTTTAAGTCCGGGCTTCGCGCTGGCCACTGCATGAGTTCGATACCGACCTCTTCAAGGTAGTTATGTACAATTCTGGCGGTATGGGGACGCGCATTATCATGCATTAATATGCCATGCCGGTCCATCCTGGCCATGAAAGGACCTACATGTTCATTGAGGATCTCTTCCACGTACCTCTCTGCATTTAGAGTTCCATTTTGAATGAGTACCAGCTCGGTGCGGGCCTCAGTAGAAATCCCAGCCCAAACTTGTACGGAGCCTCCACCGTACGCCACTTTTTCCTCCACACACGCTTGATGGAAGCGCTCCCCTGGTCTTCTGTACACCAACTGCCTACCATCATGCTTATAAAGCATGAATTTAGACTCGTCCGTGAACATTACCCTAGACCAATCGTCTAGTGTCCAGTTTAGGTGCTCGCGCACGTATCTCTGTCTTGCAACTCGATGTCCCCGTTCCAGTTTCGGGCCATTTGCGGGCCTCAATGGTTTCAAATTTGCTTCAGCAAGATGTCTTCTTACTGTTTGAGCGCTTAAATTGCCACCTCCAAAGCGAATAAAGTGAGTTTTTAGACCAACAGCAGTTTGAAAACGATTTCGGAGCATTGTAGCCACCAGTTGTCTGTCTTCCCTGGCCGTTGTGCATCTTGGTCTGCCATTTCCTGGTCTTCTAAGGTGTGATCCGGTCTCTTGGTACCGCTGGACTACCCGCTGAACAGTCGACAAAGATACACCAATGTTTCTGGCTGTTTCACGCTGGCTCCGCCCAAGTTCCAAAAAAGTTAGGATTCTGGTACATTCCTCTAGCGTGACTGCCATGCTTCACCTCACAGAATAATAATTATGCACGTGGAAGACGTTCACGATAATTTTTTTTGTGACAGAATCGAAATGGAAAGCATCCATAATGAAATGAAACAAAAATTTTGTTTTTAAAAATAGTCCTTTTTTTTTAATTTTGTTTTTCTAATGAAGTTTTTTTCATCAACCAGTTTAAATAATATGCTATTAGAAGCGCAACTAAAATGTCTTTATTCTGTTTTTTATTTAATTCATCTAACTTTTACAGTTCTGGAGATATTCGGGTTTATGTGACTGACCCGTTATTTTTGGAACCGAGTGTAGTTTCAAACTAAGTGGAACTAATCAAAGCTACATAGATGGACTGATAGAACTGATAAAATGATTTGGTGGTGTAAGGTACATACATTTAAATCGAAGAGTATGAGATATGCAATTAACACGTATATTCGCCGTCAGAATGAAAACTATACCATTGCTTGAGTAAAAGCTTTACGAGTCTGTCTTTTGAACTTATCCAAAAACAAAATAATTTCTTTCTTAACCAATAAATATGTTTATTAATGGACAAATATTCAAAGAAGATGATTTTTTCTACCCAAAAGTATTGCTCGCAGCAACAACTAGTATCTTGCAGTACTAGTTGTATTACTTTTAATGTATGTATGTAGCATCACCGGCAATGTATTTGGGAATTTAATTATTTTTAGACGGGAAAAGGGAAAAAGGAGAATGGATTATAGTGAGAGGATTGGAGTAAGGAATGTCTGAAGTCTCGAATGGGGAAATGAAACTGAGAATGCAGTAGCTATCTTATGTCTATCCTGATTGATCAAGCCATTAAACCTGGCACATCAAAATTTACCTTACGACATTAACTTATTAAATATTTATCAAACTTTCCTAAAAATATCAGAAGCTGATTATCTTAGCTAATAGGCCTAAGATGGCCTAATTATAAGACTTAATTATATTTAAAAACTGTAAACATTGGCTTATAAAACTAAATTTTAAAGTACTTACAGACTTAGTTAAGTCCCGACTTGATAACAAAAATGTCCTTTACACAATGCCGATCAACATAAACGTTGTATCAAAAATTACAATAGTAATCGATGGATTTAAGCAATTCATGTTTAATGATATCATATCGCCTATTATAATGTCATATATAACATTAAGGATAACAAAATATATTTATTACCATTGTAACTGTCATAATAAAAAATGGTGATTAAATGCATGACTAAATTTGTAATCACAAGATTATCTTGACGTGTGACTATTACCGATGGGGGTAAGGCTTTGGCTATAACTTTAATCGTCTATGGTGATGTATGTTATTTCGACATAAATACAGATCTCTTTAACAAGCTAGACTATCTTCTTAATAACTGCATTCGACTGCACGTCGTAAATATGACCCATGTTTCTGCTTTTCTAATTATAAAAAGAATTACAATAACATTTTTATAGGCATAAAAATGTGTACAAAAATAAAACATTATGGTAGTGTCAATGGAACTCTGATACTCATGTTAAGATCTAACTTGTGTTATGGGTACCAGTGCTCTCTCATTTTATACAGTTATTAAATTGTCATGGAATGGATCGTCATTTGGGTAGCAATATTAGAATATATATCCACTACTGTACGCTTTTCGAGACACTTTTTGCCTCGCACAACCAATCTGTGGAACGGGTTTCGGTCGTCGGCGGTATTTCCGGACCGATACGACCTTCAAACCTTCAAGAAAAGAGCGTACTCCTTCCTAAAAGACCGGCAACGCGTTAGTGACTCCTGAGTTGCAGACGTTCATGGGCGGCGATAGTCACTTTCCATCAGGTGACCCTCCTGCTCGTCTGCCCCCTCCAACTTAAAAAAAAAGGTAGTTGTTATTTATAGCTTCAATTAAAAATTAAAAGAAAAAGCTCTGATCTCTCTATATTTGTTTCTCAATTCCTCATCTACGTAACTTGATCTCTACTTCCGTCTCTTGTCGTTTATATTAGGACAGAAATTTTCGCTCAGCAAATAATTTACTTCTCTTATGGGAATCCCACAACTCCGACCACTTTAATTTTTCGAAATGCGCTCCGGTGTTAGAAATTATTTGTTACTAAAGGGTATGTGAGGCTTATGTCCAGCAGTGGACTGTTAAAGGCTGTTGATGAAAGGGTATGTGACTAAATTTTAAAGATTCCATTAAAAATGTTAAGTGACACACCCATCATATTTTTTTTATAGAATCTGTTTAATAGAACACTTTTAACTTCAAGAATTCACATAGTTTATTTAAAATTATTTTTATATAAATAATTGTATGCAGCTATGAGATGTGCAGAAAAACCTTAATTCGAAAATAAAGCAATACGCACATTCATTTTGAATTTGCAAATAAACCTTCTATCTATGAGTTGCTCGTAATCAGGTAAATAATAAATAATTGGTTTACATAGAGATAAGTTATTGATGTTGTACCAAATGTTTGTGTGATCTGCAAATATTTGTTTCGGAGTTTGGGTGTTTGCTATGTATAATATCTATGTATTTACAAAAGAAAAGTATAAAAATATTCTATCAGTCAAAATAGCTTTTATAGTACAAGCTCTGCTTAGTTTGAAACTAGATGGCGTTGTTTGCCAATGTCCGAAAATATTATCATTAATTAAGTGTTTAAAGTAAATATATCCAGCTGTATATCTTATTATAACTTCTATTTTGTATTATTACAATTATCACGTGAACTAATTTAATAATATTTTTATGTCTTGTAAGAATCCCACGGATATTTATTTGGTCACATTGGAAAAGTTTAAAATACGTGGTATTCTACATATATTTACTGTCATTGACCAAAATCAACTGAAAGATCTTAACAAATATTTGAAGTAACTCTGTCCATTTAAGATATAAAGCAAAACTACAAACGTAAGAAAGAATAGAACTGGGAAAAGGCAATACTGGCCCAAAACGGCTGATAAAAAAAAAGATACAAGTCTGTGGTAGCGTATGATGAACAGGGACTGCAATGAGTATGTCGCCACTCAATGTAATCCATCTACAAGAAGATCCAGTCCACCACAAAAATAAAAATGCAACTGAAAGAATTGTTACGCACAGTGTTTCGAGTATTCGATATGGTTAATTAACATACCTTTTGTATATTTTGGGATATTTTCAATAAATATTATAACACATACAATTTGATATTTACCTATCAAATATAAATGAATTTTTTTTATTAAGGGTTCTCCTCAGTGAAGGGTACGACCCATCTATCAAATCAGATATTAATATAATAATATTTCTACTAATTAAACTGCATCCATCCTTAATTTGAGATCCTTATTTGATTTGAGTAAAATAAAGATGACGATTTTACATAACTCAGTGAGCAAATCGCTGTATTTGCTGTAGTTATCAATACTGTCACTTCATGAAGCACAATTTTCAGTTTGGCCGGTTTGACCGGAGTGATACCACGGCCCTACAGAAAACTGGTGTTAAGCAATTCTCTAGCTGCCTTTCACTGAGTGAGTGATGTTACCGGAGCCCAAATCCCCCCTCCCGCTTGCTCGAGCGAGAGGGACTCCAAGGGCAGCAACGCACCTGTGACTTTTGAGTTGCAGGTGTCCATGGGCGGCGGTAGTTGCTTACCATCAGGTGACCCGTATGCTCGTTTACCCCCTTATCATCCCAACAAATGAAGCATGAAATAACGTCTGTGTGGTGACGGATTCATCATCATCTCTTATCAAATCCCAGGGCTATGTTGCTTCGTATGCAGATCTCCGCAGTCCAGATTTGATCACGCAAAGAAACTCCGAGTATTGCCCTCTCCATTGCTCTCTGGATGACTTTAAGCTTTCTTATGAGGCCTATTGCGAAAGGACCACGAGGACCAGCACCCTAAGTCATCAATGGCAACTTACACGGGTCAAAGGCTTTTGTCATAAGACATATATAATTGGGACGAGAAAATGTCACGCAGCTTCCTGAACGCTAGCCAATCTAGTTGGATTTGACGATTGACTAGAATACGTGCCACCCACTATTCACCCACTATTCATCCCATGGGAGTCGTAAGAGCAGACTGAGATTACTTTTAAATGTTTCTCGATATTTCATTGACCATGACTATATTTTAGACTTCTGTAGTCGTTGATAGTGTAATAGTTAGATACCTCTACATCCTACTAATTCTTTTAATTTATACTTATCATTTATTTATTATATTAATCCTACTAAGAAAATGATGGATAATGTTTATGGTCACCTTGTATGTCAAACTATATCAATTTAAAATAAAAAGCAAAACGTTTGACTAGTAAGATATAATAAAACTGGGAAAAAGCTATTCTTGCCAAAACGCCTGATAATATTTTTTTAGCAAAGCTGTAGTTCTATGACATAATACATTAACAAATAGACAAGTTTATAAAGAAATAATAATAATTGAATATAATCATGAACAAAATTAATTTAATTATAACAGGAACATTTTAGAATCAATAGATTTTCTTTTGCAATATAGAGAATTGAGTATTCATTTGAAACGCAATACCATCGGTTTATGAGTGGGTGATACTTTTGAGTGTGATCCAATCGCTACCCAATTGAATAAAGGCCGGTACTAGTCAAACTGACAGGGTAACCACAGCCTATCAGAAAATTGGTGTAAGATTGTGGAGTACGAGTACGAGTAATTGTATTTGCAAGCATTGGGTAATATTACGTAGTCCGTGTGGTGACTATTCATCCCGTGGGTGTCGTAAGAGCCGACTAAGGGAGCAAACTACGCAGGACGACAGCACTGCTAAGAGAAGGAAAACTTGAAACAAACCCTATACCGACCCGTTTGGCCAGCGTTGTATAGTAGGTCAAAACCTCCTTTCTAAGGAGAGGCCTATGTCCAGCAGTGGACTGTTATAGGCTGTTGGTGACGTATTTTGGGCAATTTTTTTTAGTATTCCCGTGAACCCCTCCAGCTAAGCTAAATTGCTTGTATTAGGAGTGGGTTCTGGTCAGGATTCGAACCCACGACCTATTGATTGCATGTCCAATGCCTTAACCACTAGGCTACCACTGCTTGGGTTCATCATGTCATTCATCTGTCCTTGGAATTCATTGGTTTTTATTTGAGCGAGTAGGACCAGAGGCAGTAACTCTCAGTTTAGCGAGGATCCCTACACTCCACACGCACATAGATTATTACCAGACAACACTAACATAGCGAGCTATACGTAGAAAAACACTACAGTAGTGTTAAGCAATTCTTCCGTCCCATTTCCCAAGGCAATTAACGACTGAACGAGAATTAATGAGAAACCTTCAAATTCTGACGGGAGCACTCGTAGGCCTGGCAAATGTAGTGATCCTGACTGCTAACCCAAAGGTCATGGGTTCGATTCCAACCCAGGACAAATAATTGTGTGATGACCACGATTCTGTGTCTGGGTGTGATTCATCTATAAATTCATGTATTTAGAAATATATAAGTATATTTATCAGCAGTCTGGTTACCATAGTACATGTTCTGCCAAGTTTGGAATCAAATGGCCGTAAGTTACATACATACATCTCAGTATGCGGTTATTATAATATTATTAATATATTGCGCACGCACATGCAATCTCAACATATTACACTAAATACACCTGATATGGCTCTCTTAACTATATTTGAATACGTTTTTATGTTTCGTTTTTCTTTAAATCCATATCCTAGTTTTAAGTATGACTGGATCTGAAATACAGACTTGCCTAACATATGGATCCAGTCTTGATGTAGTGCTACTGTAAACATGTGCCAGCTGTTACGACTGGGAGTACGCTTCCATGGCGGCGTCCCTCTACTCGTAACACAGGTTTATTCCCAGCACGAGAGAGTGGCGGCGACTACAGTTGATTACGTCAACATTGTCACAGTAGTTTTCTATGTACTCTGTTTATAACTCTTAGTGAAAATAAAGTACTATTATATTATTCTAAGTTGCAGTTGTTCTTGGACGGCTATAGTCACTTACCAACAGGTGACCTATGTGCATATTTTCCGCATTCGTCATATTGTATACAATGTTTAAAGTGTATGATTTCATAAAAGCTCTAAATTTTGTTACTTTATTATGATATACTTTTGAATCCTTGATCAATTCAGTGAATCCTTATTATATGAATGACCGCATACCAGCGGGCGTTGTACTATAATAAGCATTTAATTGGTTTTCCATAAAAAAATAAAATATTTTTCAAGTTGAGAAATTATAAACAATTTTATTAAAATATTAACATAACACTATTAACGCTAGTGGAATAATTGAATGGACAGTGTTGCCAATAATAAAAAGGTAGAAAAAACTAAAGTCGTAGTTTAACTTGCAGTTCTCTCAATAATAAAGCTGTAGGTTTCAACTACATTTTGATTTCCCCATTGTAGATTCGCGATCGCTGAATTAACAACGCCAACTCCGGTGTTAAATGATTCTGCTAAACCAATCTGATTTTGGTACACCCATGTTTGGAACTGGTAACAAAATGCATCTCAATTAGGAAACACGATAATTATTTTCACACAATTAACTTAAAACTGACTGCACGGATGGCGTAGTGGTTTCAGCGGTCGCCACGCCGCTTCCTACTACGCCGAGTGTTGTGGGTTCAAACCCCACATGGGACGACACTTTGTGTGATCCACAAATTGTTGTTCTGAGTCTGGGTGTTCTTTGTGTCCGTTTCATGTATGTTTGTAAAGTCCCCCGCGACACAGGAATATATTCCTAATGCGGGAGTTGTCTTTTTTAAAAAAAAAAAGAAGAAAAAAAAAAAAAAAAAAAAAAAAGAACCACGCCGGAACTAGTGCCGAATCTAAGGTAGACCTTGGCTAGGGCAAAAAAGCAACCTCACTGTTACCACGGGTGATCAGGGTGAGGTTACTAGTGCCACCTGCTTATAGTGATGTACGTACCCAATCTTTGATCTATGTTCAGAACTTTTAAGCAGTTGGTGGCTAAAAACAGAGTGCTATTCTTTTCTATTCTCTATTGGTCAAACTAGTTAGTAAAATGCACGCATAAGAGATGGGATATGAATTTGAAGATTCTTTTATTTATTTGTTACGATTTCAGATCTTCAGGGCCAATGGTAGAAAAATATTACAGACCTGTTGAATCAATTTAAATTCAGTCAAGAAACCAGAAACGCTGCTTATTGCAATATCTAATCTCTCTGGTCCGCCATATCTGCAAAATATAAAGAAGCATTTAATCCGTATACATTCTGTATGGAAGATTTATAAATATATCAAAAATAGATGTCATTCAGGCAGGGTGTAGTGACGATTTGCTCAAAATGGCTTGCAAGAGCCGGATACAAGCCCAAAATAGATCTAAGTGGCGTTCCTAAGAGGCCTATGTCCAGCAGTGAACTGTGATAGGCTGATGATGATATCCTTCATCTGATTATCATGAAAAAAAATAAAGATGAATTTTATTATTTTTCCTAGAAAACGCACTCTGGGGTTAAATAAAAGTATTGATGAAGATATTTGAACGGAATAGGTAATGAACCCATGACTTCTAGCATGTTAGTTAAGGCTAATTTCTACATTAGTCATAGTAGCGAAGTATAGAATATTTATTAATACCCTGAATGTATACATACGCAGTTCTGATTTCATTGTAGTTCTGGTAAAGGAAATTGAGTACAAGCGGTATATTCTCTTTATTGCCTTGCAATCCAAAACTCACAACGCTTGTGCGATCCTGGAGTCGGATTTTGCGATTCACGAGTGACTGACGCAAATAACTGAAAATAATAATAATAATATATCTCACACACTCACACACGGCCGTCTGATCCCAAACTAGGCAGAGCCTGTACTATGGTAACCAGACTGCTGATAAACATACTTATATATTTCTAAATACATACATATTTTAGATAAATTACACCCAGACACAGCACAAATGACCGTGCTCATCACACTATATTTGTCCTGGGTGGGAATCGAACCCACGACCTCCGGTTTAGCAGTCAAGGTCACTAACCATTAGACCAACAGGCCCTTCAAATATATAATAAAAATACAATAAAATAAATAAATAAAATAAAATAGTAAGTAATATTGTTGATGAAATATTGCATAAAAAACTAACCAATTTTTTATTTTGTTAGATTTATAAAAAACTTTGGATGACGGAAAATACTTTTTTTTATCTTTATTTTTTTAATGAGGATCAACAAGGATACGCTAACACCAGACGGAAGATACTTCAATTAGTGAAACTGCACGGATGGCGTAGTGGTTTAGGCGGTCACCTCGCCGCTTTCTACTGCACTGTGTTGTGTGTTCGGTCTCATCATCAGTTTGTGTAATCTATAAATTGTTGTCCTGTGTCTGAGTGTTCTTTGTGTAAGTTTCACGTATGTTTTTAAAGTCCCCGCGACACAGGTTTATATACCTAATGCGGGAGTTGTCTTTATGTAAAACAGTGTGAAAAACGTACTGATTAAAAGATGCTTCATGTTTAGTACAGCCGAGAGCACGAAGAATGACCACCATGTCGGCAGCGTTCTCTGAGGTTTCGTATTGGTTAAACAGATAGTCATAATCCGTGGCATCACCTTCTCGTAGACCAACGCAGTAAACATAGCGGCGATAGTTCACCGGAATCCTGAAACAATAAATCACTTTATTTAAAACTAGCCTGTCCCAGACGCGTTAAGTGTCATTACTTCAGTACCGTGCGTCACCGTCGTGACAGTTACGTAATACCCATGATATACTACAAATAACACATCTAATTAAAGATTTATAGGATTAAATTCAGTAGACTTCATATTCTGGTATTCATGGTGTACGACTATAATATGTCTATGTATATACATAAATGTGTGTGTATTTATGATGTGCAAACAGTATATATTTCATTGATTACTTAGTAAATTATGACGTTTCCTCTATGCACCTACCTTACCCAAAGGTTGACTGGAAGACAATGCACGGATCATTAAGTCCATACAAAAGTGCATAAAGTTAAATAACTAAATTTAGTGAGAAAATAAATTAGCAAAATCGATTGATAAATGACCAAGATATTGCCTAAAATACACACAATTATTTAACTTTTCGAATTTTGAAACCTCCCAACTCCTAAGCAATGAAAATCAAACAAAGAACTTACAATTGGTTTACATTAGCCCTGTGTGCTCTCCACTTGTTCAAGGAATCGGAGATACAGCCAGTGTGTCCAAGATTGCAGGCGTAATTCAAGATTTGCATTCTGTTAAGGATGTCGGATGTGGAGTCGGTACGCCGCTCATCATAACCGAGATGTTGAATAACATTTTCCAAGAGATTGAGAAGATAAGCCTACAGTGTACAGTAAATATTAGTTGACGGTTATGTTAAAATGGTAGCCGATCAAAAAGTCTATTTTAATATTTAAAAAACTGAGCAATGAAAATTACCCCAGGACGGTAAAAACTTTAAAATCTCTCATTCGTCTGATGCCTAATTCTAAGCCTAATTCTAGTATGGTAACCAGACTGCTAATAATTATACACATACACATACATATACATTATTAAATACCTGCATATTACACCGTGCCACAGAACAACTAATGATGCTTTTTACGATGCTTTAGAAGGTTAAGGGTAAACCCATACTTAAATAATTTTGTTGGGACCTACCGAAAATGCGTCATATGCAACAGGCATGTGTTCAAAGCGCCTGTGGATGAATTGTAGCTGACCAATAGCTGCGTTCCATACGTAGTAGTCGGTCTCATGCCTTAGGAAGTCCAACACGTCGAGAGCTACGGTGTTGTTCACGTCTCCAGAGCGAATGAAATACAAAAGATCGTTGACAATCTAAAAGGAAAGAAGTTATCCTAGACATAATCTGATTTGGTAATGTTCCTTTTTTATTTATGTAAAAGTAATTCTCTCAATACTTTATTGAAAAAAAGGAACATACATGTCAACATCGCTGAGCTAAGAAAACGACTAACAATGTTCAGCTTTGAGTTGTTTACCTGAGCCCTATTCAACTTGTGAATATTTTGTCTAAAGGGTCCTTTGAGGTAATTTCCAATTCTTTGCCAGTTATTGTCATCGTAATTCACTCGGTAAAGACCTGAAATTATAAGTATATTATTCAGGTCAGGAAGAGTTTAATTTGCAAGGAATCATTCAGACTAATTCTGGCAACAGCTTTCCACGAGGTAAAGCATCCGTCCCTATCTCTTGAATAATTGTCATCAAACTATTGTGCCAATTAATCTGTGTAATAAATTATCACCTGTGGTATTTCGGACCAACACAACCTTTAAGAAAAGAGAGTAGTCCTGCCTCAAAGGCTAGCAACACACTTGTGACTTCTGATTTATAGGTGTTCATGAGTGACAGTATTTACTTTCCATCAAGTGACCCACCTACTGTTTTGCCCCGTATATTATAAAAATTAAGTCCATACAAATGTGCATCAACAAAATTTGCGAACTTAACAGCTTCATATTATAGAATATAGAATAGAAGATATAGAATCTACAATTATTTACATACCAGATTGAGCTATGTTGAAGAGAACCCAATTGCTTCCTAAATTGGTTGTATTCTGGATGACAGTAGATGAGGTAGAGAGTATAAGTTTAGGTCGAGTGTCATTGAAATTAATGGCACCCTCGTGAGTCCACGTAAGAGGTATGTGCCAAATGTGCTCGGGTCTGGTGCCGGAGATAACAAAGCGTTGCTGTTGACAAAAGGTTAATGACAGGTATAATAATAATAACTTGACACATCACAGATATACTAGGCAGATCCTGTACTGAGCCAAGTCTCGAGTGAGGAAACAGGACTGAGGGTACAGAAGCTTGAAGAGATCATATTCTGATTGGAGACGACACTAGAATAGTAACATTAACTCTAATAAATATGAATCAATGCATCTACTAGCTATTGCAGAATAAAAATGTGGGTGTGTATGCTCAGATATCTGTGCGAAGCCGAAAAGCTTGTAAGTGAAAAATAATGGCGTTCTTTGAGTTAGTTTTAGTTACAATGATGTTCATTGAAACTAAAACTAACTCAAAGATTAAGGTCATTTAAAAAGTTAGGCAATGGGTAATCTATTACTGATAAGATAACCTTAATTGATTAACTGTTATTTGACTCTATTTCTAATAATCATGATTAATGAATATTATTTTGAAATTTATTTTAAAAAATACGTTATTAATAAATAAACATATTTATTTACCCATGTTTATTTAACTAATAAATCTAAATGTTTAAATGTCATAATTAGGAAAAGTTGATAGAGTTAAATGATAAATTTTGGTCGATACTGAAAGGTTTTAGTTCCACAGCTTGTATAAAATAGTTAAATGAGGAATAAAAGTGAGAAATAATTCTCTTTTGGAACTATGGTTTTAATTTCTTCCGGAAGAATTGTATTCAGTAATGAGTGGCAAAAAAAGCTAATTTAATACCAACTACATTAACATCAAAGTATTTTCTATGAATCAATTTAGGGTTAGACCTAGTTTAGACGCAATATTACGATACATCACAATATTTTTACTGAGAGTACTAAAAATGTAAGTCACTTAATAAAAGTATTTTGGTCCGCTATAACACGTGCTAGTGCTAGGACTAGGTTCATGTTAGTATCATTGTAGTGTGTCAGCTAGAACGTCGCAAACTAATGTCTTAGCTGTAACTAGCTAGCGTGTATTTCTTATTCGATTGTTAATCTTTGACTTAACAAACCTGAGAAATACTAATATCGCCAGTCACTGTATTAACTTCAACTTTGACGACTGGAGAACCAGGATTCTGCACCCAACTGTCGAATACGGCGCTGACGTCGATACCGGGATAGTCGCGAAGAAATTGAAAATCTTCGGAAACGGCACGCGTAAGTGCAGCATACACATCGGCAGGGGTACCAATACCGTACGCGCTAGTAATTACATAAATAGCAATAAATTTAATTTTTACAACAGTAAGGCACATAATTAATACAAAATTAAATGACTAAAATATGCTGTAGTATGATACTGACATTTAAGTTGATAATATGATGAACTTACTTTTCTCTAAGGTAGTACCGAAGAGCAAGTCTAAAGTTTCTAAAACCAACAAAATGTTCCATCATCCTGAGAACACAAGCAGCTTTTGCGTAACTTGTAGTAGAAAAATGGGCTATGACTGTTGGGTTGCTGGCCACATCTGTCCAGTTCATAGGCTTAGCTGTTAAAGAAGCATCATGAGCGAGAGCGTTATGCACATGATCCACTACAAACTGATAGTCTAATTCAAATTCAGGAATCGCCTAAAATGTTTTCAAAATTTCATTCAGTTTTCTGTAGCATATACTGATATCTTAAACAACAAATCTGTAATAAACATACCCAGTGAGCTGCAAAATATTGAAAATAACTAGCAAAGGACTCTTTAATCCAAACATTACTCCACCAGAATGTGGAGACGAGGTTGCCAAACCACTTATGAGCCAGTTCATGGGCCATGATAGTAGCGATGTTGATTTTATTTATGAGATTGGTGTTGTTTTCGTCGTATAGAAGAAATGCTTCTCTGTAACAATTATTAACCGACATTTAAAACATTGCAAAATTTGTTTTTTTTTTTACTCTTAGATAATCAAAACTTAGAATGGATAGGATGAATTTCACATATTAACATATTTCAAAAGGCTCAAGGTTTTTATGTATTCCTCACGTCCTTTTATTACATGTGTAACAATATATATGGTGCTTTGTAATAGGGTGTGTTTAGTAGTAAGTCTTCAAATTATCTCAAAGAAATTTTTACATACCTGTAGTTAACCATGCCCCAATTTTCCATGGCACCAAATTTAAAATCTGGCACTGCAATATGATAATTTTTCATTAAAATGCCTTGACCCATCTCATGATACAGGATAGCAAGGTAATCATCTAATTCATTAGTAATTCGTACTCCAGTTTCAGCAGCCCATTTATGTTGATCAAGGGCACCGCGACGGGATATAACTTTGAAGGGTCTAGCATCGGTACTGGACAGTTCTGTTTCTTCAAAATCGCTTACGTGTAGGGCGACCAGATAGGCCGAAATTATAGGTGTTGGGTGAAAAACTTCACGAACCCGATTGGCACCAATTCTGAAACCGGAAAATTATAAGGACAGTGATGATGAACCTTATAAAGTGAAATATTTTAAACCAAATATTGTCAACAAAGCAAGCGTCTTAAATTCATATATGGATCTTTGATTAAGTAGGTTTCACATTTTTTTCTAGCACTACATTTTTCAGTAAATTCTTAAAATAGCAGCTTGTTTATGAGGTTTTATTTAAACTTATTATTTGGACAAGCACATTTTTACTAACATATGAAACATTTCCCGAATTTAATGATTTTATTATTATTATCGCACCACCTATAGCGTGTTACAATATACAAACAAACACGGATCAAACTATTTATGCAAAAGGCCCATATTTGAAGGTAGTTAAAATTGGTTCCAATATCACCCATTCGTTTTGGTTTAGTGCATGGAGTTTTATTTTTGCAAGAGACATTTTTATCATACGTAAGAGGATGGATATCATCATCGTCATCATCATCAACAGCTTTTAATAGTCCACTGCTGGACATAAGCCTTTAGAAAGGAGTTTTAGGAAGGATGTAGTTTTGCTATATTATTTTAAAATTTTACTTACGGTATAGTCTCAGCGATGGGCATATTTGAGTATGTGTGGCTAAGGTTACTGTCACGGGTGACACTAAGCACATAGCGAGATTTAAACTTAGGTTCATCAAAACAGGGGAAGGCACGTCTCGCAGAGTATGGAGAAAATTGCGTGGTGGCATAAGTTCTGAAATTATTTAAGTAGTATCCAAAACAATAGAAATGATATATTATTATTTTACCACTTAATTAATTATAATTAAAAACTGGTAATAGTCTATCGTTGTCAAGGTTATCTTGAGAAACGTTCTAACACACACGTTCTTACTTCTTAAATTGTAAACTTATTCAGACTTTCTATGTTGAATAAAATTCAAATCGAATAAATATTTACTTCCCATAATTTATTACAAATTATTCGACTTCATCCATTGTTTTATTTTATACAATTTTCAAACCATGGAATACGCGATGGTTCCGCATCAACAAATTTTAAATTAAGAAATTGAGAACTGATAATACTGTGTCTAACTATATCCAATTTTAACGGCTTTCCCAATTGAGGAAAAAAAAATCACAGTTAGTTTATTCGCTGTGTAGTGTGTGTTCATTCCAACTATACTGTGATAACTTGTTTCAAAAATGCTACAAATTTCAATTATTTGCTTGTAGTGAACTGATCTGAAGTCATCGTTGTGTGCTGAAAGTAGATTTTTTTCGTAATAGCTTATATTTTACGGACAGTTAACTTACATTTCATATTTTATTATCAATTAACTTACACTTCTTCGTTGTTATAGAAGTAATAACCTTTGTAAAGACCTGCGTCAAACGGGTTGTCACTAATAATCCCAGTATAATTCATGGTGATGGTATAGTTACCAGCGGGGATAGGCCCAGCGAGGTTTAGCTTTACGATCTCATAGTAGTCGTCAGTGATGAATGGATTTGGGAATTGAAGGTTTATGACAGTGTTGTCAGCATTAACTATATCCATAGCTGTAATTGATTCAACTTTTTGATGAAAAACAATTTGTTGCAGATTCTCTTCTCTCACCTACAAATGAAATGTAACTTAGTAAATAGCAAAAAAAATCTTCCTAGTGATTGTAAAATTAAAACATTTTAGTTTTACAATTACTAGTTTTTAGTGTACGGCTTAGATGAAATCGGTTAATTTTGAATTTTACTATGAGCTTATTTGTAATCAAATCTAAGGTTTAACAACTAAGCTCTCTAAAAAACATATAAATTTATTTTTGTTTTAAAGTGGACGTTTAATACGCCTCTGCCTACAACATTATTATATATAGTGGTGTGAATGCTATGTTTGTGATATACATTCTTAATTATTCTGCCTGCCACTCAGTATATCAGTGCAGTTCTATAAGCCCTTAGCAGGATAAAAAGAAATAACTAATGATTTTTTATTTTTGTTAATTGTAGACAAATATTTTTAAAGTATTTATCTTCGTATTAAGCAACTATGTAACAATAACATCGCTTACTAACTTTTAGTTTATATTTTAAAAATTTTAAACTGTATGGTGTGGTGACGGATTAAGAATACAGAGTGTCACCACCCCTATTCATCCCGTGGGTGTCGTATGAGCCGACTAAGGGAGAAAACTACGCAGAACAACAGCACTGCAGAGAGAAGGAAAACTTGACACAAACCCTATACTAACCCGTCTAGCCAGCGTGGTATATTAGGCCAAAACCTCTTTATAAGAGAGGTATATGTCCAGCAGTGGACTTTTAAAGGCTATTGATGATGATGATGATGATAAAAAGACTATGAATAAAACACCTAAAAAGAACTTACTTCAATGTCCATCCTAAGAAATCCAACGAAGCGACTTTCATTTAAGTAGACGTCGAGATCCAACCTCATCAAAAGAGGATACACTGTATCCGCTAGGCGGTATTTTGTGTCACCGAAATTCGAATTAAAGCCGACCAAGTCATAATCAGATGTGTATTCTTCTGGTATGGCCTCCAAGGACCCCAGAAGAAACAAAAAAATACTTGGCAACAGCATAATAGTTCCTAAACAATAATATTGCAGGAAAAGAAAAAGAAAATTAATGTTGATGGAATGAAGTAATACACTCAAATTTCGAATTTAAATATTCCTAATCAAATAACTATATTGTTTGGTTGACAAACAACTAAATAACAACATAATATAATTAATTATAGAAAGAATGTAGTACTAAAAAAATTATTTATAAGGTTGTTGAATTAATTTTCTAAAATTAAAAGTATCTCAAAAGCATATTAAATACCACATATTATAAGTATTTGTCTATCATTGCATCCAAAAATTCAAAATTAAAAACTTGCATAGAACGTTAAATTGGTAAAAGTTACAAATATTATTTCATAACTATTTCTTTCTACACTTTTATTTGATCGAAATTATTCTTGTGCTTACTTTGAAAAGTATTTCGGCTTTGATATTAAAATGCTACTCACCCAGCTCCGACGTTATCATAACCACTACTAGTTATTACATGTCAGTCTAGTATATTATCATTTTTATCATGCCTTCATTTACTACTAAGTTTAGTATTAACGGCGAACTTTATCAAATTGTTAACAAAATTTGTAGATATTACTCAAATCAATATTTTTATTATCTGTGCCAGCATAAAAAGTAGTAAAATGAATGTTTAAAAGTGTATGTATGCCAGGACTAGGGTGTTTGTTACCGTCCCATTGGCGTAAGGAAAAAAAATATTTTGTTACGGTCACATGGGCGTGTGGTAAAAAAATTATTTACTTACTGTTCAAAAATTTTCTGTTATACAATAATTATTTTAGTAACGAAACGTCATACGAGATGTTTTGACCAAGGTGTACAGTTTGTAAAGTTAGGGCTTTTAGAGTTATGGCGTGTAGAGTTAGAAGCTTGGTTCTACATGTGATCTGATAACTTTTTGACAAACGGTCTTGTCATGCCAAAACTTTACATGAAAATGTTTTTGGTGGTATAGATATAGGTTGATTGGTGACGCTTTTCGTATACATACGTGAGTTGGTATGTGTCGAACATCAAAAACGGTAACTATTGCATATATGAATACAACTCAAAGTTTTTACCTTATTTGTTTCTAATTTATAGAAAAACAACACTATCGATGTGAAGTGCCTACAGCACAATCTTAGTTACAGCCGCTACCACCGTATCTTAATGAAGTCACAAAGGCCATAAACTCGAGCTATCAAAATTACAAGTTGACAATGTGTCACTTACTATTGTCGGTGCAATCTAGAGACAAAGAGAGTAGAATATCTGCACAAGAATATCTGAATACTTAATTACAGACACGCGCCTCAACTTCACCGGCCTCTTGGCGTTGTAGAAGAAGTTTTCCCTGACAGTTCAGTCAGAATAGTTCGTATTAGGGCGGCTACTGACTTGCGTCCAATTGTATGTATGTTTGTCTGTATATCAGTTCATTATTGTCTTTAGATAGCACGTGATTTATGCTGCACATTTTCAAACGTTCCGCCGTTCCGCGAAATGAGTTTTTCAACTAGCTGTTAAAGAAAACTTTTGGAAATAAAAATGATAGAACTATTTATTGATCAGCTGTTTTTATTATGAAAACTTCAAACAATGTTCAGAATTTCTTGCAAGCTAGATGTTTAGTTAAAAATTGCGTTGTATCATTGTGATGAACTTTTGTATTTATTTGCTTGCTTCTTGATCAATTCAATGAATCAATTTTATATTGTTGCCCACATATCAGCAGACGCTGTTGTATATGTAATTCATTCATAATCCATAATAAATAAATACCTAAATAAATTAAAATTTTACATATTTTTTTAACAAATTATTAACATAGCATTATAATATTAACATAAAACACTAGTGGAATAATTGAATGAACATTGCAGCCAATACTAAAATGGTAGAAGAGAGGAAGATCGTAGATGAACTTGCAGTTCTCTCAAGAATAAAGCTGTAGGTTTCAACTACATTCTCATTACCCCATTCTAGATTCGCGATGGTTGAATTGACAAGGGCACTTCCTGTGTTAAATGATTCTGCCAAACTAATCTGATTTGTGTATACCCATGTTTGGAACTGGAAACAAAATGTATTTCAATTAAAAACACGATAATTGCCATACTATAAAACGTACTAAGAATACAGATTGTCAACACCCCCACTTATCGAATGACATAAGAGCCGACTAAGGGAGCAAACTACGCAGCATAACAACACTGCAAAGAGAAGGAAAACTTGACACAAACCCTATACCAACCCGTCTGGCCAGCGTGTTATAGTAGGTCAAAACCTCCTTTTTAAGGAGAGGCCTATGTCCAGCAGTGGACTGTTAAAGGCTGTTCATGATGATGATGAATTGCCATCACCTAGCTTACCACGGTAACTATGGTAACTAATGCCGAATCTATGCCTTGAACTTGGCCACAGTACAGGAATAGTCTTACCATTGTCTGGCGATAGACTGTTATGGCGCTTCAAGCGGGAAAGCCGTGTGGAATACATTGCCTCCTGCTATATCGATGTATGTTATGTACGCGTACACGACCTCCGGCTTAGCAGTCAGAGCCGGACGAGTCACGAGACCAACAGGCCCGCCAAGAAATAAAAGTTCCCTTGCAGTTAAAGTCTATAATTTTGGTCTGATTTGATAGTGAACTAATTAAGGTTTGAACGGTTTATCGCAAGTTAGGTAACTTTACCGACTGGCTGATATTTCTGATATCGAAAATGTCTAAAGTTCAAACTCAAACAGTACTTTCAAACTTTTCCCTTAACCTTAGTGACCTATACTAAATTTATACAAACTAAACTAAGAAACAGTTATTATTTAGGGTCGATGGCACAAAAATATTACCAACCTCTTCAATCATGGTAAAATTTGTCAAGAAACCAGAAACGCTGTTTATTGCTATATTTAATCTGCTTGGTCCGCCGTATCTGAAAAATACAAAGATACATTTATTCTGCATATATTTTATATTAACGATAACATTTTGACATAATGTAATTAAACAAAATCTATGTTTGTTTGTGCGTCTTTTATGCTCTGCCATATACTATAAATCCGAGCACCATCTTGCCAACGTTATTTAAGTCAAACAAGAAAAAAACAGAAAGCACAACTTGTAACATATTTTCTAAAAGACACATAAAATAATAAACATATATTTAAATACTGGGATTTGACACATTCATAAAAAAAATGTACGGATCGAACCCTCAACGAAGTCGAAGACCAATCGAATTTATTTCATTAAAATGATAGAAGCGAAATAAAACACATTTGTTAATACTCTGAATATATACATACGCAGTTCTGATTTCAGCGTAGTTCTGGTAAAGGAAGTTGAGTACAAGCGGTAGATTTCCTGGATTTCCTTGCAATCCAAAACTTATAACACTAGTGCGGTCATGGAGTCGGATTTTGCGATTCACGATTGACTGACGCAAATAACTGAAATTAAAATGAATAATATTGTAAGTGAAAAATTGCAAAAAAATATAACAAAATTTGTTGGGTTTTCTAAAAACTTAGTATGACGGATACTTAGATAACTGAAATTGTGCAATAGTTTGGAAACTTAAATTCAATAAAGAAGTTTTTCTAAAACACGTACTGATTAAATGATGCTTCATCCTTAGTACACCCGAGAGCGCGAAGAATAACAACCATATCGGCAGCATTCTCTGAGGTCTCGTATTGGTTGAAGAGATAGTCATAATCCGAGGCATCGCCTTCCCGCAGACCAACGCAGTACACGTAGCGGCGATAGTTCACTGGAACCCTGAAACAATAAATGATTTAAATAAAAACAGGCATTCCCAGCTACATTTAGTGTCATTACTCCAGTACTATGCGTCGCGGCATTACGTAATAGACCCATTAATATTTTACAAATAACATATACTTGGTATAATTGACAACTTAAATAAGTATCACCGACTATCTAAGTCATGGTAAATAGGAATCCCATCAAAAACATAAATGTGAAATGAGAGCCAAGTTCAATATTCAGAATAAGCGTTGTTGTCGACTTCGCCTACAAAAAAATTGAGATCTATATGGGCGCCAAGTTCTACGAGTATGTAGGAAATCCTAAAATTTTAGTTACAAGAACATACAACATTCCAAAATAAATTTATCTTTAAAGCAAAATTTAGGAAAGTTGGGACTCTAAACAAGCTAAGGATCTTTAATAAATGTGTAAAATTTTACATATGTAGGTTAAATATGCCTATGTCCTATGTCTGAGAGGCCTATGTCCAGCAGTGGACTGCGATAGGCTGATGATGATGATGATGATGAGGTTAAATAGTTTTCGGGTTGTGAAGGGGTCAGAAATAGCTCGAAATGGTTCGTCTAATATTACACACGGCTGCTGCGTCACGAGTTACTTTGCTTTGAACTTAGCTGGAAACGCTACCGCGTGCATAGATAAGCTGTATTTTTATTCAAATTATGAAACTTTTGCATTCGTTTCAAAATGGGTAGTAATAGCTCTTTAAAAGAATTCTAATAATATTCCTAGTAAAACATTGCAGGGCTTGGACAGTTTTTTTTCATTCATCATTATTTCCTATTATTACAGTGTTTTTCTACTTTCGTAAATAATAAAAAAGGAAAATCAAACCAAAAACTTACAACTCGTTCACATTAGCCCTGTGTGCTCTCCACTTGTTCAAGGCATCGGTCACACACCCAGAGTGTCCAAGGTTGCAGGCAAAGTTTAATATTTGCATTCTGTTAAGGATGTCAGAGGTGGAGTCGGTACTTCGCTCATCGTAACCGAGATGCTGGATAACATTTTCCAACAGAGTGAGAAGATAAGCCTGGAATAGACAAGAAATAAATAAATAAATCAAAATAACCCAAGGATTGTATTTTTTTTTTACATTTCCCGCTCCTATGATCAGCAATCTGATAACTGTTTTAGTCTTTATTGGGGAATAAAGACCAAAACAGTAAACTGCTGATACACATTAGGTATACTAATTAAATATTTTTGAAAAATTATGCTCAAAGAAAATCATAAACATCAGAGATGTCTACATAAAACACTTTAACAACTTCGTTACGTCCATCCAGTAGAAAAAGTTCCATTCTTTACTTCTAAGATCATATTCGTCATTCAAGAACTCTTATCAGTCACTAAAAGTATAAATAATTCAGACGGGACCTACCGAAAACGCGTCATATGCAACAGGCATGTGTTCAAAGCGCCTGTGGATGAATTGTAGCTGACCAATAGCTGCGTTCCATACGTAGTAGTCGGTCTCATGCCTTAGGAAGTCCAACACGTCGAGAGCTACGGTGTTGTTCACGTCTCCAGAGCGAATGAAGAACAGGAGATCGTTGACAATCTATTAGAAATTAATTTAGACGTTAGACTTAAACGAAATCTTAATGAGTTATTCTTATTAAAGTAACGAATAAATCAATACTGCTGAGCTAAGTTAATGACCAACAGTATTTACCTCTTTGTTAAGTTTTTAGTATTTTATGTTCAATAAAAAATCAAATGACCGCAATGATCTCTCTCACTCTCTCTGATGATGATAATGAGGTCATCTTGACCTTAAGCTTGTTGATTTTGAGGACTATCAAACTTTGATGTGAGCTAACGTCTTTTTTTCTTATATTTTAATATTTACCTGAGCCCTGTTTAATCTGTGAATATTTTGTCTAGTTGGTCCCTTGAGATAATTTCCAATTCTTTGCCAGTTATCATCATCATAGTTCACTCGGTAAAGGCCTAAAATCATAATTATAGTATTAGACAGTGGTGTGAATACTTGTATGTAAATAAAATCAAAATCGATCTAAGTGGCGTGCAATGTGAGAGGCCTATGTCCAGCAGTAGACTGCGATAGGCTGATGATGATGAATTAAAATCAAAATGCCTGTTCGAAATGACAACTCAAACAGCTTTCAATATACTTGTATTTTTATCTTTTTCTTTTAAACTTTTCTTTGTCTTTCATTCAGAGTGATTTTGTTCAAAGGGAATAATTACCAAAATCTGCACTTAATCTAAGTGAATTAAAAAAAAACAATTGCAGATCACTTACCAGATTGAGCTATGTTGAAGATTACCCAATCGTTTTCTGTATTAGTTGTATTCTCGATGACAGTGGATGAGGTAGAGAGTATGAGTTTAGGTCGAGTGTCATTGAAATTAATGGCACCCGCATGAGTCCACGTAAGAGGTATGTGCCAAATGTGATCGGGTCTGGTGCCGGAGACTAAAAAGCGTTGCTGTTGACGGAAATTTACTGACATAAGTTATAATAATAACTTAACACATGATTGATTGTTACTTCGCTAGATGTTTCATAATTATTATTAATTCATATCGTTTCCAAGTTTTTAGTAGAGAATTAGTAGAGAATGCTTAAGCTGATTTTACTAATAATTATTAAATAATAATGTTGATAATTAGTTAAATGAGGCTATGAAGAAATAGTAATATATTTTTTTCCAGGAGAGTGAATTTTAGTAGTAAGTGTAGAACATGCCCAATGGAAGCCAAATCCTTAATTAAATAGTATGTGAAAGAAATTGTTTTTTCTAAGAATCTATATTAGATAAGAACTATACCGGTGTTAAGCAATTCTTTCGTTGCCTTTTACTGAGTGAGTGAGGCTACCGGAGCCCAAATCCCACCTCCCGCTGACTCGAGCGGGAGGGACTCCAAGGGCAGTAACGCACTTGTGACTTTTGAGTTGCAGGTGTCCATGGGCGGCGGTAGTTGCTTACCATCAGGTGACCCGTCTGCTCGTTTGCCCCCATATACCATAAAAAAATAGTTGTGCAGAACAACATAAAATTAATTTTGTGGACCAGTACGATACCTTCTAATTACATATTCAAAAATTAAAGATCTTAGATTTTACATACTTTGATATGTAAAATAATATTTTTACTGAAAGTACTAATTTGTTTATATATTTAGAGCAGTTGAGTGTGGCAATTCATTGTACTACCAATATAATCTTTGACTCAACAAACCTGCGAAACAGTAATATAACCAGATACAGGATTAACTTCAACTCTGACGACTGGAGAGCCAGGATTCTGCACCCAACTGTCGAATACGGCTCTGACGTCGATACCGGGATAGTCGCGAAGGAATTGAAAGTCTTCGGAAATAGCGCGCTCAAACGCAGCATACACAGCATCAGGGGTGCCAATACCGTACGCACTGGCAATTTTAATATGGATTTTTTATTTACTTAATATAAAAAGACAACTCCACACTAGAATATATCCTATGTCTCGATAGACTTTAGTATAGGGTTTATATAGTATAGAATTTATTGTATGTACACAAATATACAAATGTCCATAAAGTAATGTTATGCATAGCATTTCATTTCTTACAATTTCTACATCAACAGAAAACCACAATAAATATAAGAAACCATAAATAAATTAAACCAAATAAATAAATTAAACACAGAACAATATTAAAATTCTCAAACTGATAATAATTATGACAAACCCCATAAATTGTCTTACTTCAATGAATAAACTTACTTGTCTCTGAGGTAGTAGCGAAGGGCAAGTCTGAAATTTCTAAAACCAACAAAATTTTCCATCATTCTGAGGACTGAAGCACCTTTTGCGTAACTTGTAGTAGAAAAGTGGGCCATGATTGTTGGGGTGCTGGCTACATCTGTCCAGTTCATAGGATTAGCTCCCAAAGAAGCATCATGAGCAAGAGCGCTATGCACATAGTCTACTACAAACTGATGGTCTAATTCAAATTCAGGAAGCGCCTAAAATATTTTTAAAAATTAATTAAGTTTCCTGTCGTAAATAAACACTACATTTAACAATAAAACTGTATTAAACATACCCAGTGAGCTGCAAAATATTCAAAATAGCTAGCAAAAGACTCATTGATCCAAACATTGCTCCACCAGAATGTGGAGACGAGGTTGCCAAACCACTTGTGAGCCATTTCGTGAGTCATGATTGTGGCTATGAAGATTTTGTTTATGAGATTGGTGTTATTTTTGTCGTACAGAAGAAATGCTTCTCTGTAACAAGATTTCATTATCATTTTATAAATTTATCAAGGTCCTTGCAGACAGTCAAAGATAGGATAGTATTACATACCTGTAGTTAACCATACCCCAATTTTCCATAGCGCCAAATGTGAAATCAGGCAGTGCAATATGATCATTTTCCATTAAAACGCCCTGTCCCATCTCATGATACAGTATAGCAAGGTAATCATCTAATTTGTTAGTGACTCTTACTCCAGTTTCAGCAGCCCACTTATGCTGATCAAGGGCATCAGGACGGGATATAATTCTAAAAGGTCTAGCATCGGTACTAGACAACTCTGTTTCTTCAAAATCGCTGATATGTAAAGCGATCAGATAGGCCGAGATTATAGGTGTTGGGTGAAAAACTTCACGAATCCGATCGGCACCAACACTGAAACGGGCAAATTAAAAAAATTGTAATGTTAAACCTTAAATAATGGAAAATAATAGACAAAGTAGTCTCAACAAACTAGATTATTTTTTAAATAAACCTTGTGCCAAATTTACATAAAGATCTATTGTTTCTAATACTTTTCAGTATGTTCCAGCAAAACATTTCTTTATCCTTTAAACGATGACATTTTAATTCAACGTAAAATTCGTGTACCATGTGGCGTAACAGCATTCAATATTACCCATCGGTTTTAATTCAGAGCATGCATATATTATTATATTGCAGTTATTATAAGTTATATTCGATACTATCTGAGACCCGCGGTGTTACCCGCGTATGTTGTTATAACCGCGGGCAACGCCGCGAGGCGAAGCAAGTCTAAAAAAAGTAGCCTAAGTTACTCCTTATGTCATCAGCTATCTGCCAGTGAACGTCCCGTCGAAATCGGTCCAGGCGTTCCAGAGATTACCCGGAACAAACAGACAGACATACAGACGGACAAAAATTGTAAAAAATCTTATTTTGGTATATGTACCGTAAAAATATGCATATGCATTTAGTAAAAAGCGGTTATTTTAATATTACAAACAGACACTCCGATTTTATTTATTTGTATAGAGTATAGGTAAATGAATTTGATCGTTTGATTGATTAATTGAATTCTTCTTGTAAGTAAGAGCAGGATGTCATTTTTATAGATTATTTCAAAATATTACTTACGGTATCGTCTGAGCGATGGGCATATTTGAGTATGTGTGGCTAAGGTTACTGTCACGGGTGACACTAAGCACATAGCGAGATTTAAACTGGGGTTCATCAAAACATGGAAAAACCTTTCTCGCAAAGAATGGAGCTAATTGTGTAGTGGCATAAGTTCTGAAATATTTTGAATAGGATTAAAAACAATACAATAAAAAAATATTAAATTTTAAAAATATCGAAATAAAAACAATAGATTAGAAACAAAATAGAATAGAACTAAATTTAATTTTGATCAACGACTTGTAATAGTCTGAATTAGTACTCGTATAAGATTTCTTTGAATCTGTCATTTTTTTATGGTACAAGGGGGCAAACGAGCAGACGGGTCACCTGATGAAAAGCAACTATCGCCGCCCAGGGACACCTGCAACTCAAAAGTCACAAGTGCGTTGCCGCCCTTGAAGTCAGTATTATTTATTCTCTTTATAGAAATTATAGTGCTCCTTTCACTGTATCTACTTGGACTGAGTAGATATTCACTTAACATTGTAATATGCGATAAACGCTTGCAAAACTCATTTTAGCATATTTCAAAAGTATCATTAACGACGACATTAACCGGATGGCGTAGTTTTTTGTGTAACGGACTGCTATTCTAAAGGTCAAGTCAAACATTTGTGTGCATGAACTTTTAACTTTTCATTTTGTTGATTTGGTCTGGGTGTTTCTATGTATAATATGTATGTTTTTACAAAAAAAAGTATGTATGTATAATTTATATCTCTAGCCATAGTACAAGCTCTGCTTAGATTGGGACCAGATGGCGTTGTGTGATTGTGGTAGAATATTATATTATTATAATTAACTTACATCTCTGTATTGTTATTAAAGTAATAGCCTTTATAGAGACCTCCGTCAAATGGGTTTTCGTTAATAATCCCAGTATAATTCATGGTGATGGTATAGTTACCAGCAGGGATGGGCCCAGCGAGATTAAGTTTTACGATCTCAAAATGGTCATCTTTAATGAATGGATTTGGGAATCGAAGGTTTACGACATCGTTGTTAGCACTAACTATATCCACAGTTGTTATTGATTGAACTTTCTGATGAAAAGCAATTTGTTGTAGATTCGCTTCTCTCACCTGCAAATAAAATAGAAAAGTTATAAAACTTATGAATTAATTATTAGAAATACAAATTTTTCTTTAGTTTATTAAATAGATACTAGTATGGAAGGACTTCAAATTAAGAAGTGTATTTTAGGTTTAATCACAGTCTCGTCTCGTCTTCATAAGCTTTCATCACGTCTGTCACATCTGATAGAATCACATAAAACCGTCAGTAGTATTACAGGTTCGTTGTTTATTATTTTTTAATTTTCCACGCTTTACTCACATTCTTTTCTTTGAGAATCTTATTCCTAAGATCCTTTTGTAACCTCAATATACTTAAGAGTTTCTTACGGCTTTTGTGATGTAGTAGATGTAAGATAGATATAAGAGGAGCTATAAAACAATGTATTGATTCGAATTATGGTCAGTCTTGCATTCACATTCAACTGATTATTATTTACATAGACTCCCAACGTCACATGGCGACCCTGCTATAAAAGGCGCGTGCGCGCGTCCTGTGTGGTCCGTTAAGATACAGAGTACTCGAATTTCTATTTGTCGCGATGGCAGAACATTTTGTGCGGTATCTAAGACCGGTATCTTACATCTACTACATCACACTTTACTGTACATTTCACAGTTTTAACTGCCGTTTTATCACATTTGTCTTCTTTTGAATGCTATCATAGGATTTACTTTCGCAGGACCCCTTTTGTGCCCTCTCGTGTCAGCCCTAGAGCTGAGAATGATCTGTTACGCTTACGACACTGTACATCACAGCGTAGTACTGGGCTTACGGGTGGTCCTGTACGGATGTTCTCTTTTATTTCAAGGAACCCATCTTTCTCAACCTCTCAGCACTTTAAACATCATCAATACATTCCTCGTAACGTTTAGGACCCTGATGAAGTACATAGGCCTGGTCTTCGACTATGAATATGAAGCCATTTATACCGTAAAATCCACAAATACGTTATATCCGCGTCCCTTTTGAACATGTTAGACTGTAATATAGCATATTTATATTATCAGTAGTTACGTATATAATGAAATGATTGTGAATAATCCACCGACGTACGGAAGGGAATTAAAAAATATAATCAACAGATATAGTTGTAAAAGTCGCTGAATATTAAGCCATGGCTTACATTTTAACGTATTAATATGATATGGTAATGAACATAGTATTATTACGAGTACAAGCTGAAACATTACAAACTAGAATATTAAATGATCTACAATTTTAATAAATAGATTAGGGACCGTAAGTCTAGCCTAGAGAACAAAGTGTTATCATAAATGACGTTAAAAGAGTGGCAAGTCTGAAGTGGTAGTGGTTTAGAAATAAGGCCTTGGTGTAAATCTAGGTGTTTTCAGAATAAAGGCTTCAGGGTGAAAAGACATCGTCGTCCGCCTCTGGCTGCGCCACGGGCGACATATTTGGCTCCTGCTAAGGCGGGCTTAACAGCTCAGTCAGCAGCTAGGGTGACCGGGCCAGCGTCTACAGCACCTCGAAAGGCCACCCAGGAGAAAGGGAAAGTGACCCCGACCCCAGCCTCAGTTATAGCCCCGGCGGCCGAGTGTCCAGGCCCACTAAATGCGCAGAAGTACGCATCACAGGCCTGGATGACTCAGTCACGACGGACGAGCTTAGGCTCACCGTGGCTTAGGCCGGGGCCTGCTCCCTAGATTACGTGAAGGCCGGAGCAATACGCTCCAGCTCCAGTAGAGGGGGGCAGCGGTTGTCAATTGCCCCATCGCAGTGGCTCAAAAGGTCGCCGGGGGACGAAGCCTCCTTCGAGGTTTCGTGAAGGCGTAAGCACGACTAATGCAGGCCCGGCGGGCAAGGTGCTTCCGGTGCTTATCGGTGGGAAATGTGGGGATTTAGTGCACAGCAAAAGTCACCGTAGGCGACCTTTGCTTCAGCTGTGGGCAGCCCAGTCACAAGGTGGGTTCTTGCAATGCTCCGCTGCGTTGCTTTAGATGCGCAGCGGGAGTTAAACATGCTGACCACCGGGTTGGCAGTAAGGCCTGCGCCGGGTCAGGACTGAAGCCGGGGGTTCAGCCTTCTGCCTCTAAGTCATCGACGGAGACAGAGGGTATTGCTGAAGAGCTACAAGGTTCGCAGCGGGATGCGGATATGGAAATCCAATAAAGGATCCACATATCCGAATCCTCCAGGCGAACGTGGGTTACGGTGCCGTAACTCGGAGTCTTCTGTTCCCACATCATCGGGGGAGCAGAAGATCCTGACTCCTGAACATCGGGGTTCCCTCACAGGAGGGGGTCATCTAGAATCAGTAAATGGCCCGAGGTACGTCAGGGTTCCTGGGATTTCCTTTCTAGGGTACACCTGGTTCCCCGGCTACTTGTATCAATGTCGGTTCAACTTTTTTAGGAATGATTTTTATTAAATATCCACTTTCCAAAATTCTGAATTAAGAAAATCTGTATAAAATATATTTAAAAAAAACTTACTTCGATGTCCATCCTGACAAAACCATCAAAGCGACTTTCATTTAAGTACACGTCAAGATCTACGTTCATTGTAATTGGGTACACCGTATCCGCTAAGCGGTATCTTGTGTCACCAAAATTTGAATTAAAACCGACGAATTCAAAATTTGATCTGAACTCCTCAGGTATGGCCTCCAGGGACCCGAGCAGAAGGAATAAAATACTTGGCAACAGCATGATGGTACCTAAAAAGTATTACAAGAAAAATATAATATTAATAGTGATAGAAATAATAAATGGCCTAAATTTTTAATCAAATTAATGTTCCTCGTTTAAATTTATTAACTGTATATTTAGTAACAAGAAATGAATTTAGGAGTTATAAAGTTGGTGAATTCATTCAAAATTTTAGAATAACTGACGTCTTAAAAGCATATTAGTAATATATAATAGTAATATATATCAGTTTTAATTCGAAATAGTTATAATTTTATCACTCTTTCGTCCTTCAAATTACAGTATCGAGGCTATGGTTATATATACTTTCATTGATATTTCGGCATTTATATAAAATGCTACTCACCCAGTTCCGACGGTACCAAAACAACTACTAAATTTTATTCCAGTCTCATATCACTATTTTTATCATTTACTTTTTTAGTACTTAGTTTAATATTCATGGCAATCTTTATCAAATCGTTAACGCATTTTTAGATATCACTACAATCAATATTTATATTATCTGTGCCAAAGTGTAATCAACAGAATGCTTAAAAGAATGTACCTACATGAACGTCTATCTATCTATTAACTATAAATACAAATACTAAGTTTATTAAACTTAAACTTTAAAAACTTAAAAAGTTCTGCACCGTTTGAGCTCAAATGACACGATGTACAACCAGCTTCCAAGATTGTATTGTCTTGTTCGTTTCAGTTTTGTTACTCATTTCTCACCAGTGCCATCACCACAACGACCCACAGCGATGAATGGCAGGGTACAGCTAGTTTATAATATTAAGGAAGATCATATCTGCTCGACCGGATGGAATACCTAACGCTGGTCCTTTCGAGTCAATAGGATTTCATAGTCATTAAAAATCTTAAAGACCTTGTTATCTCCTAAGATCCATTCACGTTTTCATACAGAATATATGGTGTTGTTCATTAGTATCAGTTAACAAGTATTGATTTGACCTTCTGCGTGTGTATCAGGCCCTTGACGCTGCCACACGTAAGTGAAAGCGTCTCAGTTATAAATGTGAATACCTAATATATTTTTAATCTGTAAGAAGTATCTTCTAATTTTGTTGTAAAACACTATAAAAACAATAACAGCTGTAGGAGCATGATATGGGTTTGATCTTGACGGCGATTCACAGCCAACTTAACTTGACTATCAGCACGAACTTAGTTGCAGCTGCTGTTTAACCTAATCTAAATGATTTTATTCGGAAAAGAAAACTGCAATAACTTTCTTTGGTACAGCTCTAAACAGCCAAAGATATTGTCCAAGAATTGCAAGTTGATAAAAAGTCACTAACTGTTCTCAATAGAACCTATGAACAGTTCTTGTAGTGTTGTTTTTAATTCTTCATTTGGTTACTAGTAGAAGTTAAAAATCCCAAACTAAGATTTTAGATACAATCAGAGGTCTTCTTATACAGATAAATCAAGTTCAAAGTACAGCGAAAACTCAAGACAGAAAAGGTTGGTACATAGTAATAATTTTCATGCCTAATACCCTAATGCCTAGAAGCACCTACGCTTCCCCTATATCATCATTCAATAGGTTCTTTTAGCCCATTCTTTAAATATCACCAAACTTTTGCCTTATTTTGCGCACAATGAGGCTATTATCCTAAAAATCCTTATCCGTGTACTCAAACCTATTAATCTCATTTATGTTTTGCTGTTTTTTAGGAATGTGCTGAACACTATTAGCTATATTACTGTTACATGTCAATACTAGTTAAGTTTTTTTTTTAAATTTAGGAAGTAATACTTATTTTCCGTTGATATTCGGTAGAGTTTAGAATATAAATATTAGGTAGAGTTTAGAATCTTTACAAAATTGAGCAGTAAAGTGATTATCTCATTCTCTATACCTTGTCAATGGGAGCAAATCAGTATGACACGTATTAGGCATAAAATGTTATTTACGTCTTGCAATTAGGTAAATACACCTATATTGATGTATGTATAATTACTACCTTCTACAAACGTTATCAAAAGCATTAATATCTTGAGATAGCAATGTAATTAGTAGAAATATCTTTTGTTATCTTATTAATTCGATGTTTAGTTTACTTGGTACCATTTAATATAATGAATATTAGTTTTTCGTTTACCAAACATGTGTATTCTGGTATAGATGTATGTATTGAAACACGTTTGGTAAAGAAAGATAAATTTCTAAAACTAGGGAGTAATCTGATAGGTTCTATCAAAACATCTTTAACGTGGAAGACATAGATGTGGTCACCTGGTGGTAAGTGAGTTCCTAACCTACACAGGCAAACTCAACCCAAAATAGATAATTATTTCAACCTTCTGCAATCTGTAAAAGATGTAAATAAAATTGTATTGGGTTAGAGTGCGATTTAAAAAATAAAACAAATTACTTACAAAAATAGTCTAATTCATAAATTAGTAAACTTTGACTTATATTTAAACAAATTAATGGAACAACTGGACGAAAAGAACAGCTAAAACTAAGAATGTTGAAGCAACTACGGTTGTAGATGAGCTCGGTAAACCCCTGGCAAGAAGGAATGAATAAATTTCAGGAGCATTTGCGTTACCCCAGTCTAGATTATTGATGGCAGTTTGTACCGCAGATACTCCTGTAGAGAACGAGCTAGCCAAGGCCACTTGATTTGCATATACCCAGTTTTGATACTGAAAAGAATAAATAAATAAATAAATTACAAAGTACAATATTTTATGGAAAAAATCGTTTATAATTGGCAAAGACGACTTTGAAAAGGGGCTCATAGCTAAGTGGTAACGAATTAGAAAGTCGACACAAGTGTTTTAGGTGTATCATCATCGATCTATAATCGTTTTGATTGGAAAGATTTTATGTTGAAACGTTAATCAAACTTATTTTATTATTACGGCTGAAAGCACTTTTACCCGTGATTGATACATAATTAAAAATACGACCCTAAATAAAATAACGAGTGTAGTAGCACATTTTAAGTAAGAACTTAAAGATGTCTATGCATATGCAAAATTTAATAGTAATATTGATAAAGATGAAACATTAAAGTGATACAAACCTGTTGAATCATAGCAAAGTCTGTCATAAAACCGGAAACGGCATTCATAGCGGTGCTGAGACGATCTGGACCACCAAATCTGTACCAGACAATGATACAATGAATCTTTCAAGCAAATTTCATTAACATATATTTTTTTATCCTACGTTACTAAAGTATCCTGACAAATATTCCGAATGGTATGATTTCATTTCATTAAAGATTCTAGAAACACTTATTTTTACTTATAAATAAAATCATTGTCAGATTATCTGACCTATAGGTTTAATCTAAGTAGTGATATGTTAAAAATGATTAATGTAGAATTTAAGTGATTTTTCAAAGAAGATTGTTAGAATTAGGGCCTCATGGTTACAGTATTCTTGTCAATTCCCACCAAGAAATAAATGTGAATAAACAACGTTAGTGTACTAGTTAGAATTCAAACCCATTTTCTCTAAACTTTAAACTTAAAGTAGCCATTAAAGTAAGGAAAAAAAAGAAGTCAAAAAAGAAGACAAACACAAAAATACAATACATACTCAGTTCTTATTTCATTAAAGTTCTGGTAAAGGAAGTTGAGGACGAGCTGTAAGTTTTCCCTGTTACCCTGGACTCCAAAACTGATAAGATTTGTTCGGTCGTGGATTCGAACTTTGCGGTTCGTTATAGATTGTCGCAAGAAGCTGAAATAATAATAATAATATTCAATCACATTCACACAACGGCATCTAGCAGAGCTTGTACTATGGCTACTAGACAACTGATATAAATACATAAATATTTTTTTTTACGAAGTATAGTGTTATTTAGTTAAGTTTGTTCATGTTTACTCTTCATCAATCATCATCATCAACAGCCTTTAATAGTCCATTGCTGGACATAAGCCTCTCCTTAGAAAGGAGGTTTTGGCCTACTATACCACGCTGGCCAGACGGGTTGGTATAGGGTTTGTGTCAAGTTTTCCTTCTCTTTGCAGTGCTGTTGTCCTGCGTAGTTTGCTCCCTTAGTCGCCTCTTACGACACCTTCGGGATGAATAGGGGTGTTGACACACTGCATTCTTAATCTGTCACCATACGGACTCTTTCCTCTTACTTAATGTTTATTCAAAATTTTAATAGTTTCAATGAAACTTCAGTCTAGTGCAGAGATAATAATATGTGATATGTAAAAAGCAACTTACTGATTAAACGAAGTCTCATCCTTTGTACATCCGAGAGCGCGAAGCATTACAACCATATCGGCAGCACTTTGAGAGGTTTCGTACTTTTGGAACAAGAAGTTATAATCCGAGGCATCACCTTCACGAAGACCAACACAGTAGACATACCGCCGGTAGTTTGGATTGACTCTGAAATAATAATAGTCTGTTATTCTTGATTTTAAATATTGGCATACTGAACATAGTTAGATAACACAAGCCCTTCGAATATTTAAAACACAAAAGGGCTAAAAAGAGATGTAATCCCTCTAAGAACGTTGATACAATTTAATTTTAATCTTTATCATCACCATTTTACTTTAAAACGATGATTTTAATAGTGGCTTAAAACGTGCGACTCCAAATAACTTACTTACTAAGACAATCAAATTAAAGTAAGGAGTATCGACTTGTGAAATATATCATTGAGAACATGATATTTATTAATATTTATGAAAGTAGAATATTAGTGAGCAGTATTATTAATAAATGTACAATGTTAGGTTAAAAGGTATTGTTTAAACTTTGGTCAAAGCCCCTTTTCATGATATGTTGTTAATTATTAATTACTAGTTAAACCTAGCTGAGCTGAATACTACAGGTCTAGGTCCAACCAGGGGACTACAATAGGCTGATATAAGTGCATTAGCTGGAACGAGGTCGTTCATATAAGCTTTGGCTTGAGTTGAGATGCTTGATGAAAACATTCAACTTAAACATAAAAGAAACAGTGCATTTACGCGAATTTCGCGTACTTATTAGATTGATCTCTTCTTGTGTTCAAAACAACTGTTTAAATCTAAAATTTCTGACGTTTTGAGTGGACAGTGTAAATGATGAACAATAATTTTGTGTTGTATCATATTTTAGACTTATGTACTATTGAGTATTATGCTATGTCAACTTATCATATTTTCGTTCACTAGTTGGATATATAGTTTTTAGTTAACTAAGAAGAACTGTTATTAGCCATACTATCTGTGTATGTTATTAAGTTATAAAATAATTGTATCGCTGTTGTTTTTCAGTAAATAAATAAAAAACTATCTTATCCCCGCAACTTAGTCTGCGTATTTAAAAAGGAATACATTTTCCCCGTTTTCATTGGTAATCGGCTTCTATTAGTTGTATAACCTGATATTATATAGATAAAAAATATATCGAGTAAAGCTATATTACTCCATAAATGGGCTATCCAACACACAAATATTTTTTCAATTCGAACCATTCATTCCTGAGATTAGCGCGATCAACCAAACCAACAAACTCTTCGGCTTTATAATATTGGAATAGAAACTATTTTTCTAAATATAACCCCTTTAACTTCGAATGAACATAAAGGGCAAAATTAATGTTTTGTTTGATTTAGTTTTGTTAATATATCTTTTTTTTATAACTTTACACATCTCACACATGGCAGTTTGAATCCAAACTAGTCAAAGCCTGTAGAATGGAAACATACTTAAATATAGCTAAATACATACACTGCCACACCTAACTAAATACCTACATTATAGGTAAACTACACCCAGACAAAGAACAAATAAATGTAGCCACCACATAATTATTTGTCCTGGAATGGAATCGAACCCACGACCTCCAGTTTAGCAGTCAGGGTCACTAACCACTAACCAATAGGCCCGTGTACCGAAACGCAGACTTCTTCATTTTTCAAGCACTTACAATTCATTGTCATTGTTCCTGAACGCTCTCCATTTGTTTAAAGCATCTGCTACGCAACCAGCATGCCCGAGGTTGCAAGCCGAATTCATGATCTGCATCCTATTAAGAGTTACAGATGTGGGCTCGTTAGCAGCCTCCTCGTATCCAAGGTTCTGGATTACATTCTCCATGAGTTCTAGAAGGAAGTCCTGCGAAGCACAAAACAAACGTGAATAATCTGCTTAGAATCACTTGTATTGTACATGTCATTATCAGAATAATTTAACAGTCTACATGGATAACAAAATACCTTAATATAAAAAAAATGAATTGGCTGGTTTTTCAACGTGATAATTGGGTAATGGTACTAATTTAAAAAAAAACTTTTGAAAAAAAATCGAACAGGTGCGAAAAACCTCGCACCTTTTACATTTTTTTCCCGATCTGAACCTGTATTATTATATTCAGGTGTAATCCTGAGTTTATATTGTATAAATTCCTTTGTTTAAAAATTTAGATCTGTTTTACAGATTGTTTTGATATTGGGGTCATAATTAAGAGCTAAAATTCAGTTTGCTTGCTGTCAATAAAAATAAACTCACTGAGAATGCTTTACTGGCATCATCAGGTAGGTGCTGGAAGCGCCTGTTAATAAATTCCAGCTGTGAGATGGCTCCATTCCATACATAATAGTCGGTTTCATTTTTAAGGAATTCCAATACGTTAAAGGCAATAGTAGAGTTTACATCTCCAGAGCGAACGAAGAACAAAAGGTCGTTGACAATCTGAAAGAAGATATTTTATCTCGAGTAAACCTGTGTCAATTGATGGTTATATCCTTGTGACGTCTTAAATTAAAGTACAGATATATAAATACGCGACTCCAGCCTCTTCGATTTACTGTAGACTTAGTCTCACTTTCCTATTCGAGACTTGTAGTAACCCTTACTATTAATAGGTCTCACGTGTTATCAGTTTTCTTTACCCCAGCTAACTTTATTTATTTGTCCAGTTTGAAAACGTTTGTGTAACCCAGAAGGGACGGCTAGGACACCTTGATTTTGCTCTTGAACGCAGCTACAATGAATGATTTTTTTTATGAAATTTCCTTTTTAAATGTTGCTACTTTTTTCTCTCATTTTAAATGAAGGGTTCGTTTTTTCTTGGGTTCTTGAGAGTTTTCTGTTTACTACTCGTACTAGGATAACATGACAAAAGACATATGTTTTAATAGAAACATTCTTTAATGGTTTACCTGAGCTCTGTTCATCTTGTTGATTCTCTCCCGATTGGCAGATTTCAGATAATTTCCAAGTCTTACCCAGGTTTCTGCATCATAATTTACTCTGTACAAACCTGAAATTATGGAAAAAATTAAGCGGGAATATTTAATATAAACTGTACGCAATAATGTAATACGCAAACAGTATCTGTAGTCATTTAAAACAATAAGAAGCATTAATTGGCTTTGACAGTTACACGTGTTTTACAAAACATAGGCTAATCAAAAAGATAAGATAAACTTAGTAAAAACTTGACTTTGGTGAAATGTTGTCTTTCTATTCAACAAGGTTTAAGTGCGTCACGTCACGTCACACATTACTTATGTGTGAAATGCCATTAAATAGTCGACAAATCGAGGGCATGCAGCATATGATCCATACTAATATTATAAATGTAAATTATGTCTGTCTGTTAACCTCTTCACGCTTAAACCGCTGAACCGATTTATATGAAATTCGGTATAGAGATAGTTCGAGTTCCGGGAAAGGAAATAGGATAGTTTTTATCCCAAGAATCGTCCTTTAAGGGGGTGGTTGTATGAGAAATCAACAACCGCTGAACCGATTAAGATGTAATTTGGTATGAAGATAGTTTGATTTTTGAGGAAGGACATAGGGTACTTTTTACGGCGACAGCCGACGAGTGGGCGGCGCCGCGGGGAAAACTAGTATATCCTAAAAGTTAAGTAAATACATTTTCTATGTGTTCTATGTAACTAGAATTATTTTTTATATATATTATTTATATATATATAATTATTTATTAGTTTCTAAACGGTGTTGTGTAGATCTAATGATGACTGAACCAGAGGACTTTCTCTTGTCACACCCAGGGCAAATTATAATTGATTTAATGTACATGATCATTTTTTCTGTTTCTGTGTATTATTTACCTATTTTATGTATGTATTTCGAACTATATACAGGTGTTGTTATTAGAAGTGAAGTTACTATAGTAGTGAGTCTGCTCGGTTAAGGATCAGACTGCTACTGTAGATACTTATATACAGAGGTGTAGGTAACGGTAACAGTGTTGCGTGTTCATCGGTTTTATACCATCTCAAAAAATACATTCTTTTGTTTGTTGCTCAAAAATGCCCAACGCCTTAAGAAGTTTTCATTTCAAAAAGTTTTTAAAAGTTTTTTAAGTACCTGATTGACCAACGTTGAAGATTACCCAGTTGTTTCCCTCAGGCACTGTAATGGTAGTTCTTTGAGTGGAGAAAATCATTTTTGGTTTAGTATTTTGGAAGTTCAATTCGCTTTCAGTGGTCCACGTCAAAGGTATTTGCCAAATGTCGTCTGGTCTGGGTCCGGAGATTGTGTAGCGTTGCTGTTGAAGGAAAATGAATTCATTTGAATGTGTTGATCAAAATTTAGTAAATTTGTAACTATGGGTTTTTTAAATGCAAAATCTATGACATCGAATATATTAGATGCTTATTTTAAAAAGCCGAGAATAACGAAAATATCAATAATCCTATAATATACGACAAAATACAGATTATTTCCTAAAAATTATTAATTTTAATTGTTTAATGGATTAAAGCGGCGATTACAATACGACCAAATCGATTACGATATTAAGGGTGTAACGATGTATGATACCCAGGTAAAAGAAACGTTTTATTTTGTTGTATAGTTCATTTTTACATAAAAAAGCCTTATAATAACATATCATCGAAAGTCAACTGAAAGGTGACGTAGTAATTATTAATGTACGCAGAAAAAATATCAAACATGACTCACCTGAGTGATATCAACGGTACCAGTAGCAGGATCGAGAGAAGCAAACACGACTGGTGATCCTGGGTTCTGAACCCAACTCTCAAACACAGCACCAACATCCACGTTGGGGTAATCACGGAGGAATTCAAAATCTTCGTTAATAGTTTGTCTGAAGGCATTGTACATGTCAGCGTTTGTACCAACACCATAGGCACTACAAGGAGAAGAGAAAATTAATAATGAGATACATTTAATAATATTATATCATAGTAATACCTAATTGAAATTTTTATAATTTATTATCATAATATCTTCTGTTAATGAAAACAAGATGACAATAACTCAAGTTTGAATTCAGTTAATAAGTATTTATATTCATACGTATGGTACTTTCTCTGTTATGAAAATGTACAAAAAAAATAGTTGTCTATTTATCTATCTATCTGTATGTATGTATTTTAAGTTACACTAACAGTTGTCAGCAGTATTTAGACACAAATTCCTGCAAGAGCTCACAAAAATAAAATAATCACACTTGATTTTTGCAATGCAAGTCATGAGACTTCTCAGCTTAAATTACAGCCTATACCTATTTTAAATTATGTCTTTTGTTATTTTTCCTGCAAAATTACTGCTTTATATTGGCTGTGATTCAATTAAGTTTCGCTCATTTACATTGAGGAATACATAAAGCATATAACTAAAAACTTACTTATCTCTTAGGTAATATCGAAGAGCAGTTCTGAAGTTTCTAGAACCGACGAAGTGTTCCATCATCCTAAGAACTGAAGCACCCTTCGCATAGCTGCTAGTAGAGAAATGGGCACTGACTGAAGGGAGAGTGGCTACACCTGTCCAGTTCATAGGATTTACAAAGCGAGAGGAGTCAGCTGAGAGAGCACTATGCACATAATCTACAATGAATTGGTTATCCAATTCGAAAGCAGGATGAGCCTAAAACATAGAATGATTAATTAAAATTACATTACAAAATAAGTTTTCCTAAAATAAAAATAAAATTCTTTAAAACTAATATATACATACATCGTGAGCAGAAAAATATTCGAAGAAACTAGCAAAGGATTCGTTTAACCAAAGATTGCCCCACCAGAAAGTAGTGACAAGGTTTCCAAACCACTTATGCGCTAATTCGTGAGCCATAATGGTAGCGATAGTAATTTTATTTGGAAGGTTCATGTGTCGTTGATCATACAGAAGATAAACCTCTCTGAAATAGAAAGCGGAAAATTATTAGGTTTCTTGAAATAGTTTACTTATTGGTATTAACTAAGTCCCTCATGAAACGGTATCAAAAAAATTGACAAGCAATTTATATTTGGGTAATTATTTATCTAACTTAGTTACAACAACAAAAACGAAGTAAAAATGCTGAATAAAATTGAATTCAATTAACGAGCGTGTCTCTTGTCGTATTAGTTGATGGAAGCAATGGGTAACAAAAATTTTTTTTTGTTCTATCTCACTGCTTACGTTTTACTATTCCCGTGCTAAGTTTATCTAAATATATTTTTTAAATTGAATTATATCTTAACCCTTGACAAAAACACTAGTAAATTTGTCCCAATATTCATATTTTTTTTAATTACGAGAGGAATTAAGTATGTGTTCACAATTCAACCCAAATTTTTGCTCGAAGTGCATGGGTGTACGAACAAATATTCTCTTCACTCCAATAAATTGACATACCTGTAGTTCACCATTCCCCAGTTTTCCATAGCACCAGATGGGAAATCAGGTAGAGCGATGTGATCGTTCTTCATTAAGACACCCTGTCCCATTTCATGGTAAATGATAGCAAAATAGTCGTCCATTACATTGGTTATTCTCACACCAATTTCAGCAGCAAATTCATGTTGATCGATAACTCCAGGCCGAGAGATAATTTTAAAAGGTCTAGCAGGAGTACTAGATATCTCAGTTTCAACAAAGTCGCTCACATGGAAGGCTACTAAATAAGCAGATATTATGGGAGTAGGGTAGAAAATTTCGCGAATACGATTGGTGCCGACTCTGTAAAAATAAACAAATGAATTAAATTTTGGTCATTGAATTAGGTTTGTTGAAAAAACAGTTTAAATATATTAATAATAAAATATATATTATGATTTAAAGCTATGACTTCATATAGCGTGAAATGTTTCACAACATATCATGTGTCTTTGGGTGTATTTTTTCTCTAAGACATTTGACTTCACGGATTTCAATCTCCTCACTTTCTCACGTGTGTTCGACGAACCTCAATGAGGTCATCACCTGAGACTCCCAAGGTCTAATGAATAACTCCGATTAAATATCAAGCAATATTAACGCCAAATTTCGTGATTTACGAGTCGTTAAATAATGAATATATCATGAACACCAACATTTACCAATTCATGTTACATTGAAATGAAATTTGTATAAATTGTACTGAATTATACAATCTTTATCATTCATACTAAATTAATACAAGCTAGATCGATAGAATAAAATCAGTAATTTTCAAAAGGTTTCGCAAAAGTATAGAAATTTAGTAAGGGATTGCAGCATACAAGCAGAATAGAAGAATATTACAAAAATAACTTACTGCTCTCTGGATTCGATGTCCATGTTGGAATAAGATGGGCTTAATCTACTGTCACGTGTAATGGAAAGCCTATACCGGGATTTGAAGGTAGGCTCGTCGAAGCAAGGGAACGCTTTCCTGGCGTTACCAGGCTGGAACTGTGTTGTAGCGTAAGCCCTGAAAATTTAAACAGTTATTATACCGACAACAACAGAAATATAGCAAAAAGCAGACATTTGATTTATCTGTATAGGTAGAAATATTATATGTATGTAAAGATACTTGTATGCCTATGTAAGTGCAAAACTTAATATTGTTTTGTGCATTTATATATTTTATGGATACTAATATGATCTAATCAACCGTATGAGAATCGTACCCACAATAATTAATTTGATTTTATTAATTTACCCTCAAAGAAGACCATTGTTAAGCAATTTTTTGATACTTTATACCAATTGACTGAGGTTATCGGACCCCTAAATCCCCTCCCTCCCATCCCTCTAATACTGGAGGGGAGGTTAGTTGCAGGTGTCCAAGTGCATAGTCACTTACTATCAGGTGACGCCCGTTAGCCCCTATGCCTTAAAAATAGCATCGGCATAGCATAGTAATCAAGGACTCCAAACATTAATAACATAACCATAGCGTAGTGGTTGAAAAAAATAATATTAGTTTCTTCTTTCACTTACACCTCCTGGTTGTTAGAGTTGAAATAGTAGCCTTTGTAGAATCCTCGGTCTATGGGATTTACATTGATTGCTCCAACGTAACTAACTCTGATGGTGTAGTTACCAACGGGGATAGCTCCAGCGAGGTTAAGTGTCAGGAGTTCATAGTAGTCGTCGGTGGTGTAAGGACCTGGGAATTGAAGGTTTATGACCCTGTTGGCGGAGTCGACGATATCTATACCCGTGATTGAAGTCACTTTTTGGTGAAAAACGATTTGAGTCAAACCCGGCTGTCGCACCTGAAATCAATATCATATAATGGTTTAATTCATGTCTAGCTTAAACTTTTGTTACAGAAATATTAAAACTAACGTAACTAACCACATAGTAATTTGTAAGTTTTGTTTTTGTGTAGGACTAACAGAAAGTTTGTCGATATTTTATTATCCTTTTAATATTATACCTCACCAATACATATTATACCTCTAATATTAACTTATTTACTCATGGATATTAATTTAAAAAATATTACTAATCTAAATTGCTTCACACAAAATCTTTGATGTTTGTTGGCTGTAGGTTCTTGGTTGGTTTATATAACGTAATAAAGAATTTAACAAAAAAAAATATATTGTTCACGTCTCTTATAAAAAATATGGGAGATAAAATTAAAATCAGTCGCAGGATATGCCTCTACATCATTAATTTATCTGTAAGCTTCTAAAATGAACGCTTTTTATTCCAGTTTTAAATTAGCCAGCCATCATGATGATGAACAAAGTTTCCTGCAATCAATATTCTAGAACGTGCAAATAATATCTTTACAGCCACTAAAACAATGTATCTCTCTGACATTATCATTTAAATATTTTTTTATTGACTCAGTATGATAGTCTAGTGCAACAATTATTTATTGATATCTTCATATTGTACTAAGAATAATTAGTATGAATCATCAGTAATAATCATCAGTGTGAATCATCAGTAATAATTATCAGTGTGAGTGGGTAAGAGAGTACAGCAAAGTGAGCGATGTCACTAAAAAAGTTACAAGTTTGAGCTGGTGGGCTGAGCATGTTGCCCGTAAACAAGGCTCTTGCTGCAAGATAGTGTTGGAGTGTAAGCCGTATGGTGAGAAACGCCCTTGAAGAAGACCATGAATACGTTGAAGTGAAGATGGCATAAACTGAAGGAGTCTTCTTCTCTTATGCCCTTCGTATAATGATATTTTTTTTACATGGGGCAAAGGAAGAAACGATATTGGCTTAGCTGAGACTGCAGGTAGTTGGGATCGAGAAAGTCAGTAGGACAGGGTCATTATCTAGACGATGTCTCTCTCAGACATTTATCCACAAATCTTCTGTTATAGATGTCTTTAAATCTGACTACACGGATGGTGTAGTGGTTTAAGCGGTCAGCTTGCTGCTTCCTACTGTGCTGAGTTCGATCCCCACATTGGACAACATTTTGTCTGATCCACAAATTGTTGTTCTGAGTCTGGGTGTTCTTCGTGTCCGTTTCATGTCTGTTTATAAACTCTTGGACCATACAGTATATGTTACCAGTGCGAAAGTTGTCTTTAAAAAACAATCTAGGTCATCATAGATCATATCATATTAGATAATAATGTAAAATTTTACGAGGAATTAACACGCATCATACCAAGCGCTAACCGCTTTACATTTACCCCGATCACACATTAATTTAAAATCAATATATATAATTGCTTTCTTATGTTCCCAAATTTGTCTTTCATATTAACCGCAAAATCTTACCTAATTAATTCCTTAAATGCCCGTTTTGCGGCAATAGGTTTGCCGCATATTACGTAAGTAGGATTAACATTAAAGTAAAATAAGGACATTTAATACGCCTCTGTAATCCCTTTCCTGTATATAGGCATGAGTGTATAACATGATGAGATACTCATCAAAAGCAAGTTTGAATGTTTTACAAGTATAAGTTATTGATCTGTTAACGATTGCTATCAACGGATTAAAAATCTTTGGCGCACGAATATTGATAAATAAGTCCAATAAAAATGGTTTTATAATGCTTAATTGTACTGATATGATAATTTCTTGAGTCAAATACAACACGGAAAGTTATCAGTTACCAATTTGGTCCAAAATTATAACAGTATATAAAACTTAAGTATGTAGATTATAGGAAACGGTATTATGCTATAACTTTATATTAATATTTGTTGGCACAAAGTTATAAAATTCGGTATTTCAAAGTTTTTTCTGCCCGATATCACTATCTCATTCATAATTTTATTATTATATGTATACAAGGTGTAAGGGACATCGTACCGAATACTTAAATAGTGTATTCAGACCATGATTCTGAGTCGAAAATCATTGGATTTTTCTGCCAGAAAATTCATCAATTTCTTTTTTAATTTTCTATTTTTCTGGCTAAAAATTATGAAAGATGATATCAATTGTGATATCATTTTTAGCCTGTTTTCTATTTTCTTATCCTACATAACTTCGTTGTCCATATGGTTTGTTATCTGTCTATCTGGGAGACCTCTTTTCAAGATATCAAGTTGAAATTAAGGTAAAATATTTGAAACTTTTAGCCTGTGGTCATATGAGTTTTTAAGTGGCAAAATTGACGTAATTAAATTAAATTATATTATTTTTAGGTATTTCGCAATTCAGTGAATTTTGGGTAATTTCCATAGACCTAGAATTATGAAATTTGGCTCGACTTTCTTCTCCCTCTTTCACAACACAAATAATCCGATAATGTGAAATTTCTATGAATATCATAAAAATATTTTTTCTGTGATTACAAACTTATAATTTGGCTATCGGAGAGTGTATTCGAAGTATTTTTAAAACAGCTGTATTAAGTCACTAAGTTTGTAGCTATGAAAAAAAGGGGCCGAAATAATTAAAAATCGGCTCTCAAAATGGAAACAGTTAAGAACGAGTTTGACTGACACACCGATAGTTTCTCTAGGTTTGTCCGCTTTTTAAACGTTTTATATTATTTTTAGTATACTTTTCACTTGTATGCTTGTTTGTATGTTTGTTTGTAACCGACTCCTTTGGGCGTGATTTTGACTGACTTTAAACGGTCAGAATTCGTTCAAACTTTGTAGATATATCGAGGACCGATGACAATATACTAATTTAAAAAAACTTATGAGACATGAAAACCGTACATTACGAATTTACTCCAGAACACGAACCCTGAATAAATATCAAACACTTATAGTGATACCACTAAGTTAATCTACAATACACACAATATAATCATGCAACTTGTATATGTATACGTCTCTATATGCAACATAAATATGTTAAAGTTGTTACAAAAAGAAGTAAAGAAGATCAACCCGTGGTCAGCTTTATAACCTACCTTCCACATTCAATTATTTCTAGATATTTTTCTCAGCCCATCTTCTTTTTTTTTTCCTGTGCGGAAATCCCCTCGGATACCACCCACCAGTGGTTATGTCGGACTCGAACCGACCAAAAACCGCATACCGTCTTGGGTACCAGTTGCCGGGGAACCAAGTATACCCTAGGAAGGAAAACCCTGATACCCCGACGTACCTCCATACGGCCATCTACCCATAGCCCATCTAACAGAGAGCAGAGAAATTAAGAAACTAAACAAAACTACTTACCTCAACCTCCATCTTAACCTCCCCATTGAAATAATTTTCATCCAAATACACGTCAAGATCTATGTCCATGAAGTGAGGGTATACCGACTCGTCTAATCGGTAGCCTACATCGGCTATATTGCTGCTGTACCCGATTAACTCGAAATTAGACCTGTAGTCTTCATCAGGAAAGGCCGCGAAGGACCCGACGATGAAGCAGAAAATGGTTAGTAGAAACATGGTGTTGGTACCTTGGGAAAAAAAAATTAAGAGAAGATTTAGGTTGAAAGTTAAGTAAACTAATTTCGTTCTAAATGCTTTAGTGTATTTAATTAATAACGTATTAAAAAACGCATATTATAATCCTGAACAGCATACCCCGTAAATAACATACGGTACACAATTTCAGAAATATATTGATATCTACATTAATCTATTTTTTTAAATGATTTGAACTACTTAATTTAACGTTACAGACGAATTGAACTATGGGCAATTAATACCAAAGACTTTTACGTAATGTTCAGATTTCTCTGAAAATATCATCAATAATTAAATATCCTTAAGTATTATAATGTTGTTTGGAAATATAAACCAGGTTTTTTTTGCCGAAAAATGAAAAACACAAAAATTGGAAAAGTTTTATCAATAATCACAGAATTAAATCCACTAAGAGACTAATTACACTGGAGTACAAACCATATAAACAAAATATCGCACATTCTATGTAATGTTATGTGTTGTTTAGAAAAGTGCATCTATACCAGACAAATTGTTTGCCAAAGAATTAAAAACACAAAATATTTTTTTAATTTCGAATTATGTATATAACAATGTAAGATAAAGAAATAACCGTTATTGTGAATACCTACTTTTCAATAAACTTACCTTAATGCCGACGGTACCAAACCAAGAACTGAACTAAACATGGGTATTTTTCATATTTATGGTTCATGTAACTTATCTTTATTTACCTAATAGTAATGAAGTTTCGTTGGAATTTATCATAAGCAAGGCTAAAATCAATAGATAACGTCACAATAAATGTTATATTTGTTTTATCTATAATGATTTATAAACAGTACTACAATAATTGATTTAGTTCTGCAATAAAAGTTATACACAGTTATCGCATGGTCCATTTTGCACTTAACTTATAAGTCACCAGCCCATTGCTTTTATAAAACAAAAAAAAATAGTCAGGGTGGTAGAAATTGTAGCCAAGCACACATAATAAGTATTTACTTATTTTTAAGCTATTGCATAGCTTCTATCGTGGGCCGTGAGCGTGGAGACCGAATCCAGAAATTCCGTAACGAAAATAACCTAACACCTCCCACTCCGACCGGCACAGCGGTGATACTTTTTAGTTTTGCATTCTTCTCTACCTCCCCTTCTCTCCCCTCCACTTTTTTCATTTATCCCCCCTTTGATTTTCTCGGTACCTGGAGCACTTGGACTCCCATGTTTGGGTTTGTCTGAACCGGGAAAAGGAGACGAACAATCTGGCCCCTACAGATTTTTTAGCTGGTACCCGCGACTTTGTTCATGTGGAATTTGAAAACACTGCCTTATTGGGTTCGATTCCGGAGCCGGGCAAATTCCATAGTGTTTTCCTAAGATAATTATTTAATACTAAGTTTATTAATACTAAGTTGATAAAAAATGCTATGCAATAGCTTTACCGCGGCAGTCCCCGAGTGCCACACGTCTTTTTTTGTATTAATTATCGCACCGTCTTCTCAAGAATGGGAACACAGTTAATATCAAAGACCCATTTCCGATTATCTGCAGAAGTACAACTGGCATTAAAGGTAGAGTATGAGACTGATGTGCTGAGGTCTCGGGTCGGACCAAATGTTTTAGATCATATTGCAAATATTTCTTTCGGAGTTTGAGTATTTTCTAAGTATAATATGTAAGTTATTGCAAAAAATAAGTAAATAAGTATTCTATCAGTCAATCTAGTTGGCATATTACAAGCTCTGCTTAGTTTGAGACAGGATGACATTGTGTGACAGTGTATGCGAAATATTTTTAAAATTATTTAAGTTAGTTAAATAGTTTATGTTCTACCTCTCAATCATAATGTTTGTAAGGTATTTACACCAAGAAATAAAATGCTGGATAATTAGTTAACTTGTTTTAACTATTTATTGTATTTAGCTAAATCTAACTAAATCTAAAATGATACGGGTTAATGACACTCTTGTTAGGTCAACCGTTTGTGTACGAAGCTTGATATGTACTACTTATTGCTAATGAGTAAAATGTACGTGTTGGCGTAATATGCTGACACGACAATGTGCGGGTGCATTGCCCGTACATGCTGCCGCCGCCAGCACGGGAGTGGATGATAGTGGATGACGGGAGACAAGCTTGATTGTTACATTATTTTATAGCTTAATACTAATGGATGAATAACAATTCTAATGAAAGGAACTTAAAGTCTCTACACGAGATTTTCACTAACGGTAAACACTGGTTTACGCACTTGTGTTGACGTATAATTGTCTTCCTTACGCACATATTTCGGTTTCCCACTTACACTAATTGAATTTAATTCTACACCTTCACTATCACATGTACACTTACACTTGACACTTCGTGTGCGGGGAGCTGACCGAGTACTCTCGGGCCCTGCCGCCGCCAGCACCGACGCGGATGACGAAGGACGCACGGGCGTCGCCAGAGCTTCTGCTCCGGGACGGCCCGAGCGCTGCTTGACGCATCGATAAGCGTATGCTACTACTCCGAGAACTATTACGCCTACGATAATGTAAATAACATCTGTTGATAGTTGGCTTGCTATTTTGCTGAGTTCGTCCCTTAATAGTTCTGGGGCTAGTAAATGGATGTTGAATCTACCATGATAAATATCAGTTACGGCGTCTATAATCGTATTTTGGATATCTTTCAGGTTTTGGAGCATGTTGTTTGCAGCTATTACCCCTAGGCTGAAATCTATAGAGTCGAGCTGCGACTTGATTGCCGAGTTCATTCTGCCTGCAGTTGTTTCTAGGCTCATAATATGTTGGTTTATAATTTGGTGTTGTTTGTCAATTGACTGCCCAGCTCGTTTCAGTAAATTGTATTCGGCCTCAATTATAGAAGTTTGATTTTTCCATAATGTAGACAAATAATGCTGATCTAATTTTATACGATTAATGTCGTGTTGATACCTTTCAGCGAACCTTTCGTCGAGAACGCCGAATAAGCTGTTCGCTATGTAACCGACACCATTTATAAGGCCACGGCGCGTCCTTGCTCGCGTGCGCCCGTGTTGACTCAGAAGTAAGACGTTATAGTATTCCAGTTCTGAGAATCCGTGTCGTAGTTGCGATATAATTACGTCACAGTGCGCTTGTTCTCTTATATTGGAACACGACTGATCTAATTGTTGATTATATTTTTGAAACGCTGTCACTCCCTGCCAGAATGGGTACATATCATAGTATGCGATGATTTTCCACTCGTCTCGAACTAGGTTTATTTTCGAGACTCGATCAAAAAAAAAACCATCTGTTTCGAGTTTTGTTATGTTATATGATCCGCATACATTAGAAATTAGCACCATAAAAAATAATAAAGTCATTGTTGTGTAACTAAATGATAATTTTTGCTTACTACGTGTTCTTATGTTGTTCTTTATTGTGATATTTGTTTGATTTGTTTTCGACTCCTGTTCGTATATAGGTAAAATAGATAATTTAACTATAGGCCTCTTGATGTATCCGTTTTTTGTTTTCAACGTTACAACTCTCACGAGGTTGTCCTTGCCAGGATGGAGTTCTGTCACTCTTCCCATAGCCCAATTGCCAGCGGGAAGGTTATCGTCATGAATAAGTACGATGTCGTTAATTTTAATATTTTCACGCTTCTGTTTCCACTTGCTTCTCGTTGTAAGTTGAGTCAGATACTCAGTACGCCACCTGTTCCAGATATCTTGGAATATCCGTTGTGTTAGATTCCATCTTGTGCGGTAGTCCTTTTCAGTCTCTATTATAGTAAGTCCAGCTCCACCAGTTAGGAAGTGAGCGGGTGTAAGATAATCAAGATTGTCTGGATCTTCTGATAAAGGACAGAGAGGTCTAGTGTTTAAGCAGGCCTCTAACTGAGTTAACAGTGTGGAGTACTCCTCGTATGTCAGTTTTTGTTCACCGACTACGCGCTTAAGGTGGTATTTTAAGCTCTTGACTGCCGCTTCACACAGACCGTTACCTGATGGCCACGATGGTGCATTAAAATGCCATTCGATTTTCATCGCTGATATTTCAGACATAAACTGCTGGCCAAAGACCTTTTGTAAGTCGTCGTACTCTTTCTGAAGGATGTTGTTAGCGCCTACAAAGTTGGTACCGTTGTCACTAAAAATGTGTCGCGGGGTACCTCGTCGTGCCGCCATTCTTCGTAGCGCCGCGAGAAATGCTGATGTCGAGAGATCTGTGACGAGTTCGAGGTGTATTGCTTTTGTCGCCATGCAAACAAATACTGCAATATAACCCTTAGTGGTCTTGATACTACGACCCTTGTTGGCCTTTATCATCACAAACCCAGTGAAGTCAACTCCAGTATTGTAGAATGCTCGCGGTGAGATGTTACTCCTTGATCGAGGGAGGTCTCCCATGAGCTGGTATTGTTTACTGGAATCGAACCTGCGACACACTACGCATTGGCGTAGGCGTTTCTTGATATATCGGTTACTGCCGAGTATCCAGTACTGTTTTCTAACAAACGATGAAGTTAATCGCGCTCCTCCATGGTAAGTCGATTTGTGGGCATAGTCAACTATTAGCTCTGATAGTCTGGTATCGCTTGCTATGATTGTTGGGTGTTTCATATCTTCGCTAAGTTGAGCGTGTCTCAACCTTCCGCCAACTCGAAGAATGCCCGCTGGATCTAAGAAGGGGTTGAGGCATAATAATTTGCTTTTTGAGCTAATACTGGTACCCGCTTGTAACTCAGATATTTCTTCGAGAAAATTGTCTGTTTGATGCTGTTTTAAAATGTAAAATTTTGCTTGTTTCAATTCGCCGACTGTGAGGTAGGGACACGTGTTCCTATCTTGCTTTTTTGTTAAGAAACGACGT